TGATGGAGCATGGTAGACATAGGCCTTTTCAAACAGCACTACTCAGCATGACTCGGGAGGGTTTAGTTCGGTCTGGCTGCTTTTCCCAACAGCACGGTTTGGTATTTCCCCCTCGTTTTCTTCTAATTTTCAGTCCCTGCCCCGTTGTGGTTCCAACGGCTGGGCCGGGCTGACATCGCGACTGTCGGCTGCTGACAGGCTAGGGGGCTGAGTCACTGGTTTCTCCAGAGCTTTCTGACTGGTGCCTTGCTGCCTGCATCCATTTCCTGGTTCAGAGTTTGACAAAAAGCCATATAACTAAGCAGAATGTTCACCTTATGTATCATCAGCATACAGATTACTTCACACTGTTTACTGATCACCTCGTGCAATCGTTGCCTAGTGTAAAGATCCCCCCTCCCGCGCGAGTGCCCCTCCCCATGCTCTGAGGGGCACTTTTTGTTTCCACAAAAATAAACAGTCAATGATGAACAAGAGTCTGCTTCTAGACCTGCAGAAAGGGAAAAACAAATCAAAAAATATGGGGGGGGGGGGGCAATACAACTAGAGCGAGCTGCCACTGCGTCAACCTGATGAGGAAATATAAAATCAACATTGTTTTACTGAACAATCACATGATAATAAATCAGTGCATTTAATGCCAACCACAGCCTTAAGACATGTGTTGAACGTGCCCAAGTCCATACTTATGAGAGACCCATGTGAGCACCTTTGTGCGTACCCGTGCTTGTGTATGTAAGGTTTCTCTATAGGAGCATCCAAGAGAGGGTGCGAGGGGCCACAGATCTGCCCCCCAAAGATGTGTACTGTAGGAGATGGAGGGAGCTCCAAGTCCTAAAGATCCAGGAGCTGCCGCAGTGCGCAGGGACCCCGGGAAGACAGTAACCAAAAAAGCACCCGCCCCCTCTCGAGAGGCACAGAGGATTGCCCCAGAGGGTCACAACCAGCAGCCGGCTGAGTCCCGGGAGATATCAGTGGCCAGCCCACAGGCCCGCCCGCATCCTCCAACCCCCTAGACGGCCGAGCCCGGAACCCAGCTACCCGGGACCATGGGGAGACTAGCCCTGCCGGGGACCCAACAGTGCCCAGGGACTCAGACCCCACCAGGCAGCCACTGGGATCGATCAGGCAGACTCCAAAATCCTTAAACCCCCTGACCCGGGAGCCGCGAACACTCAGGCAGACCAAGGCACTGCACTCCATACCAAATGTGGCGGCGGGGGGGGGGGGGGGGGGGGGGACTCCAAGACCCCGCCTACCACATACAGCCATACACAGACACAGTCACACACTCCCTCCCTCATGCTCACATATACACATACAATCTAAGACATACAAAAATGAACGCTAGACACCCACTCATGCTCCCCTTACACACCCTTTTCACTCTGGTCCTGGTACTGCTGCAGAATGGGTACAACCATCACCGGTTCCCAGAATTCGCCCCTTTTTGCTGGGGGTGATGATGAGCAGGCTCCCCCGCCCAACGCTGAGCAAAGCATCCACCACCCCAGACGCCAACATGACGGGCAGCTCCCCCTCCTAGCCTCCAGCCCCGGGAAGCCAAGTGACAACAGAGGCATGCTAAGACCCCTAGTCTCCCTCCACCTGCTCCAGTACTATGTTAGTGTGTGTTGATTTCTGCAAGAAATGCAATTTATTAAAGTAAATTTCTTTTACTTCAGTAATTAATGAAGAAATAAATAAACACTAATGTGTCGTGGTTCTGGGAATTAGTCTAACCCAAGCCCCCTCAATGCGGCTCAAAATTTGAGGCCAACCCGGAAGTACCAAAAATTGCAGTTCCACTCTCATCCGCTGGGGGCTGGTGTCAGAAGCGAGCAAATCCTCATTGACTCCCATGTTAAAAATACCAATTTCACAGCAGAAATAAACATGTTTACAGTCTGGTACCAAAGCATGTTTTTGGTTTAAATGATCTAGTTTACACTCATGACAACTCTGAGGGGGGTGACTTTTTTGTCACTCTTCTGTTTAAGTGTATTAAATGCCTAAAATTCTGTATAATTAATGAGCATCAGACCCACGTGACCACAGAGCTAGCTCCGTGGAAAGGCCTCAGTAGAGCCTCGGTCTGGCTTGGAAACTGCTCCGGGATTTTGAGTGTCTGTGTTTGTGTATTCTTTTTTGGATATTATTTGTGCAATTGTTGGACAAAATGACTTGCTGTGGTATTAATTGCACTAATAGAGCGTCTGAGGAGTCTCCACTTCATTTTTTTCTGTAAGTAAAATTATATTTATGTATTTTAGGTCACTGCCGAGCTGAGCATAGATTTTAACATGAATTGTTTAACCATGAAATTTAAATGTAATAGGGTAAAACCAAGTGCATTTAACATAATGCTGCACTTTAGAAAATGGATTGAAATATAACATGTTGGTGGAGCTGGGTTACGACTATCGGCTTGTGGAGCTCTCGGGAGGCTGATGTTTTCCACCCGTTTTTTCCCTCCCCGCAGCTCGGCGCATCTCTGTCTGATCGCGACTTCTGTCTGCTGTGCAGCTGCCGGCTTTCAGCAGCTTTCAGGAGACCTCTGTGTTCTACCCGGTTTTACCCAGCGGTCAGCCCAGTGTATCTCTGACTCAGAAGCTCTGGTGTTGTGCACAGTTAACTCCGGTTGTAGCTAGGTTGCTACCTCCGTTAGCTTAGCTCCCACCTCCGCGTTAGCTTTGGGTTAGCCAGGGTTTGCTTCAGGTTAGCTTGTAGCTAGTTCGACCGGGTGTCGTCAGTTGATCCCAGCCTTACAGCCCCACCCTCTGCTCCACCTCTCTTCCCTTTTATGGAATTGTCTGGGCTTGACGGAACATGTGACACGGTCAAAATGGCGGTGGTGGCCACCTCCCATTTTAGCACAAAAACTTATTATTGGAGTCTAAGGAAACCCATTGTCCAATATTTGTATGTCGATGGTCTAACCCAAGACATGCAGAATCACCTCTACACACACAAGGCAGGTAAGTGAAACAAAATTTATTTTAAAGGATGAAACTGAGGGCGCGCTGAAAACATCAGCGGATCTGGACGGTAGAAATGGGAACCGGCTATGAGGGAGAGCAAACCAGAGGTGAGTCCAAGAGTTAACAATTCAGGGAGGAATATTGAGAGGAGACTTACAGGAGATGACTTAGTCAGAGGTTTTATGAGGGAGGAAGTGATCCGGGGACAATCCTGGTGGAATGATCTCCTGAGCAGGAGAGGGAGCGCAGGTTTGGAGGGTGAGAGTGGGTTGGTCGGGTGGAGGATGGTGAGAGCGGGACGGTCCGGGAGGAGACAGGTGAACGTGGCTGGAAAATGGAGTCCAGAAGTCCTATGGAGGTCAGGTGAGTAGTTCCAGGTGAGTGAAGAGCCTGAGGTTGGCGAGTTCAAAACACACTGGTTACACACAATCCAAAAACACAGGAGAGCAAAAACACACTGAGACTTCGACACGAGAAAATCACGAGAGCGAGAAACGAAGGCTGGTACTACCAAGTTGTAGTAATCATCTGGCTTCGAGCTGTGTTCACCATCTCCTTTTGAAGCAGTCCCGCCGAATCAGCTGATGCATCGCAGCTGCCGCTTCCCCTGACCCGCTGATGAACCGATGACGTGCAGCTGCCACTCCCTCCCCCGTGAAGACACTCAGAGATCGTTTTGAGAGAGAGAGTACTCACACCGGCTCACGACAGTAACCCCCCCCCCCCCCCAATGGATGCCCCCTGGCATCCTAGCCGAAGCCGCCTCAAAGTCCACGATAAGGGACAGATCCTTTATGAAGGACTGAGGGACCCAGGACCCCTTTTCGGGGCTTTAGCCCTCCCAGTCGACTGGGTACTGCATTCCCCGGCCACGGGGGCGGGAGTCCGGGACCCGACGGACCTGGTAGACCAACCCGCCCTTGTAAAAGCGAGCCGGAGTAGGAGAAGCAGGAGTAGGACAGAGGGGACTGGTGACCAAGGGCTTGATGATGGACACGTGAAAGAAGGGGTGAATCCTGAGGGAACGGGGGAGGTCCAGCCGAACCGTGGAGGGAGTGGGAACCGCTAGGACATTAAACTGACCCAGGAACCTCGGCGTGAGCTTCCGGCAGGAGGCTTTGAGGGGAACATCCTTCAATGACAACCAAACACTCTGCCCAGGAGTGTAGGCTGGCGCCGGTCGCCGCCGGCGATCTGCCAGCTGCTTGTTGCGGATGGCCGTGCGATCCAGTGCTGCCCTGGTCATGGACCAGGCGCACCTGGCACTGCGGAGGAACTGGGGAATCAAAGCAGTGACTGAGGTCTGCAGAGGGAAAAGGGGAGGCTGGTAACCGATGGACGACTCAAAGGGAGACTGACCTGTCGCTGTGGAGATGTGGTTATTGTGAGCGTATTCCACCCAGTCTAGGTGGGAGCTCCAGGAGGAGGGATGCGCAGAGCAGATGCATCTCAGCATGGCACCCAGCTCCTGGTTCATCCATTCGCACTGGCCATTGGACTGCGGATGGTAACCTGAAGTGAGAGCGACTTTGGCTCCCAGGGCTTCTGCGAACTCCTTCCACACCTTTGAGACAAACTGGGGTCCGCAGTCCGACAGGATCTCCTCAGGGATGCCATGTATACGGAAAACATGTTTGATGAGTAACTGGGCAGTGATGGCAGAGGAGGGGAGAGAATTCAGAGGGATCAGGTGACAGGCTTTGAAAAAACGGTCGACTGGTGAGTATTGTGGAGAAACCGTGTGAGTTGGGTAAACCGCATACAAAATCCAGGGCTATGTGGGACCATGGGCGAGATGGAGTGGGTAATGGGCACAACAACCCTGCAGGAGGATGATGGTCTCCTTTTTGCTGGGAACATACATGGCAACCTGAAATGTTGTCCTTGATGTCTTGAAACATAGAGGGCCACCAAAAACTGCGTTTAATCAGAGCAATAGTGCGCCCCACCCCCGGGTGAAGGGAAAACTTGCCTGTATGGGCCCAGTGGACCACCTTACCCCTGCAGCCTGCCAGGAGGGCCATGTCTGGGACTGGGGTCATCTTTGTGTGCCTCCAACATCTGGTCTCTGATTCCCAGGTGACTCCACCCACGATGCACGAAGGGTGAAGGATGGTGGAGGGTTCTGCTTCTTGGTCAGGGGTGTACTGTTTGGACAGGACGTCGGGCTTAGTGTTCTTTGAACCCGGGCGGTATGAGATCTGGAAGTTAAACCGGGAGAAAAACAAGGACCACCTGTACTGACGGGGGTTGAGCCTCTTTGCCTCCTTCAGGTAAACCAGATTCTTATGGTCCGTCCAGATAATGAAAGGTCTCTCGGCTCCCTCCAACCAGTGCAGCCACTCCTCGATGGCGAGCTTCACTGCCAGCAGCTCCCTGTCCCCGACGTCATACCAACTCTCAGCCGGCGTCAAGTGGCGGGAGAAAAAGGCACATGGGTGGAGTCGATGATCTGTGGTGGAAACCTGGGAGAGCACAGCCCCGACTCCTGTGTCCGAGGCATCCACCTTGAGAGTGAACTGAAGTTTGCATTAAACCTGCATTCACTCCAAACGCAACCAAAATACTGCATGTACCTGAAAGAAAATCCACAAGTGAAAACAATTTTCATAATTGAAAACAAATTCAGGTGTTAAGGGGTTAAGAATAAACAGGAAGAGATGAGGCTGTTGTCCTTGAGGCTTTTCATAGTGTCAGAGGACATCAGGGGTTTATGGGTGGTGGAAGCAGAATGAATGGCATGTAGGGGGTAAAACGAGATTCGGGGATCTGTTTCTGTTTAATGTAACCACTGAAATTATTATGGAGACACTCACCTGAAAATGAGAAATTATTCAACCTAAACAAATGCACTTCCTTGACAATCCTGGCCATTCTGGGCAGAGAAAAGTGTAAAAAGAAAAAGAGACAACATGTATAGACAAGGAAATGGCCCGACAGACATGTTGGCGCACACGCTGTGTAGGAAGTTCAGGTAGACTTGGTTTGTGGCGCTGCTTTATGAATTTCAAACATGTTTGATTTTCTTGCAGCCACACTATTGCCAGTCAAGAGCTTGTCATGGGGTGTTAGTTGCTTCTTGTTAACACTGTGTAGACGACACAATGCAACTTTACAACTCAGCCCAACATCAGAGTTTGTGACACAAGTTGAAAATCAGGTCAAAATGGAAATCACACAGTGTACGCACAGCTTAAACCTTTTTCTGTCTGTGTTATCTTACAGCCAGTGGTCACAACGACCCAAAAGCCAACTGTCCAGTCATCACCATGGAAACCAGCAACCAACGCACCAATCACAACACAACCATTTTTAAAAGAACCAATCACCAACCAGCATAACACAGCGGTCCAAAACCTGCTCTACTACTTGCTGGCCAATAGGGGGCAACCTGTGGCTACTTCTCAGCCAATGGGAGACCTCGGAGTGTCATCCAGCAGCGATGAATCAGCAGCAGTCTGGAGAGTCAGCTCTGTTTCCTCTGACGAATCCAGTGATGAGTCCTAGATTTAAATTATCAGTACATTTTAGACTCAGTTATTTTGTGGAATAAATTTAGATGCACTTTGTGTGTTTGAATGCAAAAATAAAAAAGATTTCAAAGCATCTTTATTCCTGATATTTTTCAAAGATATTTGCATCATGTTACGAATTTGATGTAACCAAATTTAAAACTGTTATAATACATATTAAGGACTTTAAACTGTCCATGAACTAACTGTTCAGATAAAAAGTACAATTTGACACTATAAATCAGTAAAAATCACACAAAACATAAAACTTTGATGTAGTTTTCAATATTTGTTATATTCACAACTTGAGATTTTTTACTTTAACAAAGGTTTTTCTTTCATTTTTGTGGTGTGTTTGTGTTGATGTTAGGTCCTTGTTGCTGTTGGACGTCTGACACCAAACTCGATGAAACTGGGTTTGTCTCTTTCCTCACGTTTCTGATAGAAGCTTTGTTGGGTTTACCTGAGAAAACACCAAAACAAAAATATTTTAATCATGTTTTGTTAAGCAGGTTTTGCTTCAGAATCACAAATATTACCTTATGATTGTCAAAATAAATGATTGATGACCTTTTGGATATTTGACTTACGTCATTGAACAGGATCAGATAGTTACATTGAAACATTTTTAGGTCCTTTTAAAACTTGTTTTGTGCTCAAATTTTATGCGCGTAACCCATCTAGACCTCAGTATTTAGCCAGTGTGTGGTTTGTTTGTACTTTGTGAGTAATACAGCAAAGACAACACAGGTACATTTAAGTAATATTTCCCTACTAGGTATGCTCCATATTGGCATATTGCTTTTTTACTGATATCCAGTATCCGATATTGCTAAACTCTTAATTTCCGATACCAATATAAACTGATAAATGCGGGCGGGCGGGCTTCCCCCCCCCCTCCCCCCATGAAATAGAAAAAAATAAATTATTTAGGTTGCTAACATCAGAGCAGTTTCTTGCTATACGCCGACTATGCATAGGCAACATATGGCTACTAGGGCCCCCCCCTAAGTCTTCATCCTTGCATGAGGATCAAAATGATTTGCCTATATTATTTAAATGATTAGAAATACCTTATTAGTATATAACAGAAAAATAAGCCGCAGTAAGATAACCGTTGTCTCTTTTGTGGCACATTTAACCCAAAATCGCTAGTTTCAGCTCCACTGTGTCACATGTTGGACGTCCATGGGAAGGCCATCCGCAGTTGGGCAGTGTTGTTCCTTAAATCATTCACTGAAGTAACGTTCGTGAACTTGTTTGTTTTTTGTGAACGTGAACTAAACTCCTCCTTGAACCGTCAACTTATCGTGGTGGAGGAGTTTGAGTGCCCTAATGATCCTACGAGCTATGTTGACTGGGGCACTTTGTACCCCTGGTAGGGTCTCCCATGACAAATTGGTCTTAGGTGAAGGGTGAGACAAAGAACGGTTCAGAAGATCTTTTATGGATGAACTATCAAAGAGTCGGAGAACCCGGCCCGGAGGGTTACCGGGGTCCCACCCTGGAGCCAGGCCTGGAGTTGGGGCCTGTGAGCGAGCGCCTGGTGGCCGGGCTTTCGCCCATGGGGCCCGGCCAGGCCCAGACCGAACCGGATACATGGGCTCATCCAACTGTGGACCCACCACCCGCAGGAGAAACATGAAGGGTCCGGTGCAGTGTGGATCGGGTGGCAGACCGAGGCGGGAGCTTTGGCGGTCCGATCCCCGGACAAGGAAACTGGTTTTTGGGACATGGAACGTCACCTCGCTGGTGGGGAAGGAGCAGGAGCTTGTGGCAGAGGTTGAGCGGTACCGGCTAGATATAGTCGGACTCACCTCGACACATAGCATTGGCTCTGGAACCCAAGTCCTTGAGAGGGGTTGGACACTCTCCTTTGCTGGAGTTGCTCCGTGTGAGAGGCGGAGGGCTGGGGTTGGCTTTTTGTTAGCCCCGAGACTCTCTGCCTGTGTGTTGGGGTTTACCCCGGGGGATGAGAGGGTAGCTTCCCTGCGCCTTCGGGTCGGGAACGGGTCCTGACTGTTGTTTGTGCTTATGGGCCAAATGTCAGTTCAGAGGACCCACCCTTTTTGCAGTCCCTGGGATGAGTGCTAGATAGTGCTCCATCAGGGGACTCCATTGTCCTGCTGGGGGACTTCAATGCTCGTGTGGGCAATGACAGCATGACCTGGAGGGGTGTGACTGGGAGGAACTGAAGTCGAGCGGTGATTCGTTATTGGACTTCTGTGCAAGCCGCAGTTTGGCCATAACGAACACCATGTTCGAACATAAGGATGCCCATCGGTACACTTGGTACCAGGGCAGCCTAGGTCGCAGGTCGATGATAGACTTTGTAGTCGTATCATCTGACCTGCGGCCGTATGTTTTGGACACCCGAGTGAAGAGATATGTTACATGGAGTAGCGGTCGGTGCAGCATCCATTATGCGGGAGGACAAACGTCATGGTGTGTTCCATTTACCCTGGAAAATGTACAATTGCACATAACATCGATTTTGGATGCACCCTTACAAGTTTATCTTGTAAAATAAACACGTTTCAACCACAGCTAATGTTGTTATCACAAGGTGCTGCTATTTTAAACCTAGAAATTGGTTTAAAAAACATTCTCTGACTTAGGGGAGGTGTTCCAAATCTCAAAACACAAGTCACAGAGTTGCACCAGTAATATTTAACTATTAATTAGTTTGCTTTGTTTTTAACAAATTCTTTTGTACTGAACTGAAATTTTTTCCCTTTGTGACCAAAGATCTAAAACGTTTTCTTTACCTTTAGACAAGCACGTTAGACAATGTATTCACAAAATTTGAGAAGTGACTTAATTTATAGATAATTAAATGTTTCACAAACCATTGTAGCAGTGGCCAGACAGCTCGTTTTAGACAAGTACAATACAACCCACACGGTTGTCTCCCTCAAGCAGAGGTGAGTAGAAAATTGTACTCTAGAAGTAGCACTACTTCTTAAAAATATTTTTACTCTAGTAAAAGTAAAAAGTAGCTGTCCAAAAAATACTCAAGTGGGAGTAAAAATACGTATTTGTTAAAATGCTACTCGAGTACTAACATCTAATTGAATGTTTGAATGATTTTTAGTAAAACTTATGTCAACAGGCAGACAAAAATAGTTATGGACTGGTTTTGGCATTTTAAAAACTAAAATGAAAGAAAATAATAGAAATAATCAACATAATTACAAAAAAGAAAAATTTAGGCAGAAGAAACTTTTTTTCTGTCTATTTTTAACATATCATCAATGCCTACTATGTCTCTGTATATGTCTTTGAGTGCAGCCCTCTGCTAGAAAGGTGGAGGGCTACGCTCTCTGAGTGCTTTCTAGCTTTAATTAATCTTGCCTGAGTGAATTAACTTGAGACGTTTACTTTTAATATGAGAGGGTATCACTACCATGTGTTTTGCTTGTATGTACTGATTAGTGATCATTTGTGGTGTGTTCATAAATAATCAAATGTATGGTTGTTCAATTCTAGTTTGGCAAAATAGGGGCCCCGGAACGACATCTTGCATAGGGCCCCCACAAAGCTAAAAACAGCTTTGGCTAATATCAAATATCATCAATACTTAAGCTTTAAAAATTATCTGTGCAAAGTTACAACTACTTCAATCTAAGTTAGTAACAGAAACAGCAGCTGAATGACATTCTCCCTGAGATATTCCTGACTAACGCTGTGTGATGCCTTTAGGCCTCAGATAATTATTAATTTCATGATGGGAAAAAGTTTGATTATTAAGTTAATAAATAATACAAGTGAACTAATGTTTAAAAGGGTTCAAATGTTTTAGGTTTTGAAAACGGATCAAAGTGAGACATCGCTGTTACACACAATCTTTGTTGTGATATTGTCTGCGAAACCCGACAGAGGGAGCGGAGCGTCCATAACTCAGACCTGTCACTTCCGTTTTGTCCGCTCTGGTTTGTTTACATTTATATTTTGGCAGAAATGGGGCACGCTCATTTTATTTTATACCAGGGGGATTCAATTCTGGGCCTGGAGGGCTGGTATCCAGAACGTTTTGGTTTGAACTCTGTTTAAACACCTCTGATTTCAATCAGCAGGTGATTAACAGGCTTCTGCAGAGCCTGATGAGCTGCTGCACAGGTGATTCAGCAACTGACTCAAGTGATTTACATCGGCCCTTGAAGACCGGAATTGAATACCCTTGCTTTATACGCTTGTGCCATGGAGAATATTTGTCTTTGTAAGTATCGATTTGTTTAGGGAATAATGTGGCGTGTGTTAACGTTAGTTGATAAAATGTAAGCAATATGAGCGTATGCATGCTAAGCTAGGCTAATTGCTAAGCGTGACACTAGACATTAGTCACTAATGTACTTTGTTTCTGTATATTGTAGTTATGGTGATAAAACATTTATAAAGATCTTCATTTAAGAAAATCAAGCATTGGGTGTGGATTCTGAGTGTTTTAGTTGGTTGTTTCCTGGCTAGCTACACACAGCTACCTGCTCTAAGGACAGCAGATTATCACAGGGCAAATTCCTAATTATTCACAAGTTGTGCCAAATAAAACTAAAATATATCAAACACGAAACCTCAGATCTGTCATATTTTGGAATTTTGAGAGAGAAGATGAAGCAGAAGAGTTTGATGTATAATACGTGCGTGGTATGTAAAAGTTACGTCACTTATGGGCTCGACACACGGGAGGCGGCATCGCCTCTCCTCCATTCATTTTCAATGAGACATGTGCGACAAAACGATAATCGCGGGTCTCTCTCCTACTAAGCGAAACGCAAAAAATGTGCGTGTGAAATTTTGCGCTCGTGCACGTGTCGTGCACGGACGACCCAGCGACGCAATCCCAGAAAGTTTAAACATTTTCAACTTTTCATCGCTGTCTCTCGGACGAGGACCAATCAACGGAGGTTTCATTCACTGACCAATGAGCGGACAGGATGCTCCGTACACCTCCGAGCAAACATGGAGGAGAAGTTGATTATTATTATGTTTTATGAAGTAAAATCAGAAGTAAGATTTCACATAACTCTAGCAGCACCTTGTGAAACATCATATCTACCACTTTATTAACTCTGAACCGCTTAAATAACCTTAATTCCCTCCAACCTGACACAGCCAAACAAAACAACGGAAGTTTCGATTTTGCCAGCTTTGCCGCTGGCCGCTGCCGCAGATCGCCTCCCGTGTGTCAGGTAATAAAAGCGACAGCGACAAATTTTGCTGATTGCGGTCGTTTGTCACCTCTCGTGTGTCGAGCCCATAAGGAGTAAAAACCAATACCAAAACCAATATCGGTAGATCGATAACATCGAGCATCCCATGTTACTACTACAAAAATGTGTCGATTTACCTTCTTTGAGGTCTGGCAGTGCTGAACCTCTTACATCCGGAAAATGAACATGTGGCTTGTTTTTGGCCTTTTCACTCATCAGTCTGTGTTCTGGTACCTGAAAAGGACAGAAAAGTGTTTATTTGGCTAAACCTTGCCAGTTGCAAACAAATACACACTCACTTCATTACCTGACAGGTGAAAGACCCTGTCACATGACCTGTTGTAAACTTCTGGACCTCTCGATCATAAGCGCCTCCATGTTGCTGTGGCTTATCACCACACCTGGAACCCACATGGACAGAAGTATGCTAGATTGCAAGCCAGACAATCTTTGAATTACAAGAATGAATTTAGGCTAATTTTGGTATCTAGAACTCAACCAGAACTCACAGATGCGTTGTAGATCTGATCAATGTCTGCTATGGTAAAGGTAAAGTAAAACAAACTCCGCCTTAAAAGACCTGACAGGTTATGTCTATGTTTAAATGTGTTTACCTGAGACTGTTGGTGCCAGGGTGAAAAGCTCCTCCCTGAAGGATGTGATCGTTGGCAGCTGGATTTTTGGTACTGAAGATGGAGTATGGAGGAATCAGAGACTGGGACGATGGCGGGAGCAGCATAAGATTTGAGGAGGATGTTCGAGGAGGAGAAGGTGTGGACAGTTGAGATTCATTTAAATCAAATCCGCCAAAGTGGTGATGGCTGAAGTTTCTTGTTGAAGTCCTTTGGTCTACCAATACAGTTGGAGTCAAATCTCTGGAGATGTTTATCTCTTTTTTGTCACTTTTTCTTTTAGCATCAGGTACAAATGTAGATTTCTGAGACCTGGGAGTCATGGAGGGCCTCATGTGGTCACTGAAAGATCTGGTCTTCGAAGGATCCTGTTTGGAGTGAGGAACTTTAAAGGACGTAGCACTTGACTCATCAGTGTCTTTCTGCTTATAAGTTGAGTTTCCAGAAACTTTCAAGGTCTGATTGTTGAATAGATTTGTTTTTGACTTCCTGAATCCAGAAAGAGGAGCTAAATCATCCTGATTCTCTTTGTCAGAGACTTTAAGGGTTTTCAGAACAGTGGTTCTCAGTGAGAGGTGTTTATTCAACACTTGGGTTGAAGTAATATTTTGTTCAGTGGCGACTTTGGGGTTGTGTAGTCTGGACGATTCTGGGTCTCCTCTTGAGGCTTGGGACAACAGGATTGAACCTGCTGGGGGTTCTGTCACTGGGTTCATCTTCAGGTATCCATGTTGTTTCCTAACACTGTTGTCTTCTAAGAGTGTGTTGTCTTTCAGAGTAAAATCATCCTTGGAAGCTTTAAAATGTGAGGTTCCTGTAGACAGGGCAGCCATGTTGAGGAGTGGACTGGATTTCATGATTACAGTGTAAGGCTGTTCAGAAAGATCTAAAGTCTGTGAAGGGATGGTTGGGTCTGCTTTGGGACCGTCGTTGACGGTAGTCTTTATTGTTGTGGGGTTTTTGGGTAAAACCTTTGGGCTTAGGGAGGTTTTTTGCTCTGCGTCACTTCTCAGATTACTGGTCTGATGTTCTGATGAAGGACTTAGCTTGAGTGACCTTGTCTCATAAAGCATCATTGGAGAACCTAAATTTGATTCCAGAGCAGTTTTTGGAGATGAACGGAAACCTGGACTCTCTGTGTTTGAACTTATAGACATTTTCGACACTTTAATGTTTGGGTTGCTCCAGGTCTTCGCAAACTCTTGATTTGTCTCAGATTTAGAGAAACTCCTGTTCCTCATCATGCTCTTCTCAGCATTCAGACCACTAAAGTTTAAGTCTTTTACATTCTGAAGGAGGTTTTTTCTTGGATCTGGAGTCAAAACTCTTCCAAATTTGGGTTTTATTGCTAAGGAGTCTTTCTTCTTCTGACTTGTTATCTTGGAGTCCTCCTCGGACTTAGAATTAAAGCTCTTAGTGGAAACCTCTGACTCCTTCTCGGCCTCTGGTTTCTCAGGTTTGACTGAACATGGCTCTGTTTTTAGAGTTCCTTTATTGCCAGGTGTTTTGGGTAATTTGGACCCGGAAGAGTCGATGGTATTATGAATGTGTTTAGATACCTGTGAAGGTTGTTTTCCCTTCATTTTCTCTATTTTGTCCTTGTTTACTTTCTCATCCATGTCTTCAGGATGTTTCTTGTCCTTGCCTCGACTGTTTTTCTCATCCACCTTACTCCTCTCTTGTCCTGGGCTTCTGGTTATTTTTGGAAGGGTAGAATTTTCTATGTGCTCTTTTTGGATTTTAGCATTTAACTGCTCCAAAAATCTGTGTAGATGAAGAGAAAACCAAGACATTTTCTAAAACACAATAGACCAACTCAAGTGGTATCTAGTAGTGGATGTACCTGATGTGGAAAGAGTCTTGAGTGAAGAAAAGATGATCTAAAAGCTCTGAACACTGAGCTCGTCCTTCTGGGTCCATCTCTAGACACCTCTGAGAGACAATCAATTGCACTGATGATATACCTCTTCCTCTGACTGCCAACTGAGGTGAAATATTGAGAGATCATCTTAAACTAAAGAAGCAAAACAGCTGTTAGCTGTACCTGAGCCACATCCAGGGCATTTTGAGTGATTGAGGGGAATCGCTGCTGAAGTGGGACTGTGCTTGAACTCTCAGGCAGCTTGACTCCAGAAAATATGGGATTTCTGTAGAATAGCTCCTGATGATGAGTCACCAGGTTACCTGGAGCAAAGAAGACTTAAGTTAGAATTGTGGGATTAAGCAAAATCTTCATGGAGAAGCTTTAAGGGCATACCAAAGCACTTGACGATGTGGTATATTTGGTCAAGGTCCGAGTCTCCAGGAAACAGAGGCTGTCCCGTTAATACTTCTATCAACAGACAACCCAGAGCCCAAACATCTACAGGTCTATCAACAAAACATTGTTAGGGGCTTCAATGAAAACAACCAACATTCTTAGGTCTGTGCAAACAGACTCACTTGCCATACTTGATGTCTCCCACCAGCAGTTCGGGGGCTCTATACCATCGAGTAGCTACGTAGTCGGTGTAGACTTCAGATGGCGATGCAATGGTTCGAGCAAAGCCAAAATCACACAGTTTGACCACACCCTCCTGAGAGATGAGGATGTTCTCGGGTTTGATGTCACGGTGGATGACCTGGGATGGTAAAAAAAAAAAAAAAAAAGCTAGAGGACAGAGTGTTGACCCGAAACCAATTATAGTTTCATTACAGGACGAGTAAAATGTAATTAAACCAGGGCTTACGTGGCATTCCCAACAGCCCAACACAAACTTTGGTTTCAAGCTGGGTCATTTTAATTACAACATAGAATATTTTAGAACATTTCCTGACAGTCTATAACTTGTTCTCACATTCTGTTGGTGGCAAAATGTGGCAGCTCTCAGGATCTGGAACATGTACTGTCGGCATGTGTTGAGGTCCAAACCATTTGGGTTTTGTTCCAAATCCTCCAAAAGTGTTCGATCCACAAACTCGAAGACCAGATACCAGCGACGGCGACGCTTCCACACCATAAGCAGATTCACCAGGTTGTCATGACGGAGTTGCTTTAGGATAGAAACAGTAGACCAGCGTTATTCAATTCCAGTCCTGGAGGGCCGGTATCCAGCACGTTTTGGCTTTAACCCTGCTTCAACATGCCTGATTTCCATCAGCAGGTGATCAACAGGCTCCTGCAGAGCCTGATGAGCTGCTGCACAGGTGATTCAACCACTAAATCTCCTGTTGGAGCAGAGAAACCACTTAAAACGTGCTGCATACTTGCCTTCGAGGCCCGGAATTGAATAGCGGTGCAGTAGACATGAGGACAATGACCACCCCTGCTAGATAGGGCCATAGGGTAATGGACTGGGACATTCTATTGGTATACAACTATTACTTTTACAGAACTACATTTATCTTAAGCCAACATTTAAACCTGTATTATTTCAATCTAGAACACAAGGCTTGGATTGAGTTGGCTTGGTCTGAACCAAAAAAAAAGTAAAAGACTGAACATTCTTTGGTGAAAACTGTCATTTTCTAGCCTGGCTTGTCAGACTCACCCTCTGTGTATTCTACTCAGAGGCAGAGAGTACCATGAGGGGTGGGACTAGCAAGCCCAAAATAACCAATCAGGAAAAAGACATCTTCTTCACTGTTATGAAAAACCGAGCATTGTACGCTACTCAGTGCTGATTGATTGATGTTAGAATTCTCAGGGGGTGTGGTTATTTGAATGGGAGGATAACCAGGACCCTTTGCTTACCGTAAGGCAGCACTAGCATGGCTGGCTAGGCTAGTCATTTTCTACATATTGATGCAAAATGTGCCTTTGTTTACATCCTACATACATGAGTTTACATTAGTCAAACACCAGCTCTATCTTCTGTCAGTGTTTCTTCTCCGTGATCTAAATGTGAGAATCTGACACTGAGGTCTTTGTGGTTGGCTGACTGTCGGGTTTCAGACTCACACAGACCTCCATATGCTCATTTAATCACTGATAGGCTGATCAGATCATGGATTGATCAACAGGTACCCTGAGAAGCTTTATTTCCCTGAGTGCGATCTTCTTCACCGTCTTATCCTCATCAGAGTCCATAAATTTCTTGATGGCGACAAGGCGACCAGATTCCCGGTGGCGACACTTGAGCACAGTGCCGTAGCTGCCCTCCCCGACTGGACCCAGTGACTCGTAACTCTCCATCTGACTTTATCCTGAAATGACAAGAAAATTCCTTCAAACTGGGTTTTCTTCATTAGGAGAATGAAAGGAATTAAATCTGTTACTGGTTTTTTTTACTGGTGTTGAGCCACATTCACACTTCATACCCAGCAGCAGTCACCTTGGCTACAGAAGGTATACGACTTTTCTGTAGTTCCTGCTATTACACATAAACATTAGTTGGTGTTTCAGGAACTAAATGGTTACTGAAACGCCCTAAAAATGCCCAACTTAATAAACCAATGTCACTGATAATACAGTAATATGCAAATGTTGGAACTAACCAGTCAAACCTGAGTTAGACCTCCAACATGCTCCTCTAATCTCAGTGATTACAAGGAGGGGGGTTCATGTGCACAAAGGTCAGGCACATCTTTAACAAAATAACAAAACTTGACTATTGCAGATACTTTACACTTCTCTGAGGTGAAGAATCTTTATTAAATCCACATTTTCTTCTTTTATAAAGGAGTCTCAACATCTTCTTTGGACTTCAGCTGCTTTTTCACAGCACATTCTCACACCCGTAGCGGCAAAAACCGCCAAGGGTGACCAAGCGTTTGTTTCCGACGCGTCAGGAGCACCAACACGTTGGGAGGTGATGTGCCGTGCTAGAGCGTCGCTTTCTGACGCCCACGGTAAAACGGAGATTTCACCGAATAGTGACCTTTTCCCTCTCCCATCCTAACCTTAACCATCTTGCACTGATGTATCGTTCCTCTCAAACACGGTTAACGGGAAATTTGGAATGAGAAACAGGGTTAAGGTTAGGATGGGGGTGAGGGGAAGGTTAAATCGCTAGAGGTTAAATGTCGGTGAAATCTCCATTTTACCGTGGCCATCGGAAAGTGACGCCCTGGCATACGCGTTGCCTCCCGACACGTTGGGGCTCCCGACGCGTCGAAAACAAACGCTTGGTCACCCTTCGTCAGTTTTAGCCGCTTCGGGCGTGAGAATGTGTCGTTTTATATGTAGATTTAGTCTTTGTACCTGAACTTTTTCGCTTGAGTTTTAGACTCTGAACTGAGTCATTCATGTATTAATAGTCTCTATAACTCAAGGGATGAGCCAACAGTAAATAACACAAACTCCTACACATCCTCCTGTTTTAGGACAGCCGGTCCTGACTTCCATAAGCTCAGAGGTGACTGAGCCTCACCTGCAGTAGTTCCTAGGCCCTCAGACGGTATTCTTCTTTAATTAAACCTTTAGGCGCCATAGTTTGTTCAGTAAAATAGGATTTTTTTATATCACTATTCAAAGAGCTTGTAGCTTACATCTGGTTAGAGATAGAGGAATATTGTAAATTAGAAAAATCTTCAGTATGAGCCAAATTTTGTGATAGGAACAAATTCACTCACGTAATTTGAATATTATGATGTCATTAGGTGGCAGCCATATTGCATTGCATCACATTAGCAGATTTTTTTTTTTTATGTTTTTATCTTATTTTCTTAGTGTTGTTATTGTTTATAATACATATATAAATTCCTTTGTAGACATATATAACTATGTATATGTATATATATATATATATATATATATATATATATATATATATATATATATATATATATATAATATTTATTACTTTATTGGTATTTTGTTGTGTTTATTGCGTATCAATCAAGAACACTGTTTGTGGTGCTTCAGTGTCATGAACACATTTCACTCATCCCTTCTTTGGTTTATTTTGTTTATAATTGTTTTATATATATTATATTATATTATATTATATTATATTATGTTATATTATATTATATTATATTATATTATATTATATATATATATATATATATATATATATATATATATATATATATATATATATATATATATATATATATATATATATATATATATATATATACATATATATATATATATATATATATATATATATATATATATATATATATATATATATATATAATCCTCAATCTCTGGCTTTTCCACAAGCCCCATGCAGAACTGAATGGCAACGAACGCTTTCATTTCTGGGACAGTTACATCGTACCAGCTAGATCAGGAGCTAGATTTCAGTTCCGCCCTCTCTACTGGTGAGCATATCGGTTAGTTTCAGTTGTGATGAGGGTCCAGAATTCCTCATCCAAAAAAACTGACAGAAAATCAATGTGTTCTGAATTTGACAGATCCCTGTCTCCACAGTAACCAACTGGCTCATCAAAACGTCTGATCCACTTGGAATACTGTTTTTCTCCCAAACTAACCCAGCCATCATCATTATTATTGTCACTGAGGCTGTGTTGGGCCACCCCCTTCTAGCAGTGATTTTTTTCCCCCGCGGTTCCTCCCCCTCCTGCTGCATTTCCCGTGGTTTACACCCCCGGGGCTGAATCGATCACCAGCAGAGTTTTCTCCGGCCCATCACCGCCACCACATCCCCCTGCTGCTTGTCGCAATTCTGCGACTTTGGCGCTTAAGGGGTTACATCTGTTTAAACCCACCTCTGACCTCTGACCTCTGACTTCAAAATTGTCTTGAATTTATTTACCATCTGTTCCATTTTTATCTAGACTGATATTTTACAACAGAGCTGCTTCATTAATTTATTTGTTTAATGTATCTTGTGACCTCTGTTAAATGTGCTTCATCAATAAAACTGGTGTGGTAGGACATTTGGCAAAAACACAAAAGGACCATTTTAAACAGGATCTTCAAACAGTTTATTCTGTTATGAAAGCTGAATGATAAATCATCCATCCATTCATTTTCAGTACCCGCTTGTCCATGCAGGGTCATGGGGAATGATTAATCAAAAACCTTTTATTCTAATGTAATTATTATGAAAGCTGTAAAAATGTTAAACTTAAACAATAAGCTGAGTTACAAACTTTGCTAACCCCTTTTATGAATCTGTTATCAAAATGTTCATATTTAATAACAAAACATTAGACCGAGTTATAATTATCAGTCATTGTGACAACATAAACATAAAGACACACCGACCTCTCAGCTGAGCCGCTCTGATCCACTAACGTAAACACCAGAGGGTTGTGTGGGAACGTGGAGTATCAGGGAACATGATCCGACAGCAGTGTGTGTTTGTCAGCTGAGGCATCGCCATGGTAACAACCACCCACCCACTGTTTAATTTTTAACTTGATGTTTGTTCACCAGAGTGGCTGAGGTGCCGCTTTAGGAGCGGAGCATTTAAATTAAACACATTGTATTTATTCTCGTTTAACACACTTTTTGTTTTCTAATCGAGTTTAGCTCCCCCTGAGAGATGATTGATATTATTGATCACAACGGATCCGATTCACCTGCAACATAACGCTAAAGGCGAGCCGCTTCTGTCACACGTGTGATCTCCCGCTTTTTTTTATTTAGATGAACTGCTTTTAAAATCAGTTTAGTTTTAATAAAATTGGTGTATCAACTTTAGTGGGATGTTTGCTTTGTGATTTGACACTAAATTAATAAACTGAATTCAATTCCGTATCAGCGGTAATTTGAATAAAATATAGTTTTAGTCCAATACTTTTAATTTTAGTCACAATTTAATCGACTAAAATATATGAATTTTTATTCTGATGAGGAATGCTCCGACATTACACCAAACATATTTATGCTGCTGAGATGATTACATCACTGTCACATGGCTAAACAATTACACGTCTCACCCCCTCACCCTCTGAAACAGACACAAACGAAAACAAGATGGAAAAAATACTGGTTGTTGATATCGGCCCAGTTTTACTTAGCGGACCGATACTGATGTTAAAAAATGACCAGCGTGCCGATATATTGTGCCTCCCTAATTCTGAAGCATTAATTTCAACTTCTGTAAAGGAAATGTTAACTACACCAACCTGAAACTGTAAAGCAGTATGGAAAACTCACATTTCAGACTATGGATCATGAGCGTTTTCAGCCCATTTTTAGGGGTGCTGAGGCACCCCTTATCTACTCCCAGCATCCCTAAAATTAGAGAATTTAAAAGTTTATTTTTACTATCTGTTTTCTAAAGATACTTGTAACATATAACAAGCATCCAGTGATTGGTTGAAACGTTATGTTTTAACAAAAATGCAGCAAATTTCCCCCGCCTCAAAAGTGGTTTGATCCGAGCCCCTGCCGCCTCCCTGAGTGGGTGACATGTTTCCGTTTCGTGTTTAAATGTTACGTAAACTGTGAGAAGAAAGCAGTGGCTGTCAATCACGCAGGTCTGGAGCGCGTGCCACGCACAAACCACCGAAACAAGGGAAACGACACAGAAAGAGAGAGAGAGACGTGGTGAGACAGGTGAGTGCGGTGGAGAAAACTCTGTTTCATAAAGACTGAAGACGTTTAGTCATGGGTTAAAGCTTTTCAGGTCGACGCTGACAGTCAGTGTGATCTTTCTCAACCACTATTCTCAGTCTCATGCAGGGGCGCCTCCAAAAACTTAGATGGGGTGGCCAGATGGGGCCAAAGAAAGTTTTGGGGTGGCACACCAAATTGGTCCTTGTGGTAACTCTGGGAGAGTTTAGCCCGTGGCGATGTACTGCATTGCTCCTTTATTAGTTTTGATGTGTTTTTTTTTAAATAACGGTACATATCCAAAAGATTAAACTTAAATTTCACAAACACAAACTTTTCAGAAACATACTTTTCAGTTATTTAAAATGTTATTTCACTTTTTATTTTAAAATGTGTTTTTTTAATTTTAATTCACCTGTTGCTGTGTTCACAAAAACTATAAAGATAAAAACTTTTTTAAAGCAGAAACAGGTTAATTTTTTTATTCTGATTATTTCTTTACTCATTAATTGTATTATTTTTATTTTGTTTTACAATTATGTCTTGAATAAATAAGATCAATTTATAGTTTCAGTGAATATTATTACGATTTATTTACACTGGCTTTTGCTGGGGGTTCAGCAATTTTCTAGGGTGTCTGGCCACCCCTTGGGAGCGCCACTGGTCTCACGGTAAAATAAAAGATTGATCTATAGCAGCCTTTCCGGTAATTAGACAGTTTCGTCATGCTAAAGCCCAAATACGATTCTAACAGAAAGGTGCTGGGGTGTTTCAGATACATGCTAATCAAACCCTTTTAAAGCACATTAAAGAACAGTTATAATTTAATTTAATCATTGATCGCTTATTCTTTGTAGTGTAGCAGTGACGATTGACTACATATTTGTTAAGTGATGAATAAGATGTGATACTCCATATAAATATGAATGGTCTGTGAATGTTTGATCAGAAGACTCTAGATTCTTTGACTATTCAGGGAACACACACTTCATGTTAATTCAGACAGAGTCAAGCATATAGTTTATAAAAATGAATGTAATTATTTTTTTCTAAACTAATGATTATACATGACAACGTCTCGCCTCGTCTTCTTCCACCTATCCGGGTCCCGGTCGCGGGGGCAGCATCCCAACTAGGGAGTTCCAGACCGTCCTCACCCCGGCCACCTCCACCAGCTCATCCGGCAGGGCCCCAAGGCGTTCCTGAGCCATTTCGGAGATGCACTTTCTCCAACGTGTCCTGGGTCGACCAGGGGGCCTCCTGCCAGCAGGACATGCCTGAAACACCTTCCTGGGGAGGCGTCTAGGAGACATCGTAACAAGATGCCCAAACCACTTCAACTGACTCCTCTCGATATGGAGGAGCAGCGGCTCTACTCCGAGTCTCTCCCAAATGTCTGAGCTCCTCACCCTATCCCTAAGACCTATCCCCCAGCCACCCCGTGGAGAAAACTCATTTTGGTTGCTTGTATCAGCGATCTTGTTATTTCGGTCATTACCCAAAGCTCATGACCATAGGTGAGGACTGGGCGGTAGATTGGCTGGTAAATCTAGAGCCTGGCTTTCTGGCTCAGCTCCTTCTCAACAACAACAGACCGGTTCTGTGTCCACATCACTGCAGATGCTACCTCAATCCGCCTGTTGATCTACCGCTCCCTCCTTCCCTCATTCGTGAAAAAGACCCCTCTCCCGACATGGAGTTGACAAGCTGCCCTTTTCTGGTCGAGAACCATGGTCTCAGATTTGGAGGTGCTGATCCTCATCCCAGCCGCTTCGCACTTGGCTGCGAACCTCCCCAGCAAGAGCTGTATGTCAGAGCCTGATGAAGCTAGGAGGACCACATCATCCGCATAAAGCAGAGACGAGATTTTCCTGCCACCAAACTCCACACCCTCAACACCACGGCTGTGCCTAGAAATCCTGTCCATAGACGTTATGAACAGGACCGGTGTCAAAGGGCAGCCCTGGCGGAGTCCGACCCTCTGTCACGTTACGGTGTTGGTAGGACCCAAAATGCAGAACCCAAGATGACACGAGGCAGATGGTGATATAAGAAAATATCCTTTATTTGGATGAGCCGAGAACAAACAAAAATAAATCCAAAGACAGGGAGCCAATAAGTCAAAAAATATCCAATTTCCAAGCTAGAGACAAAATACTGAAGACTAGAAAAGACTGGGATTCAAAAAGCTAGAGACTAGAGAAGGCTTGACAGAACTACCACAATGGACCGACACAAGACAGAGACAAGACAGGGCTTAAATACACAGGGAGGAGTAATTAGGGAAAACGGCAGCAGGTGTGTGGGGTGAGGGCTGGAGGGAAGACAGGTGACAATAATTTATCTAAATGGGGGAAACAGAACCAAAGGAGGACAGATAAACCTAAAACACAAAAACTAAACCTAAAGACTGAGGGAAGGACTCACACATACACACACTGATACACATAAACTCACACCCACATACACAGAACTGAGGACAAAGAGGCTGGAGCTGACCTGGGAGGAATTATCTTAAAAGGGTAACAACATAAGACACTTTTGAATTGTCTTTGTATTTGCATCTTTGTTTCCAATAGGACTCACTTGTAAACGAGATGCTTCATCTCAAGTGGTTTTATCCTCCTTAAAATATAATTTAATAAAATAAATAAATAAATAAATAATTCCGGTGGCTGCCTGGTGGGATCTGGGTCCCTGGGCTCTGCTGGGTCCCCAGCAGGGGTGTTCGCCCCTGGGTCCCAGGTCGCTGGGTTCCGGGCTCGGCCAACTGAGGGGGTGGGAGCCTGCAGGCGGGCCTATGGGCTTGCCGCTGATATCTCCCGGGACTCTGCCGGCTGCTGGTTGTGGCCCCCGGGGCAATCCTCTGCACCTCTTGAGGGGGTGGGGGCTTTTCTGGTCGCAGTCTCCCTGGGGTCCGTGTGCCCTGGGGCAGCTCCTGGATCTCTGGGACACGGAGCTCCCTCCGTCTTCTATGCTATCTTTGGGGGGCAGATCCATGGCCCCTCACACTCTATTGGACAAACCTTACATATACAAGCACGTGTACACACACAGGTGCTCTAATAAGTATGGACTTGGGCACGTTCAACACATGTCTTAAGGCTGTGGTTGGCACTAAATGCACTGTGATTTATTATCATGTAATTGTTCATTAAAACAATGTTGATTTTACATTTCCTTATCAAGTTGAAGCAGTGATAGCTTGCTCCTGTTGTATTGTTGTGTGTTCCTTTTCTGCAGGTCTAGAAGCAGACTCTTGTTCATCATTGTTTATTTTTGTGGATCCCCCCCCCCCCCCCCCCCACCTATTCAAAAAACAATAACAATAAAGTTTTAAGTATCAGGCGTGACATTAAAAGCAGATGCTTTGGTGCTCCACCTGAGAATAAATCTGTAAGGCTTGTCACCAGCATTCAGACATTAATTCTGTTTGCTTCACAGCCAGACAGGACACGGGAAATAACAAAAATAAAAAAAAATAAAAACAAATGAAAAAGCTTTAGTTTACATTAATAATAACCATGTCTAATGTTTGATTCTCAGCCTCACTTTTTTTCATTTAAAAAATTACTTTGAGGGCACATTTTCCCAAGCGATTAAAATGTGATTGATTAAGATTAATTAATTACAAATTCTCTTATTAATTAGATTAATTATTGTAATCAAGTCCCACCTCTAGTGTGTGTGTGTGTGTGTGTGTGTGTGTGTGTGTGTGTGTGTGTGTGTGTGTGTGTGTGTGTGTGTGTGTGTGTGTGTGTGTGTGTGTGTGTGTGGAGAGAGAGAGAGAATTCTAGCCACATTTATTGATTTCTAAACTGAATGTTCATTATGTAATTTGCATATATATCAACATTTATGAAGAGTTTGTTTATTTGAAGCTACAAAAATGGTATGATTAGAAATAAAATAAAACATTTTGTTCTGGAAGAGATGACAGAATTTTTTTTATCTGCTTTTAGACAGATTTCGAACAACCTCAGTTTGGGAAAACAAAAACTCGTGCTGTTAAGCCTCTTTATGAGGTCATTCAGGATTTACAAACACTTTATTAACAATTTGCTACAAAAGTTTGAAAGAAACATTTAATAAACTGGAGCTTAATGTGCAATAAAATCATTCATACACATATTCGAATGACTTCACTTCATAGTTCTATACAAAACGCTTTACGAATAAAATAAATTAAAGGAATTACTTTAAAGGTTCGCTATACAATAAAGAACATTTATTTACAATCAAACTGAAATAATAAAGTGTACAGAAAATATAAAACATATTTGTGTTACTCTTGATTCTCTGCCAGTTTTCTGATTTCCTCCAGAAGTTCTGAGAAAGTTGGCCGACCCTGAGGTTTCTACAATACCAATGAAGAAGAACAAAGTGGTTAAATGAGTAAAATCATCAGACAAATACTGACATTAGTTTTATACACCACAATTTAAAGGTTTTATCATTATTATTATTATCATTATTATTATTATTTATTTATTTATTTATTTTATTAATAGTAGTAGTTGGATCTCAGTTCTGCTCCTGGGGCAGGTTCGGATGTATTCTAGTGTCCTTTGGTTCCACCACAAAAGTACCATCTATTTTACAATGATTGTTATGAAGCTCTGATACAAAAAACATTTATTTATTCACTCCTTTTTTATTTGAATATTAACAGAACACTCATTTTAGTGATTTCCACTAAAACGATGATGACTTAACACTTTAAAGAACAACTTTGAGGGCACATTTTCCCAAACGAAAATACATTACTACATTTGAGTGCCTTCTTTACCAGAGCTGTCCTGTGAAAACCCAGTAAGACTGTTACCTTGTTAAAATAGTTCATTATGATTTTTACACCATTCTTAACGGGATGACTGAAGCTGCACGAATTTATTTAGAAAAAATCACAATATTTTATTTACTAAAGTAGCATCATTATGTTTGATTGGGGGGGTCGTACCTCGTGCCAGCAGCGGTACATGATGGAGTGCAGCTGTGGCGAGGCCCGGTGTGGTCGGTACAATCGGACCCCTTTGGTGATGTCATTCACCACCTCCAGATTGGAGCGGTTTTCAAAGGGAGTCTGACCTTCTGAGTGGATCTCCCACATCAGCACCCCTGCTTGGAGACACATCAGGTGTTAGAACGTGACCCACTGGCTCAGCGATGTTCAGAACCAGAACCTGTTTGGTTCTCTCACCAAAGGACCAGACGTCTGACTTGCTGCTGTATTTGCTGTAGTGCAGAACTTCAGGAGGAGACCACTTCACTGGGAACTTGGCCCCATTAGAGCTGGTGTACTGGTTGTCCAGAACGTACCTGGGAGTTGGGTTTATATAAAATATGGCCTTCAGGTGAGGATTTGATTAATTTTTTTGTTTATTTACAATATTTATGCAAATCAAACGTTATAATAGAAGCTTGAACGTCCTCTGAAGGATGCGGGCTTTACCTGGTCATCCCAAAGTCGCTGACCTTCACCACATTGTGCTCATCAACCAGACAGTTCCTGGCTGCCTGATTAGGAGACAAACAAGAAACCAGACGTTAACATCGTTCAAAACTCTGAAAAAAATCAAGACATGTTTAACTCATTCACTGCCAGCCATTTCCTGATCGCTAAAGCCCTTCACTGCCAGCGTTTCTCACCGTTTTTACTGTTTTTTTAAGAGTCACAGAACGTTGCACGCTAGGATGATGTTGACGCCAAAACAACCAAAACAAAGCGGAGACTCACCTCTTACATCAGGAAGAATCCGCTTGTTTCGAGCGTTATCCATTCTTTCATAATCCGTTGTTGAATTGTGATCTGCAGAAGCTTTTCCGGTTCGCGCCTCACTTTTTTTTTTTTACAGCAGCGGCCCAAAACGATCTCCTAACACATGGATTTCCTGCTTCCTGATCATGTGACGTGTGACGTATGCGGATGAAGACACGCTTTAGAGCTGAGATGCTTGTTCTCACGGTGGAGGGGCTCGTTCCGACGCCCACACGGTAAAAAAATGCAAATGACGACTTTAGTCGTCATTGGCAGTGAATGAGTTAACAAATAACCCAAAAGTTAGACTGCTTGGAAACAAAACAGAAATGATTCATAGAGAAAAGTTGGACTAAAGTTGCCTGAGAACATTTGAGGAGACTCACAAGGTCTCTGTGGAGGAAACTGTGGGCCTCCAGGTACTCCATCCCCTCACACACGTCCTGACACATGGACAGAAGCCACGCCTCCTTTAGAGCCCTGCCCTTCTGACGCAGGAAGTTCAGCAAGCAGCCATTCTCCAAAAACTCGGCTATGATCAGCAGAGGGCGCTGCTTGAAACATACACCATACAGCTGGACCAGCTTGGGATGGCAAAGCCTCCTGGGGGAAAAAAACAGGTAAATTACACATCCTCTATGGGGAGCTGTTTATAATATAAGAGATTCGGCTTTTTCACTCATTTAGGATAAAGTCATAATGTAAAAATAAATAAATGTATGTAAAAGTTAAATCAAATTGGTCTGACTATAAGATTTTAAACTTGTTCATTTACAATAAAATCAAAATGTCAGCTAAATATAAAATTATTGGGTTTAACCTGAATGTTTACATGCAAATTCAGTCTAGAGATGCTGTTGAAGGTTCTCCTTCATCCAGATCATGGTAATCCAAAGTGTCTAGATATCTAGATATCTACGTCAAACAGGAAAAACCTACACTAAATAGAGGAGGAGGCCTCAGGTTTCACATTTCTATAAAATGCAAGTCTGAACCTAATTCCTAAACAGTTTCAGTCTAGGTCCCACCCTCCTGCCTCTAATCAATACAACAATTCCCACACAATAGGGGCTAACAACTCCAACGACTCCTCGGGAGGTAGGGACGAGGGGTGTTCATGCGTAGTTTCTGCTCGTTATGCAACAATAGACGTCTAACAGCTTATGGAATAGTCTAGCGACAGCCCTGAATTTCTGTATTTAAATTTAATTTATCTATTTAGTTTGATTTAAAATATGTAAATTTGAGTCTATAGTTTAAGAAAAGAGATTATATTTTTGTTTTTCTTTATATATTTGACATAGACTTAGAATTTAAATTTTACTTGATATAAATTAGATCAGTTAGATCTAATCTATAGATTAAACTTAAAGTATTTTGATTTAACTTGGGATTATATTTGAAATATTTAAATGAAAAATTTTATACTCAGATTTGATTTGATATACATAGATTTAACTTTATACATTCAAAATTGATTAAAACATTTTATTTATAATCAATCATTTAAAGGTAACCCTGTAAATTATTAAATAAACTTGGTACATAATGTGACTAAACCATCAATTTGGGGATCTTTGTGTGTTTTTATATGAATATAAATAAATGTAGCAGTTTCAATAATAATGTATTACTTTATGATTAGCCCTCCATATATGGTTCTACTTCCTGTTTATTTTGTGGCACCTCCTCTGAGCCTTACGTCATGACTTTGGCCTCCTCGATGAAGTCTTCCTCATACATGGCTCCATCCCTGATGGCCTTGATGGCCACCTTGTGCTGGCCCCTCCACTTCCCGAGCTTCACCACTCCAAACTGACCACAGCCCAGCTCCTTCATGAAGGTCAGCTCGTTGGGGTTAATCTCCCATTTCTCTGGAAGGGAAACAAGACAAGAGAAGTCAGATGTTAGGGTTAGGGTATATATTTATGCAGTTTTACGCAATACAAGTTACAAAAGGTGCCAAACGCACTACATGAATGGTGCAAAATGACATGCTGTTCGACAAAAAAAGAAATAAAAGTCTTTGCATCTGTTGAGACCTCTCCGTCTTCTTTTGATGCCAAGGGCAGCAAAGTTCTCAGAGATTTTCTGATACTGATAAATTGACTCTAAGAACAAAGCTAGAGATCGTCTGCATATTACTTTATATAAAACTTAATTTTCTTGCAAAGCATTTCAACATTTTCCATATAATTATTAGAACTTTAACCTCAGAGTTGGATTTTTTCATTTTTGTACCCCTGGCCCCAGGTCGTTTATTTATTTATTTTTAATCTACAATGACTCTGATACTGTTTTGTTTTGTAAGTAAGATGCTATAGTAAACACGTAGGAGAGCAGTAAGGAGTTGCCGACTTGGATAACAATAAATCTGTTATTTATTTTAAATGACTGATCATCTGACAACAGCGCCCCCTGGTGGACTAGAACTCATTCTTCAGGCTCACAATACTACACAAATACAGCCGTGAAAGTAAGTACATCAAAGCATATGCACAGTTGTAAAAGTCCTGTGATGTTCTTGTTTTAGAAATGCCATCTTAAATACATATTCATTCAGTCATCCATTCATTCATCTATTTTCAAAAACACATATTGCTCAGTAGGGTTTTAGAGAGCTGGTGTACATGTCTCTAGTCAGTCACAGGAGCACACAGACACACTACTAATCAATCACACTCACTCACTCACTCACTCACTCACTCACTCACTCACTCACTCACTCACAACTAGGGATCATTTAGTCTCCAGGTAACGTAACATGAATGTTTTAGGTTTGTTGGAGGAAACTGGAGCATCCCTGAAAACCCCCACATGCATGAGGATAATGTTGAAATAAATGGTCTGTATTTGTATAGCACCTTCTTAGGGATCTACAACCCCCCAAGGCACTTTACAACACAATCAGTCATTCACACACTGGTGTGGCACTGACAGAGGCAAGGCCTGCCGAACACTAGCGCCACCGATTACTCCGACCACCACCAGCAGGCGAGGTGAGGCACATGGCCAAAATGGCAGTGGTGGGAACCTCCCATTTGGTTTCAAACCTGCCCCCACAAAACAATGGGCGGGGTTTGTCCATCTTATTTATATGTCGATGACAGTCACTCATACCACTGGGCCACTAAGCTGGAATTAATATGGGAAAACAATATGGATCAAAAAATTTTTGTCTGCAGTTCAGACATTGCACATGCATTGATGGAGACGTTTTGCCTCTCTCCACAGATGCCTCTGACACAGAACTAATCTGCATGAGACTGCCTCAAGGTCATGCATTTGCTTCTAAACTGCTTTCTTTCCAGCTCAAGAGAAGAATGAAGATAAAGGACTCTTTCCTTTTCATAAATCAAAGAACTCTATTTTTAATAAAGCTAATCAAACAAGTGTTAGTCAATAATATAATGTTGACCAATCTGTGAAATAACAATGTTATGATTAATATGCTTTAATAAGTAATATGACTTACATCTAGCTGCACTAGACATGCTGACTACACGTAATGTAAACGCATGACACATTGTTTACCCATCCAATCAGAACCTTCCTTTCTGAAGCGTGGCATAGACTCTGTGCTGTTTATAAATCTGCCAACTTTGATTCGACCAGAAATCAAAACATCCAGATTGATAAAACCAGTTCCCACGCCATCTTAGTTCAGTTCTCTGGAGTTCTCCGCAGTTCACCGCATTATCGACCGGCCACCTGGAGTTCCTTTTTAAGCAAAGAACCAACAAGCTGGATAAAATCTATTTCATTTTACCAACCAAGCAACGGTTCCTTTCAGAATAAAAGCTGAACTTACTGACCCCAAGGGGGTCCCTCTGACGCTGTGAACCAACTTTCGCTTTTACCTGAAGACAATCCAAAGACTAGTCTGTCGTACTGCTGACGCTGTTTCTTCGGCTCGAGTACCGAAAGGGGGGTTCGAGGACCTGGCATTCTGGATCTGTACGGAGGTCTCATCCCGAAGGGTATGTGTAGAGCGACAAATATGGCGTCAAATGTGTTTATGAAACTCCGATCAAACTCTGATCATAGCTAAAAGCAAAACGTCACAACATCATTCAGACTTGCTTCTCCGGATACGAGAGTTCTGATTACAACATCACTCACTCATACACCAATCATCTCACGTCTCATTACACCAGACCCATTCATCACTTAGAATTAGAGTTGGTCTTGTTTAAAATTGTTTAGAAATAAATCTTAAACGTTTTAAGGGTGACTCTCTCTTCTCTTGTCTCTCAGTTAATACAAGTGTTACCTAATCCATGCAATAAAAAGTTCCAATCTTCTACTATGGAATCTTACATCTTACGGTTCCTTAAATAGATGTAAATTAACCCTTTACATAATGGTGAGCCATTGCCAGATATTTGTACATTGCTGACACTTTGTGCTAAGTCTGAGACATATTTAAACAAAAAAAAAACTTTAACTTGATGTTTCTGGTTGAAAACGGGATGATCTCGTAATCCACCACTAGAGAGCAGCACATAACATTGCACATGCATTGACGGAGACGTTTTGCATTTGGACTTCTCCATCACCTGGGGAGTGTAACAAAGCATTTCCCCACCAGGACTACAGAGGGCGTAGAGGGCATGTATCTGGTCCAATATAGTGCATTTAATACTATGTTTATATTGTGTTTTTGTACTTCAGAAACTTTTTAACACGGACAAATTTGTTCCTCATCCTCCTCCACCTCTTCATGCGCTCGTCACCCCCTAAACCCACGTATCCCATCATTTCCATCCACGCATACAACACTTGCTGCGTATCTCCATCCTTCATCAGTAACAGGTGAATAAACGCTCATATTTTCAGACTTTTTCGATGAGGTATTCGTCAAGCTGCTTCGTGTATGTCGCCAGATATCTTTGGCTCTTTTACTTTCTGAGGGGGCAATGGCGGTGCTGTTGACAAATTCAATGACTTGCAAGACATCACCTCGCAAGGCCAGGCGCCTCGACATTGAGAAACACCCACTGTTCACTACCGTTCCTGTTCTGACTTCAGTCTGCCGGTCCGCTGGGGCCCCCTTGTATCCTGGGGAGTGTCAGGATTAGTACGTTCATCAGAATGAGGGCGTATTTACCTGAGCTGAACCCGGCTGTAGCTGGGACACACTTCCCCATGGATCCAACCGCGTACCGCAGCCTGGTCACCAGACCTGGACAAAAACAGCAGAGTCAGAGTCCTGATGCTGGTGTTGTGTAACGGCAGGTGTTCACCCACCTGCTGCGTTGTGTTCGTGGTAGTGTATAACATCTGGGATGGAACTGAATACGTGTTTTTCAGCCAGGTAGAACTGCTCCGTGTCCGTGATTTTAATCTGATAATGTCGGATTTCTCCATGCACACTAAACACACAAGCACAAAAACTGTTATTTTCCTGTTATGGTTGAAATCATCATGAGTTTTACTCCAGCGAGACTTTCAGAGTCACCTTAATGTTTTGGTGTAAACAGAGACGGTGTAAACGCCCTTTTTACTTGACTCCCGGACAACAAAACCTCCTTCTTTGTCCTGAAATACCAAAACAAATGTTTACTGTCCGAGTTGTTTACTGTAGCATCGGATAAGCCTCAGCAGGTCGTTTACTTGTTTGTTTCAGACAAACATTCAGGTGAGAGGGTAAAACCAGACCTCCTGTCTCAGCAGCTGCTCAGCTTCAGTCCTGGTGATGTTCTTACAGTACCACCTGAAACACAGGAGCCGTTGTTCATCAGTGGCTTTTATGGTTACACAAACACAAACAAGGTTGGAAAAACAAACATCAGACTCACGAGTTTGCCTCGATTTTGTTTTTCTCCGTTACGTAGTTACTGGGGATGAAGCCCTTGTTTCTGAGAAAAACATAAAAATGAACACAAGCTATTAGTTTGGAACATTTTAGACTCCAGCTGATGTACAGTATGTAAAAGTTGGTTTGTCAATGGTAACGTCAGGGGCGGATTTAGGACTGAAGAAGATCCGGGGCTTAACACACACACACACACACGTGACACACACTAGTCAACATCATATATATTTGTCTTGTACCACATAATTTTTAATCTGAAGCTACATATTAAGCATTTTCAGGGCAGATTATTGTTCCTGTTAGTGTTTAGTGTGAGATGATAGTAAATATTCCCTTTCTTTCTCCAACAACTTTACCTGATAAGCTAACTTTAGGCAAACCAGCAGCCAACAAATATTTTCAAATAAGACTCACAAACCTGAGTCAACACCAGTCTCATCAAAGCTGGGGTTCTGTCGTTGTACTTTTGGTCTAAAAAACGTCCTTATGTCCATCTTCACTCATGCATTTCAAGCAGAGAGTGTAGAAGAAGCCGGCTGCTGAAGGGCTTCTTCTTCAGTGGTGGAGGCTCAGGCAGGCTGTATACAAACTACTGCCAGCTGCTCCCTCTCTGTTGGACTTTGGTACTGCATGTTACTTCCGCGATTTAGATCCGGGGCTTTTCATGAAACATCCGGGGCTTCAGCCCAAGTAGCCGGGCCTAACGCCGCCCCTGGGTAACGTCTAATTTGCTTCAATGACCATATATGGGCAGAGGACATCTTCTTCCTGCTCTATTTTGTTTTTATTCTGTTCAGCTTAAATCTTTTTTATGATTAGTTTGAGAGTGAATTTTAAATCAAAAATTTTTTTAATCTTAAAAATCTTTTAATTAGAATTGTTTTTCTTGTTTTTATTTTCTATGTTTACGATGTTCTACTATTCTGAAATAGCAAGTGGAAATTAAGTCTCAGGAGGTCTCCAAAGTTAATATTCAAGCCATTAAAAAAGTCATATTTTTGTTAAAACAGAATCTCATAAACACAATTTGTTACCATTTCTGTGGCTGAATTTATTAAAAACACCAAAGAAAACAAAGTTTTGCCAACAGGAAATAAAACAAGCAGATTCTCAATGTTTCCTGAAACAAACAGACTTTAATATAAAGCAGGAAAAGTCGGAAGCGCTGGACTCTCTCAACGCTAATACATAAAATAAGTTTGAAAAAAAAATTTTTTTTAGATCTGAAATGTTATTTTTAGGTTTTTATTCTTACCCGTGTTTGTCCTGCGCCCTCCACCACAGCTGGTCCTGCTTATGGAGGATGACATACTCCTCACCCTGCAGACGCAAAAACCTGCATCAGCTGTGTGTGTGTGTGTGTGTGGGTGTGTGTGTGTGTGTGTGTGTGTGTGTGTGTGTGTGTGCGTGCGTGTGCGTGTGTGTGTGTGTGTGCATGCATTCATGCATGTGTGTGTCTGTGTGTTTGCCTTTTTAATGGTGAGGTCACTGTCCTCCTTGGCGGTGAAGTCGTACATGGCGACGACGCTAAGCAGACCCCCTCCTTCTCCGTCCTCACCTACAGGTGGGGGCAAGGGGAGCTTTTTCATGGACCTTTCCACCTGAGAGAAAGAAAATAGAACATTTCATTCCTGGTTCTCTCGTGCATTCATGGTGTTTCACAAATGGTTTCTTACCCGGCAGGCGTGACCCGGGTATCGTCTGTTGGGGAAGCACAGAGCGGTTTTATCCTCCAGCTCCATGTGGGTGCTGATCTCCCTGAAATAAACCAAACTCTTAATTTATTTGTCTTTATCTACAGAAATTCACTCAGATATTTTTGATCTCCAACTGTTTTTTGCTTCCGAACTGCTGAAACCTCTTATTTTAGATTTGATTATATTGCTAACATTAGCGATGTTGCTACCATTAGCAATGTTGCTAACATTAACAATGTTGCTAACATTAGCGCTGTTGCTAACATTAACAATGTTGCTAACATTAACGATGTCGTTAACATTAACAATGTCGCTAACATTAACAATGTTGCTAACACACACACACACACACACACACACACACACCACACGTATTTACCATGTAAGTACTTAGCAATTAGGGGACTGTAAAAGGAAGCGTTAATGAATAGATTAATTTAAAAAACTAAAATAATACAAATATAATAAAATTACTCTGTAAAAATAATAAAATATAAATATTTACAAAAATTGAAAAGGATAAAAAATAAAAAATAACCTACTCTTTAGTCTAATAAATTAACCAAACATTATCAGATAGCATTCTAAACCAGGACATTTAAGAGTCAGGAACAAATCAAGTTATCTAAAGAAGATCTGTAATATTTTACATTAACCAGCTGACTTATGATGACTGTGGTTAATAGTGTCACAAACTCCTCCTCCTGACCATCAAAGAAGGAGAGGAGTGGAAGACCGCCTTCATCACACCGACCAGCCACTACGAGTGCCTAGTGATGCCTTTTGGCCTTTGCAATAGCCCTGGGTTTTCCAACGATTCATCACTGATGTACTGAGAGACATGCTAGGCCGCTGGGTCTTCGTATATCTGGACGACATACTCATTTACTCTCGCACTGCCGAAGAACACACCCAGCACGTTCGGGCCGTCTTGTCGCGCCTCCTGGACCACTACCTATATTGCAAACTGGAGAAGTGTGCCTTTCACCAGGAGTCCACCTCCTTCCTGGGTTTCACCATCTCCTCCCGGGGTCTGAGTATGGATCCTCAGAAGGTTCAGGCTGTAGCACAGTGGCCGCTACCCACGACCCTGAAACAGGTGCAGAGCTTTCTGGGCTTCTCTAACTTCTACCGCAGGTTCATACGCAACTTTAGTTCCTTCGCAGCACCTCTAACCTCCCTCACCAAAACGACCAACCAGCCTCGCCCTTTCCGTCTCACTCCGGAGGCCACCCGAGCCTTCCACGATCTGGTCCGTCGCGTTGTGAGTGAACTCATCCTCCTCCACCCGGATCTGACCCAGCCTTTCATTGTAGAGGTGGACGCCTCTGAGGTGGGAGTGGGAGCCGTTCTATCGCAACGAGGCCCGGACTCCAAACTCCACCCATGCGCGTACTTTTTCCGAACGTTCTCCCCAACACAGCAGAACTATGGGGTCGGCGACCGAGAGCTGCTGGCAATAAAATGGGCTCTGGAGGAGTGGCGGCAATGGCTCTTAGGAACAACCGACCCTTTCCTCATCTGGACTGACCATCAAAACCTGATACATCTTCAGACTGCCCGCCAACTCAACTCTCGCCAGGCTTGGTGGGCCCTCTTTTTCGAGCCCTACAACGTCCACATTGCCTACCGACCCGGCTCCAAGAACCTCAAGGCGGACGCCCTCTCTCGGCGTTACACGCAGGACCCGAGCCCCCTAGAGCCTTTGACCATCCTGCCGGCCCAACGGTTCTTTGCCTCCCTCCAATGGCCTCTGGAGGTCTCCATCCGGGCTGCCCTCCCTGCTGATCCGGCACCCCCAGAGACTCCCCCGAACTGCCTCTATGTTCCGGCCGTCTGCCGACGGGAGACCCCGATGTGGGGGCATTGTTCACATCTCGCTGGACATCAAGGCCAAGCTCGCACCCTCCAGTTTCTCCGTCGGGCTCTATGGTGGCCTTCTATGAGGAGGGATGTATGCGAGTTCACTGCCGCATGTGATGTATGCGCCCGGTCCAAGTCATCCACCCAACCTGGCGCCGGGGACTTGCAACCGCTCCCCGTGCCCAAGCGGCCATGGTCACACATCGGCCTGGATTTTATCACAGGGCTACCCACTGTCGATCACCTGGACACTATCCTCATCATCACTGACCGGTTCTCGAAAGCCGTGCACGTGGCCTTGGCCGGACTCCCCACTGCCAAAAGAACAGCTAAACTGCTCCTCGAACAGGTGGTGCGGCTCCATGGTTTCCCCCCAGGACGTAGTATCCGACCGAGGACCCCAGTTCATCTCGCGGTTCTGGAGGACCTTCTGTCATCTGGTCGGCACTTCAACCAGCCTATCCTCCGGGTACCAACCGCAGACTAACGGTCAGACAAAATGGGCGAACCAGCAGCTTGGACGTTACTTGCGCTGCTTCGCCTTGTCCCAACCTTCCACCTGGCCCCACTACCTCCTGTGGGCGGAACTGTCCCGTAACCTCCATACCTCCTCTGCCACGGGTCTTTCTCCCTTCAAGATGTGTTATGGGTACCAGCCCCCTCTGTTTGGCCACCAGGTGCCTGAGATGGAAGTACCTGCTGCTCAGACTCTTGTCCACCGCTGTCGTCTCGCCTGGATCCGGGCCCGTGCGGCCATCACCCGGTCCAACACGGAGTACTCCCTTCAACATCGCCGCCGCCACCGGCCAGGCCCCATCTTCCAGCCCGGTGACCAGGCGTGGCTCTTCTCCGCTAATCTGAGGATGCCGGCGGGCTCCCGGAAGCTCGCTCACCGCTTCCTGGGCCCCTTTCCTGTCCATAGGGTCAGCTATCCGGTCACTTACCGGCTGCACCTTCCGGCCACTCTCAGGATTCACCCGGTCTTCCATGTCTCCCAGCTCAAGCCGGTGCTCTCCTCTCCTCTCCACCCCCCTCCGGCCCAGGTGCCTCCGCCCCGTTGTGTTGACGAGGACCGTGTGTACACTGTCCGCTGGATTCTGGATGCCCGCCGCCGGGGTCGTGGTTGGCAGTACCTGGTGGACTGGGCGGGTTACGGTCCGGAGGAGCACTCTTGGGAACCCGCTCGCTCGTTTCTGAACCCGGCCCTGTTGGATGAGTTCTGGGCCCACCGTCCTGGGACTTCGGGGGCCGTCCCTAGAGGGGGGGGGGGGGTCCTGTCACGAACTCCTCCTCCTGACCACACCCTACGGACCTAACTGGCAGAGCACTACATTACCCAGCATACCCATCACTGGCGTGGTTCACCGACGTCATCACGCCGACTCTATTCACGAAAGCGCCGCCGCTGAGTTATCACTCAGTCATCGTCCACGCCAGACTTCGACCCGAGTTCTCAGGCTCACCAGCCCTCAAACCAGGAAAGAGACCTTTCCTCGCTGCCTACCACCAGTAAGTCAGCTTCCTTGTTTATTTGGAACTGCCGCTCAGCCTCGGCTCTTAAGGAGCGCTGCGTCGCCGTTCCCAGATTAAAGCCGCGTGCTCAGTATAACCCAACGCCAGCCACTCCGCGTCTGGGTCACACAGCCACGCTACAAGCAACCTCCGCTAAACATTAGCTCAGCCCATCTCACCTGACAAATAGTCCCAATCATCAGGGATTAATGGCCAAGTGTAGACAGGAAACTGGTTCATAATTGACTACTATTAAGGTCAGCCTGAAAATATAAAGATAAGGAATCCAAAATCTAATAGCAAACAAAATCTAAAGAAAAAATTAGATAAAAAAACTAAAACTAAAAACTAAATAAATAACAACCTTCAGAAGAGTCTGAACACACAGACGCACAGTGGTGACAAGGAGCTCCAGAAATACAGCAAAGATCATAAAACATCAGGAGTCGTATCCTGCACCACAACTTTATGAATACATGAATAACATTATAGCTTCTCTTACTTTCTAAAAGTAAAATCTGGTGTGGTTTTTTTTACCTGGTTTGAACGGTGCAGCAGCAGCAGAACACAGACCGAGTCGAGTGATCTGAAATAAAAGGAAATAATACAATGAACATTTAACCACTGATCATGCTAACAGGAGTTAAGCCAGCAACTTTCTTGCTGCAAAGCACCATATAACCAACTGCACCATCCAGACGGCAAATGGCCTCATTCACAGTGCCTAGCCAGTCAGGAACCTCTCTGGTACTGTATGTTTGTTCTGCATGACATGAAGTTTCCTAAATTAATTACTTTGAATTTGTCCTCATTTAATTACAAAACATTTAAAGCATTTGCATTCTTATCAAGCATTTTAAGAGACCTGGTTTTAGAAGTAAGTAAAACAATGTGTCAATTATATTGCAATTAATGAGGATGCCAATCCATAAGGAGCCTAGGAGAGGTCCAAGACTGGAGCCCTGAGGGACACCACACGAAACATAAGAAAAGATAATGATATTTTGTTATACAGCAAACAGTTTATGTGCAGGAACTGTTTTGTAAACATTGAAGTAGAAACAGAAATTCTTGTGGTTTTTAAAAGCCATGAATGGAACAATAATGCTGCTATTTGTCAGGTTTGAACTACTAACACAAAAGTTTGTAAAGTTGCATTTGTGTGATGCAGTTATAGCAGCTAACTATTGGTAGCATGTTTATAACTGATCCCAGCAGGTGTTTGACTTTGTTCACTTTGTCTCTTTGTGGTTTAGGTGGGAGGTCTTTGTCAGGAAGCGTAGTTTCCTTTCAGCAGAACTAACTCTGTTCGTGTGTCTCTGTGGGTGAAGCCTGTGTGTGTGTTTGAGGTTGTGTGTGTGGGTCATATTCTCAGGTATTTGTCTCTGCTTGCAGACACAGCTAGTTACATTATTTCCTGTGTGTTTACAAGAAAAAGCCCACTCATCTGCAGAAACTGTCATGTGATTTAAAGGGACATTCCACAATAAAAGCAGATCATTTTGTGTGTGTGTGAGTGTGTGTGTGTGTGCGTGCGTGCATGCGTGTGTGTGTGTGTGTGCATTCGTAAATGTGTGTCTGTGTGTCATGTAACATAGGACACGCTGTTGTGGTGGTTTGTGGTGAAACAACATCCCATCAACATTTTCTGTCTAATGTTCCAAATATTCAGCGAATTAGCAAAATAAAAACTGATTAAAATATAAAAAATAATATACAAATGAAATAAAATCTTCACATTTTCTTAAGATTAAATTAATTTTATTATAAAATAACACAGATTGTTTAAGTTTCTTGTTTTATTATTTCGAAAACTTCCAAACAATAAATGCAGAAATAACAAATGATCTGCAAATTATTTTATCATTGATCATCCCTGAATCCTATGTACCAATAGGATTTCCCCCACAAAATGAGTTTAAGCCTGGCGGATTCGGCTGCCGGGGGGTGGGGGGGTGGCGCTGGCGCGCTCTGTCCCGCAGTGCTCCTCTGTGAGAGCGGGGGTGGGGGTGGGGGGTTGCACACGTTCCGCTGCTGTTTCTCACCAGTATCAGCTGATGGAGGGCTCTAGTTTCTTTGCGCCGTTCATGTCAGTGGACACGGTAGGGTTGGGGAGGGGGGCGGGGCATGACACTTAGCCTGGCGGGTGGCCTAGCAAACCTGGTGGGCAACAGTTGTAAAGCGCTGGGGGATACCCTGACCAATCATAGATGTCCGATATCATTGGCCGATATTGGAACAAAAATGTTGTATCGCAAATTATGCCTCTCCACGTTTAACTTTATAAAGCAATAATATATAAGCATGTAATAATTATATATTCAATACAATTCAGATCACCATTACAACTTTGTCTCCCCCAAGGCCGTAACAAGGCGTTTGGGGGGCCAAAGCAAATTATTCTGAACTTTGTCTTAGAATCACATTTAGCTTGTACATAATTTAAAATATGTTCAACCTTATTTTTTTTATAATAAATATTTTGAATTGTTTGGAAAAATAATCATAACACAACATACTTACTTGAAGTGTTTTGTACCATTTTAAATACATTTTGACTGGGAAATGCTCTTTAAATACACTCTATACCTTCTAGAAATATTATAACAAAACACTAAACACACACACACACACACACACACACCCGTCTCCCTAAATCTGAGGTCCCAAGGTTAGCAAGTATGCCGTATAATCATCAAAATTGTATCTAAAGTACATAGGGTGCAGGTCTAACATCTTTTAACTTGATGCTAATTTTGCATCACATTGTGATTTTGACCAAGATCAATTGTACATGAGCCCTGGATTCACCTAAAGCAGGGGTTTGGGGAAGACAACGAGGGGGCCCGCGGGTCGCCTAGAATCACTGACCTAAAGTATCACATTTAACTGCTGTGAAATGACTGCAGTGCAGCGTATCAGCATGGGAATTGGTGAATCAGTGACTGTAGTGTAAAGTGCTTTGTATTTCTCTGACTTGGAGTGTCAGCAAAGTGCAAGCCATTACTATGGATTTAAATGGGTACTTACAAGGTTATATAAGGGTACTAGGGTTGTCACGGTGTGAAAATTTAACCTCACGGTTATTGTGACCAAAATTATCACGGTTTTCGGTATTATCGCAGTATTTTTTTAAACGTGTTACATTTTAGGACAACTAAATAAACCCTTTATGTCAGGAAAATACTGTCCTCGGTTTGTGTCTAAATTTTGCCTAAATTTGTTATTTCGTAATTACGTTGTTTATTTGTTTACATTTTTCCCATTTAGTCTTTAAAATAGCAATATTCAATATTTGCCCATAACGTCTTATTTTTTGTCTGTTTGATGTCATCATTTAAAAATATTAGACCAGATGATACTCAGTACTCAAGTAGCCTTCTAATCAGATACTTTTTTACCCTTACTTGAGTAATAAACCCTATATCAGGAAAATATTGTCCTCGGTTTGTGTCCTTCCAGTGAGCTTTGCAGATTTGGGAAAATGTCATCAGGCAGTAATCATTGTTAAATTCATAATTATTCTCGGAGAGAGACCAACTCTTATCTGCCCCTGGGAGCCCCGTAATGCATAGCGGCATTTCAACATGGGGGTGTCCGCGACACGGTTTATATGCAGGTAGCGGCGCTGCGGCTGCTTTATATAGCGACTCGTTGCTTTCTCCCTCAACCCAAATCCTCGGATCACGCATTTTAGCTAAAACGCTAACGTTAGCTTGCCTTGCGTTGACTGTAGAGTTGTGGGTGATGGTCACGCAGATGTGTCATGAGATTTGAAGCGTTGCTGCCTTTCACAGACACTTTTTCTGCACGTGCTGCAAACAGGATAGCAGTCTTCTATAAACTGTCCTTCGGCATTCTTCAAATATCCAAAAGATGCCCGTACTTCCCACTTTGTCTCCTTTGAGGGATAATAAATGTGTCACACTCATGCCGGTGAGTGGAGCGGAGGTAGGATCCAAACGCGGGGAGGAAAAAGGCAAACAGGTAGGTACTTTTACCATAAGTTTAATAATGACACACGCTGGACAACTGAAACAATGAACCGGCACAGGACACAGAACAGACAGGGTTTAAATACAGGAGGGTCGGGAGCTTGGGTGATTGGGAGACGAAAGGCAGATGGGAGCAATCAACAGAGACACATGACTAAACAGAACGGGGAGACAAGACAGGGCGTGACAAAATGTCCTGAGCGCTGCCGTCTCCTCCTTTGGCCATTATTTCAGCTTTAGCTTCAAGAAAGTTTAGGTTGTAAACAACAAAGTGCGCATGTGCCGCCGGCAACTTCAGCAGATGATACGGTGGCTGGTAAGGGTCACCGCGCCTACACCGCAGCCACGGTAAACCAACCAAGATAATACAGTTTTTAAAAAACAAGACAGTTATTATTATTGTCAACTTGTTTTACTGGGGTTTACCGCTACACCGGTTACCGTGACAACCCTAAAGGGTACATAGAAGTGTATATTCATGTACTTACAGGATTGTGCACATGGTATTTACAGGATTATGCACATGGTACTTACGGGAGTATCAGATGTAGAGGTAGACTGATAATTTGGTTGGCCAATATATATCTTTTTTAATATGCCAGCATCGATTGACATTTGTCCTTAATAAAGCTAATTTAAAGTTAGATGCATGCTCCAGTAGCCCAGTGCAGAGTTTTATTTAAATTTATTTTTACGTTCACCAATAACAGCAGCATAATCCATCCATCCATTTTTGTCCGCCTATCCATGGACAGGTTGCGGGGACAGCAGCCTCAGCCAAGAGGCCCAGACCTCCTTCTCCAGCCACTTGGGCCAGCTCCTCCTGGGTAATCCCAAGGCATTTCCTGGCCAGCCGTGAAACACCCCTCCCAGATGACCGAGTTTCTCACCCTATATCTAAGGGAGAGCCCAGACACCCTGCAGAGATAACTAACTTCTTGTATCTGCAATCTCATTCTTTTGGTCACTACCCAAAGCTTGTGTCAATAGGTGAGGGTAGGAACGTAGATCGGTAAATCAAGAGCTTCACCGTCTGTCTCAGCTCTCTTTTCACCACAACAGACCAGTACAACACCTGCACCACTGCTAATGCAGTGCTAATCCACCTATTGATCTCGCACTCCATCTTTTCCTCACTCGTGAACAAGAACTGGAGATACTTAAACTCCTCCACTTGGGGCAGGACTTCGTCCCTGACCCGGAGAAGACATTCTACCCTTTTCTGACTCAAGACCATGGTCTCGGATTTAGAGGAGCTGATTCTCATCCAAACTGCTTCACACTCAGCTGCGAACCGCTTCAACAAAAGCCAGACATCACTTTCTGATGAAGCCAACTGGACCACATCATCTGCATAAAGCAGAGACCCGATCCTCAGGCCACCAAAAGAGATCTCCTCACCAGCTTGGCTGCACCTAGAAATCCTGTCCATGTTATGAACAGAATCGGTGACAAAGAGCAGGCATGGCTGAGTCTAATTCTCACTGGGAACCAGATCGATTTAATGTCGCCAATGCAGACCAAGCTCTGACACCGGTCATACAGGGACCTGACAGCCCGTATCAGAGGGCCTGGCACCCCATACTCCCAAGGGACACAGATAAACACCTTCTTCAAATCCACAAAACACATTTGGGCAAACTCCCACGCACCCTCCAGGAACTCACTAAGGGTAAAGCTGGTACAGTGTTCCACGCCCAGGATGAAAAACTCTTTGCTCCTCCTGAATCTGAGGGTCGACTATCCGACAGACCCTCCTCTCCAGAACGCCTGAATAGACCTTACCAGGGAGGCTCAGGAGTGTGATGCCCCTGTAGTTGGAACACACCCTGTGGTCCACCTTTTTAAATAGGGGAACCATCACCCCCGTCTGCCAGTCCAGTGAAACTGCCCCTGATGTCCACATGAAATTACAGAGCCGCGTCAGCGTCCCCCAGAGCCTTGCATGAATTAAACTTTATTTAGTTTTCTGATTTTATCAATTAGCAATGCACAATGTTAACAATCAGCAGTTAAAACCAGAGTTCAAAAACAGATTCAGTTTCACAAATGTTGTGCGTCAACAAACATTAGCAGTGACATTTTAGAATTTAGAATCAGGTGAAAAATATCTAGATGGTGGCCAAGGAAACTGGCCCATAAAAAATGGCAGTACCCATTGGCCATTGGCTGACCATGTCTCCTACATATCAGTATCGGCAATAGAAAAACCAATATCGGTCAACCTCTAATCAGATTTTGTTTGTAATCACTCTTATATGTTCTTTTCTGTAATTACCATGTACTCCTGTGAGTACCACGCAGTATTCTGGATTCTATTTTCATTCATTGAGATGCTTGTTCAAGTTGAAAAGTTAAAGTTTTAAATTAAATTTTCAAGAAATCTTTTTACCCTTTAATGAAGAAAAAAGGTCCGGATAAAAACATTAGTTCTCTGTACATTAAACATCCTACTAGTTCCTGTTAGATTACCATTAAGCTATTAACTAACTAGCCAACCCAGATGCGTCCTCACGTACAAACGTTCAGCTGTGACTCATTCTGAGGCTCCTGAAGCTTCTCTGTGAGAACTGAAACTTCGGTTGAAGATTTCTCTACAGATCAGAGGTGTTAGGGCTCCATGTCTTCGTCTTCACGGCAACAGTAAAGCTCAGTGCACTGCAAAGTAATTCTTCTCTTTTGGAGACAAAAAAACACCTGAAGACTAACTGAATGTTTCAGATTTGTCTAATTTTCAAGTCATTAGAAAAAAATCTAAGAAGTTTTTAGCACCCAGAGATCAAAACATGTTTCATTAGTCTTGTTTATTAGTTTTTTAGTTGCTAAATATGAAAAATAGCAATGAAATAATAAAATTTGTTCTCCTTTTCTTTTGTCTCTTTAGAATTATTATTTTTTCTTTGATTGTTGAGGTTTTCTGACAGCTTTTGGTTTCTGTATCCTGTTGCAGTTATAAAGAGGTCAGAAGCCTCTCACGCGTTTAGGCACTCACTTGAGTGAATCATCTCTTCGTCTCTTCTTCTTCTTCTTCCTCCTCCCGTTCCTCTTCTTCACTTCCAGTTTTTACTCCTCAGCTCCAGATTACCAGGTGGACTTCTGCGCAGGGTCGTGGTCGAAGCGGCGCTGTACGTAGAAAACGGGAAGATAAAGAGTCAGAGGCGATGAGAGAGAGAGAGGCAAGTGGGTGGAGGAAGTCACAAAGGTGAAGACGACAAGACAGAGAGAGGATAGGAGGAAGATTACAGGAGACCTAGAATCTAAACCAACGTTTTCCTTGTTGTTGTTGAATAAAGACAGCTTGGGCGGTCAAAAGTAGCACGCCTAAAGGTGAAAGTCATGTGTGACCTACTTTGTAAATTAAAAAGTTGAAAAATGCGAGAGAAAAACTGCTTTTCTGAGAAACGCTTCGTAAAAATGTCACAATGTGGAGCCCTTCCTCCTCAAACCTGCTCGTCACCACCTTGTGAATATGGGCTCCACCCCTTAAGCCTGGGCCATATATGAACCAAACGCACCTACAGATGGAACAAAAGGCTAGCCCTAGCTCCAAGCTAGGTCCACCTCACAGCACTCTTTCTCAAACTTGGACAGTATGAATCCGGCTTTACACAGCGACTAATACACAGCAGTGAAGATGCACCAACTCTTTTGTCAACACAACCATCATCTGTAACTAAAATGTACTGTTCTATGTGCTACGGTATCACTAGCAGTTAGCACATGCTATTATTTAACTACTGGGATTTTTTAAGACGTGTTGTTAAAAGGGACCAGCAATCCTGGGGGTATTTAGAACATGTGTGTTTGCGTGTAGGTGGGTCGGTGTTGGTTGGTGTGTGTGTGTGTGTGTGTGTGTGTGGGGGGGGGGGGGGGGGGGGCTGCTTAAACTGGGCGAGGAACCTCTGGATGTTTCTTCCTGTTAAAAGGGAGTTTTCCTCTCCACTGTCGCTAACCCCAAAATTCCACTATCTCCACTCTGACACCGCCCTCCGCTGCCGCTCGTTTCCGAACTCAAATTATACTGCAACCCGCTCTACAACGGCTCCGCTCCGGTGCGGAGACCTGAGGTGCGCAAACAGGCATGCGCGGGACTTTTGAGATCTTGCGATACAGTCCGAGCAGTAAACGCGGAAGTTAGATCCAAACACCCGTTGTGTGGGAGAAGCATCGAAATGAACTGTTTAATCTGCCTATCATTTGTGTTTAGAGATCAGCAGTGTTTGGATAAACAAAGGGTGCCTACTTTGATAGGAGAAACTGTATTTATGGCTTATTTTTGTGCATTTAAAGTTCAACCGCCATTGATAGTTGTTAAAAGTTGTTAAACCTGTGCATCTGAAACAAAAAAAGCGCTTTTTGTTTATCGATTTATTGTGAAAAACGGAAGCTGTGTTTGCTCCTTTTCCTGTTGGGCGGTTGTGGTTTCTGTCCATTGACTGCGGAGGTGCTCCGGCGTCTGGCAAAAATAGAATCGATCCTATTTTTGCCGGATGGCGGAACGGCGGGCGGCGCATTGCGCCGCAGTAGTGGAACAGCTCTGATTGACTACAACGGGACGGTTTCTGCTGCGGAGTTCGTGCCGGAGCGCAGTGAAGCGGAGATAGTGGAATTTTGGGGTAAATGCTTGCTTAGTATGAGAACTGCTGTAAAGTGACACAAGTCAGTGACTTGATGCAACCAGCTGGGTTCCTTATATAGGACACTTTTTTTTCTGATTGGCTTAATGAACTGACTGTGCGAAGTGCCTTGAGACGACTCTTGTCGTGATTTGACGCTTTATAAATAAGATAAACTTGAACCTTGAAACATCTGGGATCTCCTGATAAATCCCTGCTTGACAAAGCAACCCCCCCACCCAGCCCCCACCACCCTCCCGGTATTGCCAGCTCCATGAACAATTCTCAGTTGGGATCAATCCCCTCTAATCCAAGCAAGGATCGGCAATCAAGGCTCACGCGTGTCTATAAGCATCAGTCTATACTCATTGGTACGCACATTTTCCAAAATTTCTTTAACCATCTATTGACACCCCTCAACGGTTAATAGCCGGTTAACCGGAACTAACCCCTTTGTGTTTAAGCACATTTGTATGGCCATTTGACAAGCCCATTTCTTCTTCTGCAGTTGCCCATTAAACATTTTGATAGCAGCGTTCTTACGCCTTCTAGTGGCACAAAATATATTGCACTCAAACGCAGCAGAGGTACTTGAAGCAGTTAACCGAGCAAAACTATTTTACCCGGTTACAACATTAACAGCAATCAACCGGTTAACTATGTAGATCCCTAGTAAAACTGATTTAGGGGCAATTACACCGGGAATCTCAACAGAACACCTGGTTTTGGGAAATCTGTAACACTCCTCTGGTCCTGGAGACCCACTTCATCAGTTGTTATCCTGCTTTAGGACGTAGCAGCTTGTCAGCGCCGTTCCACATGGTTGGTTAAGCATTCAGTGAGAAGTCTCCAGAGATGAGACGAAGCTGCTGGGGGTGACAGCTGGTCACAATCAGGATAATGTCGCAGGCTGCTGAAGCGTCAGCAGAAGTTGGGACAGACCAGCCATTCCAGCATTTTCTTACAAACCAAAATTTCATTAGTGTTGAAAAGTGGATTAACAGCTAACACTGTGGAGGGATCCAGGGTGACGGAGGTGGGTTACTCTACTAAACCCGAGTAACAAAACCAAAACAGATACCGCCACTCAAGCCGGCATCCTGTTACGTGTGCAGCTGCAATGTCTAGTGGCTGCCACAACATCACTGATTTATACAAACGTATGTGTTAAGCATAATGTCCAGCTTTTGTTGTAATCTGATTTAATGTGCTTTGTGTTTTTACTGTGATTGCAGCGGGTGTCACAAAGACAGACGGTGGATGTATCCTGCCATCAGTTGACACAAATGGACCTTCTTTCTCTCTGCCATTTTCACCCACTCCAGTGAGAAGTCCCAGGACAGCCAACGGCGTCGTCTGTAGTTTGAAGACTTTTCCCACATATCCATGAGACCGCTCGTACGACCCTGCGCAATCTGTTACAGTTGGGATCGAGACGAGGACTGATCAGCTTTGTCCTGCACTGTCCAGCGAGCAGGCTGGGGAGGAGAGGAGGAAAAAAAAAAGCTTCTCTCTATCATGAACAACCCCTCCCACCCCATGCACGCCCACATGATGGACCACCGAAAGACTCATTGCCCCGAAATGCAGAACTGACCGCCACAGGAAATCCTTTGTACCGGTGGCAATAGGACTGTTTAACTCTTCCTCACGCTGTAGGTGATTCTCCAAATACTGTTACCTAGGTTACTCTGTGCCCTCACCGACTGTGCAATATTACCCAAGAGTTCTGATTGTAAATATGTTTTTATCCCCCCATCATATCATACGCTGCTACAAACCCATATTCTATTACACGATACTTTAATCACTTTTGTGAATCGCCTGCACCGACGGCTTAATTACTTATTCACAAGGATGCATTCATGTATTTAATTATTGAGATATGTGATTGTTTGTTTTGCACTATCCTACATGGTACTACTGTAGATCTTTTTTTTTTTTATGAATATATTGTATATCATATTTCTATTTCACCTGTTCCTTTGTCTCTCCGACTGCTTTGAGCATGTACATGACACAAGAATTTCCCTCGGGATAAATAAAGTTGTTCTTATTCTTATTCTTATGTCTAGGCTGACATCCATCATGGATAACATCTCCCTACACCCACAATGTTAGAAGGAGCTCATTCTTCCCAGCAGCTGTCAGACTCTATAGCACAGTTTAGTTATTGGTTAGGGCCATAGGGAGGTCAGAATGGGCCGTGTCAGGGCTCCTGAGACAGAAGAAACCCAAAAGAAAGTTGTTTTATGCTTTTTAGAGGCTCAGAGCAGTTTTAGATTGCCGATTAACTGAATTCTAGGTCCTCTTTAAAGGAAGAAAGGAAGGAGTTTGAGTTCTCCTGTTATTTTTAAAGGCTTAGGCCAAATTGGTACAGTCTGAAATGTCTGTTTCAGGCTGGATTCATGAACGTGTCAGAGTTTATAGCGAGGGAGAGAGAGAGATGAAGAAGGAGAGGTGGAGAGGAAGTGAAAGAATGACTCGAGTGAAACCACAAAGCATCCGTCTGCCAGTGAACCTAGGAAGAGCAAACACAAACTGCAACCATCACGAAGCATAATAAACTTAACAGTTTGACCCAGACGTCTGATTTAAACCAGTCGCGTCACCAAAACAAAGCTGAGATTATGTATATTCTCATGGTTAATGCAGGGAAAATAGGAAAAACGAGGGCTTGGGTAAATTTAGTTTTGGTCTCTGAGACCTGAAGTTGATATTTAGATATGAAAAGTTTTAAATCTTTGAATGCTGCGGTTCATCTGTCATCCCGCCTATAAAAACGCAGCCCCTGTCCTCGGCTCATCACATGAGTAACCTCTTCTGATCAGTTTCATGGACAGCTCCTTCAGAGGCAGACGGAGACATCCCAGATGCTACCGCAGATCTTTCATCCCCTCGGCAGTAAGATTGCACAACTCCACAGTTTCAGTTGGGCTGGCATTATCCTGGTACACAATAACATCAATGCAATACTCAGGATGTGTTGAATACCTGTGCGGTACCAGATTTACAGAGTATGTCTGTGTTCCTTACAGCAGTGGTTCCAAACCTTTTTCGACTCGTGGACCCCTGAGCCGTCTTCTCGTAGGCCTACCACGAGTACCCCTTAGCCCAATGTGGGAGATTCCCCAACAGTAGAGCGTACAACTGATTATTAAATGAAAATAATGGCATTAAATATCCTTAATGCTGATCAACGTCTCACTTCTCAGGTGAATTCTTTAACTTTAACAATCCTCATACAGGGTTCAGAGAAAACAGGCTCCACGTGGAAACTTTCTGGAGTGCTGCATCTGGATCCGTACCACAGCTGATGTAAATGCTCTGATTGGACTCAATGATTTCTGATCCACGTGAAACTGGATCGCATCCATTCTGCATTTGGTGTGAACAAGGCTTCAGGCCCTCTCTCAGTAGCAGCTGCAGCCCTGCTCTGGTTTTTCCTTTATAGTGTGTCTTAACCCTGGTCCTTTGCACCCCCGTCCTACAGGTTTTAGGTGTTTCCCTGCTGCCACACACCGGATCTAGATGAATTAGTGATTAACAGGTTTCTGCAGCACTTGATGTCATCCTGCCATGCAGATATGTAAATCAGGTGTTCTGAAGCAGAGACATCAATCAATCAAATCAAATCAAAGATACTTTATAAATCCCAGAGGGAATTTAGAGTTTCAGTACACACAATTCAGGGATCAGACATACATGACAAGAATTGGTGACTGTGGTCATTCGCAACCCTGAGTCGCGCTACCTTAATAGTGATAAAAGGGTAACATGAGGAATTGATTCGGGAGGAGGGAAAAAAGGCACTTCACAGCTACCCTCCCACCAGGAGGGCAGCTTCGCTCTGCAAAAAAACACCTCAGACAGATATGTAACAGACTTCAGACAACACAACATGAGACTCCAATAGGAAGGCGGGGGGGGGGGGGGGGGGGGGGGCTGGGATCCTGTTTCCCCAGCGAGAGCAGCCATCTACAGCGCTCAGCCACTGTAGCCACAGGTGGGAGGGAGATCTCGGGAGAAGAGCAGAGCACATTGACTCCTGCAGGTTGATGACCTCGCCTGGCTGAAATCTACCAATCCGAAGTCGGGGGGGTTACAGCATCTGTCTGCATTCCTTCGTGGGGGTTTGTTGCTAGCCTCTCAAGACTGCCATGGCGTCAGATTCGGATAACAAGACTTTGGGTCAGGCTGAGATAATTTTCCTCTCTGCCTTCAGTCTTTAAACTGATCATTCTAGTCCTTCAGTGAAGCCAATTTAGGTTTTTAATCTTGTCCATACCGTCCAGTGACCCTCTCCGAGATGACGTCCATTTTGCGCACTTATACCGGTATTGCAGCTAGAACATTGTCCAGCTTACAATTCACCACGAGTAACGTCCCAGTCTGAGAAGTCTCCACACGGACGGTGCTCTTCGTGGGTGCGGATCGCCCTCCAATCGCTCCCGTCTTCCCAAATTTCCAGAAAACCAGAATTATCCTCCCACTCCAATCAGGAGAAATCCAGTGATCATCAGGCCGAATATCCACGTCTTCGACATCCTCAATGGACAGCTGGGAGAGGCATATGATCTTCCATTCCCTCCAGGAATCCAGCATACACCCCGCCAGGTGTGTCCCCTGTGGGCATGTGGGAGCCCCCTGCTCCGTTCTCATTGTTGAAAAAATCTTATCAATCGTATTGAATGACCATTTTATCAAATCCATGGTTAAAAATAGTGTTTTTCAGAAGAAATGCAGAGACGCGCTCTGTGGGCAGACAGGACAAAGAGCCTTGGGAAAAAAAGATAAGGGAGCAAAAAGAGAAGCGTCTGTTCTCTGCGAGTGCCAGGAAGAGATGAACTCTTGGAAAACATGCAGGACGAGTGGCGGAATGGGCCAAATGGCTAAGATTTATATCCCAGTCTATTCTTTTCTTCAATTCATTTATGTCAAACTGACTGGTCTTGAACATTCTCAGATGAATTTCAGATGTTGTTATGATTCTTTCTTCAAACAAAGCAACATAAAAATCCTCATGAAATGAATAAAGATGTAGATATTTAAATAAAAGTCAAGCTGAATGTGATGAAAACACAAACTTATAGTTTGAAATAAAGTGAAAAATGTAAAAACAGAAATTGCATTTATTCCTTCTTTTCTGATTCATTTATTCACTTTTCATGTTTTTTATTTTCTCATAGAAGACAAGTGTTGCTTCAGTGCATAACTGCAGTTAAATGGTGCGCTGCTGTGGTTTTTGTTGACATTAATAAATAAATTGGAGGTTTATTCTTTCTTTCTGCCTCTGGTTGAATGATGCTCTGACCAGCAGGTCTGGGGTCAGTGGTAGAGCCCTGCACGGGCCTAAAATCTGAGCCCGTGTCCGGCCCGGCCCGAGGGGGTGGAGCCCCAGCCCGACCCGGTCCGAAAAGGTTTTCAGGATTCTCTGGCCCAACCCGAGCCTGAGCCCGACTTTTTTTTAACCAACTAAATGAAAACCAAGTGCGTCAATCCTGACCAATGTGTTACAAGACGTGCAGGATCCGATCATTTGTTTTTCCCTCATTTACCGTCACAGAAAAACAGTCAATCACTGCCTCGATCACTGCCTGATTACAGAGGAGAATAAAATATGAAACAGCCTTGATTTCATTACCCCTTTAAGCACCACACATTAGCTCCTTTATGTTTTAAGAATTATATAGTTTAAGTAGCAAGGAGTTATTTGAAATAACATGCGCCGAGGCGTCACCAGTGATCCTGGTGACGCATTGGCATTTAAGGGTTAAAAACTAAATGAAAAAGTGTGTCAAACCTGACCAATGTGTTAAAAGATGTGCAGAATCCGATCAATTTGTTTTTCCCTCATTTACCATCACAGAAAAACAGTCAAAAGCAGGGCTTGTGTTGTGTTGACCGGATAGTTCCCGTATTTGACGGTTTATTTTGACGGAGAAAGAATAGAATTACCCCGACGCATGCAGACGAACTGACATTTTATTCTACGCACATCGCAGATGTAGCTAAATCACCCAAGAAAAGATTCCCATCTGAACATCTGAGCTGGACACTGCTCAGCGCAGCTCGCTGTCAGCACATATGTGCAAAGCGAGCTGAAGATGTGGAGATTGGCTTGGAGCGCGTTGCAGAACCAGAGCGCATGCGGGAAGATTCCTCCCACTGAAGCGAGTGTTTTCCAAACCCTGTCTCTCAGAGAGACTTGTCAGTTAGAAAATGTTCCCTGATTATGAAACTTTGGCTGAATAGTGCTTGTTCCTGTCTCCAATGTGGCGACACATCCAGGAGCCATCTGAGGAGAAGCCCAGAATCTCACATCCTCTTCAGCTCAGAAAGCGCCTATGATTACGCACAAGCGTGACCCGTCAACCCGGTCTCACAGTAAGACCGGGTTGGGCCTGTCCAGGTTTACGCAGACAATCTTTACATAGAATTGACTTACAGATATCAAATTAATTCAGTAAAATATAAAGCATTTTATTTAAATATCCATTCATTATTTTACAAGCACAGAGAGCCGCATCAGATAGATGGAAGAGCAGCGGGTTGCCGACCCCTGGTATAGCCTATAAAATGACATGTTTTCTCCAGGACCAGAGAGGACGCAAACTCAATACATCTCTTTTATTGTGAGGTAATAGTTTCTCCGAGTTTTGCGGTTGCGGGCGGGAGTAGACATGCACGCTGCGGGTGCGGGCGCGAGTGTAACGCGTTGCGGTTGTGGGCGGTAATTGTCAGAAATGCAGCAGGAGCGGGATGAAGAAAACAGTCCCGCGCAGGGCTCTACTGCTGCGTTTAAGTGTTTCAATTTTATTTATGAATTCGATTAAAAGTAAAGGCGCCCGGCCCGGCCCATGTCCGAGGTAATTACACAGTCGTTGGCCAGAAGCCCGGCCCGACGGCCCGAGGGCCGGGCCGACCCGACCCGACGGGTATATATATATATATATATATATATATATATATATATATAAAGCTTTATTCAAATACATTTTCCTGGAGTGCAAAGTTCCATCCAGATTGTACATGTTGTTTCTTTAATAAAATTTTACTTTTACTTTGAATTTATTGATTAATTTATGTGTGGCAAGGTGGAAAAATGAGGGCCCAGGCAGGATTTGATCCCCAGACTCCTGGGTGAGAGTCACGCGCTAACCAGTCAGCCAAAGGGGCATCGCCTTGGCCAAGTAGCCGGGGGCATGATCATTTGGGATACAGTGACACTGTCACATCTACAAAAAACGTAAACGTAAGCTCTTTAGGATAGGATGCTCCTGGAAGTCCCAAGAAGGAGATGTAAACTCAGAGGAGACAGAGCTTTTTCTGCAGCGACCCCTAGGCTTTGGAACCAGCTGCCATTGAACATTAGGTCAGAATCTTCTATGTCTTGTTTCGATTATCTTCTAAAAACTCATTTGTATGCTTTGGCTCTTTTAGTTTTAATGTGTTTTTATGTTATGTTGGTCAGTTTTACGGTGCTGTATGAATATCGTTGGCTTGGCTATAATTGGCTGGTGGTTTTGATTGACAGCTGAGAAATCCTACAGTGGAGTTTATCATTTCTACGAATTGTTCATGAACAAGCTGACTCTCAGGTGGAAGTGAAACCAGCCAGTCGACTGGAGCTTCATGCTGGGCTGAAAGAGGATAAACAACGAAAATGTGGCGGGGCAAAGTTTACCCACAATGCAGCGTTGTTTACTATATTTATCAGCCTGTAGTTGATGAATAAACTCAATCAGGTTGGAATCAGTGCAGCGAAGAAGTCTGGAGTATCTTTTTATGTCAAACGGCTTCTAGATGAAACGACCCTCTCACGTGAGTCTGGACTTAAGTCTGAAAGCTGAAATGTAACATTTTCCACTTTGTTACTGAAGTGATTTGACTTCTTTTCACACCCAGGTGACCTCCTTCAAGCTCTTCCTCCTCTCCTCGGAGGCAGGGCATGTGCGCGTGAGCGCCTCCCTTTCTTCATTTCCTCAGTCCTCACTCCTCCTCCCGTCCTGCTCTCAGCGACAAGGAGACAAACGAGCCGACCCGACAGCCAGCCGGGAGATGAAGCGCGCGAAGGTAGGAAGACAAACTCTGGAATTCTGTCGCCAAGGCGGGAAGTTTGGGAGTGAAGGTGTTTGTTCTGGTGCGAGCTCCGCAGCTGATAAAACTCAGAATTAGCTCACGCGCTGGGAGGAATCTGTCATTAAAGCGACGTGACGTCAGCACATCCGGTTATCTGCGTCTGTTCTGACTAGTCTTGAACTTGAAGATCGACTCAAATACCTGAGAGCAGGTGTACAGGTAACCTGCGCGCGGAGACGAACGGGAGCGCGCCGGGTGGAAAACTTATTGTCTGCTGCATTCAAGTACCGTCGGAAACGATCTTTGCTTTTAAAAACAGCCTGAATAATTTAGAAACCGCTCTTGTTTGACTTTTTAAGAACAATCCTATGCTATTTTAATCAAAACAAACATTTCCTGCTCAACAATGATTAATTTGAGCCTTCAAGCTGTTTCATATCTCATCACTTCATGTCAGGTGTTCAACAGGTAGCCTGTTTCATAGAAATCCAAGAACAAGCCAGCTGGGCTTGGTGCTGATGCGTCACATTTTGTCCCCAGATTCCTCACTAATACCTCTAAGAGACAGGTATTTACCTCCACACCACACTTTGCCAGCATCAGAACCGAATAAAAACCTTTTAATGTTGTGGCTATATGGCATGGTGGTCTGAATGACTGGGATTTTTACCCACACCCATCTGGGATTGAGATGGGTCTGTTGAAGTCCTTTCCCAGGTTTAGGTAGCAGTTAAAACACTTCTGTCCTTAAAGCATCTGGAGCAGGATTAGTACCATCATCAGGAGCCTGCCACATCCAGTCTTGTAATGTCTACTGCCCTCTAGTGGAAGATCTATGGATCCACAGATGGCAAGGCCTCAATTTATTTATTTATTCACTTATTATTGACATTGTTGTAGAATTACATTAAACTAGATCATTATCATTATTAGTCGTAAACACTTGCATTAAAGTGACAGTGTGTATTTTCCCTGGCGATGGGGGCAGTAGATACCTAAATCATTGCAAGCACGCAGTGTTTTTGTGTTCAAGAAAGACCTTTCCAACAGATGGTCGTTAGGGTCAAAAAGCCCTGGGAGCACAACCTCCAGCAAAACAACAAGCCCACCAGACTCCCTTTCATCACTGGCAACGAGTGAAGAAGTAAATAAAACAACTACTTTTATGAATGGTGCAAATTTTGTAACCGTTTGTTACAAATCATTAAATGTGTTTTGTCCTCATGGGCTCCCGTAGAAAGAAACATGCTGTCTAATATGGCGCTGCCCAGAGATTCTCTCCTAAGTTTTTAAGACCCAATTGACATGGTTATATGTTACAAAGCTGCCAATGTTCTTTAGCAACTGGGCATCACTTAATTAATTTTCAACAACATTTTGATGGATGTTTCCAAAGATTAATGTTAAAAACTACACATTGTGTCTTTAAAGTGATGAAAGACCAGGGTGGCGGAGTTGGTAGCACGGATAACTATAGGCCCGTTGCTCTGGCTAGCATACTCTCAAAAGTCTTGGAAAGAATTCTGCTGGACAGAATTAATGCCGCCATAAAAATCGCAGATAATCGGTTTGGCTCTAAGCCTGAGCTTGGTACAGACACGTGTATAAATGCTGTATTGGAGATGGTGACCAAATACAGAAACCAGAACTCCTGTGCTTCATAGATGCATCCAAGGTACTTGATAGAGTTAACCTTAGGAAACTATTCATGAAGATGCTACAAAAAGGTGTCCCAAGATGCATTGTACGCATCCTGGTTTATTGGTATGGTCAGCAGATGTTACAGATAAAATTGGGTAACAGTATGTCACAGCCATTTAAGGTCAGTAATGGAGTCCGACAAGGACACATTCTATCTCCTTCTTCTGTTTAACCTGTGCACGGATGATTTCTCAGTGAGGTTAAAAGCCTGTAGGACTGGTTGTGCAGCTGGTAGTGATGTCATAAATTATCTGATGTATGCAGATGACTTAGTGGTTCTATGTCCGTGCACCGCTGGTCCACAGCAGCTAGATATCTGCTTTGACTATGGAGTAGAACATAACATCGTGTCTAATGCCGGGCCGAGGAGGACAAGCAAATGAAGTTTCCAGATTTTTGTGATGCTGTGATTACTGTCGCCAAGAAAGTCAAACATCTTGGTCATATCATCACAGAGGACATGAGAGGTGATGATGACATGCATAGGCAGTGCTGTATGTTTATATGCTCAGGGGAAAATACACTCCCTTGTACATTTGAGTCTTGTTCTAATAAAGGAAAGATCACCTTGTTTAAGGCTTTAGTACACAGCTGTACACGGCCCAACTATGAAATAATGTAGTATGCTAGGCTGCAGGTTGCCTATAATGGTGCTCTGCATCTGATACTGAGGAAGCCGAGGTGGACGAGTGAGACGTTTGTAAATGTGAGGGTGAGCGCCCTACAAGCTGCTTTAAGAAAATTTAGTCTATACATTTATTTGTAGGCTGAACAATTCTAAAAATGTGATGGTTTTAAATATAACTTGTGTCAGTGCAGTACGTTACCAGTCACAGATGTGGAAACACTGGTATAACAGTCTATAACAATACAATAATTTATGCTTCATTTACACACTACTGTTATCGTCTCGTTTTTGTTTTCATGATTATTTGTCTCTTGTGCTTCAGCATGTAAGATTGAGCTCATTTCTTGTTATCGTATCTGTACAATGTTTGTCTACTTCTGTGAATTGGACTAAGAGTCTGGAATAAAGAATGCCTTGGGGGCATTGGGGGTATTGTAATTATTAAAAGTTTTCTCTGGAACGTTTCTTCCTCGTTCCTTTGCCCCGTGTGGTTGGGGTAAATGCTGGACCTTGTGCTTTGCTTTTTAATTTCTGTTCATTTTCAGATTTGGATCCAGACCCAGATAAATAAATCAGCTGTTACCTTTTTATGGCTGTTTTTACACTCTGGTTTGTGGTCTTTTCATGCTGATTGTGACTGGTTAAAGTACAAACAGCAAAACACCAGTTTGATCACTTTAATATTTCTCGTGATTATTATGGTAAAATGATGCTGTTAGCAGTCCTCACCCCACCAGCGGTTTCATGTCCCACAGAGGGTTCTTCACCTTTAGGAACTAGTGCATTAGGAAACCAAACAGTTAATAAAGTCATTAAAATCAAATCACAACATGTTTATGTTCATGTTTATTTATTTAGCAGACGCTTTTATCCAAAGCGACTTACAATTTATAACCTATAGGGCATGTTGTGATCTGTGGGGGAAACCGGAGTACCCGGAGGAAACCCACGCGTGCATGTGGAGAACACACAACTCCACGCAGAAAGGCCGCAGCCGAGTTTCGAACCTACGACCTTCGTGCTGCGAGGCAACAATGCTAACCACTGCGCCACCATGCAGCCCAACAATAAACAACAACAATAAATCTGACAACAATAGTTCATTAAGAATTCCCACATATCAGTTTATGAACTTAGCATTCCACCTTAAGAGTATCACTCCTCTAAGGGACGGACACACACACAAACACACACACACACACACACACACGCGCGTTTTACCAATCATTCATTTACTTTTTCACCACAAACTGTCTGACTGATAGTTTAAATGATACAGAAAGGGTCCTCCCTAAATAAATGACTTGTATATAAATTACATCGCCCGGCCAAAAACAAGTCTCCCCACAAAGACAAAGGTCTCACACACACATTAATATTTAGTTGGACCTTATTTAACTTTGATTACAGCACACATTTGCAGATTAGTTCTTCCTGAGGAGAGAGGGTACGTAACCTTCGGTGGAACAGCTCCTTCATGACGTTACATAATCCAAACATAGCAACCTCCACAGGCAGGAACCAGTGCCTTTTGAAAACCATGAAGACGGGAACACTGGAACCCCAGAGAATAATCCAGAACAATCAAGGAGTGGAAGCTGGTGGCAGTAGATGGCAGTTATTTTATATGGTGGAGCTCAGGACATCATTAGAGACACACACAGGGCAATAGATTCGTACAACTGACATCAGATGGTGGGAAAGTAAATAAGACTATGAGTATGTAGATTAACTGAATGATGTAGTTAAAATTCTTGAGTCGGTTTCTGTAGTCAGTCTTGTTGATTATTTGGCTGAGGGGGCTCAGACCTATGCAGAACAGCAGTGGGGACAGGCTTGGTATATGCCACATTTGATGGAGACTTGTACAGTGGGTTTGCAACTGGCCTCAAGGGGGTGGGGGGGTGGGGGGGGGGGGGGGTTTCCACAGCCACATTGAATTTGCCACAAAGGCTCTCAGACTCCTGTTGATGTTGCACAGCTTCAAACATTTGCTGGTCCATGAGTGTGACAGTCATTTTGCTCTGGCTACGGTCTGTCTAGATTTCTGGGCTTACATAACTCCTAAAATGACAAAAACCGTGGATAAAGCCTCTGCTTTCAATATGTGGGTCAGAAGCTGAAAACCTAATGACGTTTTATGGGTATGTTTAGTGATTTTACACTAAAAAATAAGTATGACTCATAAACAGCATGGTATTAACTTAGAAGGTGTGGTTTTTAGTTTTTAGACACTTTAGGATGGTTGGCTTTAGTGGAACTATGTTCATGCTGAGTTTGCAGTCAAACATTTGTATGAAATATAAACATTTCAACTTAAATTTGTGAATTTCTTCCCAACCCAGATCCATCCCCCTGCTATGTGACAGCATCAACTAATAGGCAGACGTGGCGGCTGGAGCCAGAATGAGCAGCGAGCTGCTATTGGAGGAGACGCTCATCAAGCGTTCCCAGCAGAAGAAACGGACATCACCGTTAAACTACAAAGAACGGCTTTTTGTCCTCACTAAGAGCAGTCTGACGTACTACGATGGGAGAGCTGAGGTATCTTTTACATTCAATTCAATTCAAGTTTATTTATATAGCGCCAAATCACGACAAGAGTCGCCTCAAGGCACTTCACATAGTAAACATTCCAATACAGGTCAGTTCATTAAGCCAATCAGTAAAAAGTTTCCAATATAAGGGACCTAGAAAATTGCATCAAGTCACTGACTGGTTTCAGAGTCAGTTTACAGCAATCTTCATAGTAAGCAAACATGAGGCGACAGTGGAGAGGAAAACTCCCTTTTAACAGGAAGAAACCTCCAGAGGATCCTGGCTCAGTATAAGCAGCCATCCACCACGACTCACTGGGGAATCGAGAAGACAGAGCAGACACACACACACCAACCCACCCACACACACACACACACACACACACATCCACACACACAACATATATACCAAGTAATGTTTCTATGGTTACATTTTGATTTCTTAGTAAATATTGTATTTGGTGAGAGATAAACTTTATTGTATTTATCCTAGTGAACCTATCATTAAATGGGTAAACTAGTAGTAGCACATTCAATGTCAAGGAAAGTAAATGTTATTATCAGGAGAGGGAGAATGTTTAAATGGTTTGCAACAGTGTTCAAGACGATGGCCCCCTCCATGAGGCCACCACACTCAGCAGAACATCATTGTAGCTTCTTCTGGGGAGAAAAACACTTAGAGAAAAAATAAAGTTAACAGCTGAAATAGCAGGAAATAATACAGTTAAAGAGCAGATTGTAGAAGAAAGTAGTTGAGTGTGGAAAGTGGTCAGTGTGTCCTCCAGCAGTCTAAGCCTATAGCAGCATAACTACAGAGATAACTCTGGATATCCTAGCCTTTTAGATGGAGGCATGTTGGAGGCAGGGTAAGGGAGAGCCGTCTTTACACTCCACCTCCCTCTACTCCCCCACTTGTCCAGATCTAGGCTAACATCAGATTTTAACCATAGGCCCTATCAAATAAAAATGTTTTAAGCCTAGTCTTAAAAGTAGACAAGGTGTCTGCCTCACGAACTAAAGCTGGGAGCCAGTTCCACAAGAGAGGAGCCTGATAGCTAAAAGATCTGCCTATTAGCCATTAAATGTAGCAATTAAGACATATTAATTATGACCAATAAGATGTGATATTCCGTACAAATATGAAATGTCAATCTGATTGATCTTTGAATGTTTAATCAGAAGATTCTAGGGTTCTTTGCTTCTTTAGGGACCATAAACACACTTTGTATTAATTCAGACAGTCAGGTCTACAGTTTATAAAATTAATTTAATTCTTTTTCCTAAACTAATAATTTATACATGACAAGATATGAACAAGGAGATGTGTTGTGGTGGATGTGAGGTGATGTAATGGAAGCTAGATGTTGTAGCAACCGTTCTTTGTATCTGAGAGAAATTGGGAAATCTGGGTGTAAAAGAATTTGTTGTTTGGTTCTAAACTAGAGAGTTGTTTATTAAAAACAGCATCAGATGCAATCTGTCATGCCAAGTCTACACACCCTTGGTGTGGAGGTTCTCGTTCGATCCGGGGGGTCTTGTGGTTCACTGCCGGTGGAATGAACCTCTGATATCAGGAATCCGTAGCCAGTTCCAATAGGACCCGTCCAGTCTGAGACCCCTCGAGGTGAAGGCAGGAAGCTGGAATGCTTATTTGCATCTAAGGCAGATGTTTGCTTGCCTCTTAGAAGAGCCGGTTGTCTGGTATCAGCTGCAGCATTGCAGAGAGGCTTTGACAGGAGGTCAAAGGAGAAGATGGTTTCAAAAATGCTTCTTTCCCAAATTGGCCGGTTCGAGGGTCAGCGAAGGGTCAGCATTTACATAAATACTAAGGCGGGGAATCTATTAAAATAAATTAACTAATTAATCGCAAATCTGAAAAAAATTCATCGCAATTAATTACAATTTTTTTCCAGAAAAAGAAAGCAATAAACATGCAAAAATATACAAGAGAGGTTCATTTTATTTAGAAAGTGCATAACTTGTTGAAGTGTGTAAAATCAGTGAATACTGTCTTTAACAGAAAAAACCTAAAATCAAATCCAGTTTCTGTTCAAAAACTTTGTTTGAAAAAGTCTATTGTGTAAACAATGAACAGAAAATAAGTCTAGCACAGTTAGCTTATGTTATTCAATGTAAATGTAATTTTCAACATCATCAGTTGAACTCGGATTGCCAACTTCCCAAAAAATAAAGGGACACCTCGCTGGCATGGCCCCCAAATGCTTTGATACGGCCCTGGGTAGGACGGAGTTTTGAAGGTGATCTTCAGAACCAATAGGTGGCTCTTACCTTTGCTTAGGCCTAGTCCACACGTAGACGGGTTTTTTTAAAAATGAATATCCGCCCCTCCAAAAACTTGCATCCACACCACCTCGTTTAAAAAAAAATCTGTCCACATGTACCCGGATAAATACGTTGTTAAGGACATGCCAGACCTGTAGGCGGCAGTACTTACCCCGTTCTTAACCTCGTCCTTCGTCTGTGGTCTTCCGCAAGGAGCAGTAATTCCGCTTGCAAAAACAAACAAGCAAAAAGCGCTTGGACAATTGATAAAGCGAGCGCAGCTCTGAGGGCATCCATGCTGTCGGCTAGTGTAAATACAGGTCGCACACGTGATGTCAGCATTTTTTTGTCGCGGAAAGTGACGTTGCGGACCTTAAAACTCCGGTTTTGTCTGTCCACACGCAGACACCCAAAACGGAGAAAACATAGATCTTCACTTTGGCCGGAGTTTTTAAAAAGATCCGTTTTCGTGTGAAAAAACTCTGTTTTCGTGTGGATGACAGGCCAAAAGGTAGAAAAATATCTACGTTTTGGCAGATCCCCGGCTACGTGTGGACAGGGCCTTAGTTAATCCATTGTCCCACCTATGGCACAAAACCCGTTGTGTTCATGAAACCTGGGATTTTAAGGGGTTAAATCCAGGTGGTGACTTTTTTTTGGCCAGGCAGAGTATATTCTATGTGTATATTTAGCATGCTATTGCAGAAAATTATGCAAAACGTCCAGATTCTACACACATTCCTGAAATTTATTACACATGATCGCAGAAACAAAGTTTTTTCATTCAAACCAGACATGAGTTTAGAGTTCAGGAGCATTGAGAGGAAGCGGTTGGACACCCACAGGACTCTACAGTGACAAACCAAGTCAAACACTCTGCTGGTGGAACTGCCTTAGGTTTCAGATGAAAAGCTCTCAATAGCCTTCTGATAACGTGGAGATCAAAACTATTCAGCGCACGAGTGAAAGTCAGTTCTGATGCTTTTTTTTCCATCAACAGAAGAAGTTCAAGAAGTACTCGATTGAACTGAGTCGTATTAAATGTGTGGAAATAGTCAAGAATGGAGGTGATCCGATCCCGTGCCAGAACAAATACCCGTTTCAGGTAAAGACACAGTTCATATCGACTCCAACAATGGACGACAACTGTGTCATTTTTCCGTTTGTCACGTTAAAATCCCACTGATGTTTTACATGTGTGTCTCTAGTATTCTATATTTAATCAGATTTACACTCAGCATGTACTTTACCACGTTCTTTTGTGTTTAGGTGGTGTACAATAACAACATCCTGTATGTATTCGCCCCAAACCAGACGAGCAGAAGTCACTGGGTTCTAATGCTCAAAGAGGGTGAGTTCATGTTCTGGGTTGTTGGAGATGAACAGATAAGAGTTCAAATAAAAGGTTCTGATCACGCATGAACGATTAGGCAACCTAAGCGTCAGACAGAAAATAATAAATCGCATAAGATTCTGTGTTAAAGCGCTAAAAGGTTTCTAAACTATGCGCTCCAGACGCTGCTGATCCGATGAATTGATTAACTAGTCTTCATCGGTTTGAACTCCTCCAGAAAAGCAGGAGTTGTTGCTGGTCTGGAGCATACAGACGTGTGTTTACACAGAGCCAAGAGATACGAAACGGGAAAGGTTGAAGGTCATTTTCCAACAACTTGGAGTTCACCGTTCCTCGGAGAGAAATGTTTTTCACAGATAGAAAACAATAAAAACAGCTGTCAATCATTCTAGCAAGTTCACACAAAGGTCAGAGACTCTACAAGAGCTGCAGGAGGAAAAATTACTTGACTCTGGGGATGTTTACCCATAATGCACTGCTTCATACTTTGGTCAGCTGACAGCATGGGGTGGAGGCTGATGCTCTGGGCTCCTGGTTGGACCATAGTGGCTCCAGCTGTCTGAGAGATGTAGTTTGGATCATGAACCAGAACCATGATTCTCAAAAGCAGCAGATCTATGTCACGTTGAGAGCCTGGAGGAGGTTTGGATCCAAAATGCAGACATCCAGAACGACATGAGGCAGGAATGGATGTAAATGAAAACATTCCTTTATTAGGAAGGAGAACAAAAAATTCCAAAAGGGCAGGAAGCCAAAAACCAATGTCCTGAAACCATGGAGAACGAAAGCTCACTTAGAGCACAAAACCTAGAGATGAGGAACAAAACAACGCTGACACCAAACAATGGACCGACAAAACTCCGATACACAGACAGGGTTTTATACACTGGGGAGGATGAGAGGGAGATGAACTGCAGGTATGAGGGGAGAGAGAGCAGGTGAACTCAATTACTAAACAGGGAGGAAACTAACATGACCTAAGAATAAAACCTAAAGACAAGAAGAGCAGGAAACATAACTAATAATCTAGGGGGGGGGGAAGAAAACCTCAAACCCAGATGGAAAAAACACACTAGAGAGACTAATAACATGAACAGCTGTAACTAAAGGAAAATGACCTAAGAGAAAAACCTAAAGACCAGAAGGGCAGCAAACATAACTAATATCCTAAGGGGGGGGGGGGGGGGGGGGGGGGGGGGGGCTGAAACTAAAGGAAAACACTACAGAAGGAAAAACTACAGGGGCGTGACTAAAGGGGGCCACGGGAGCACTGGACCTGGGAGGGGGATACCTGAGGAGGGAAACCTAGAGGGCTGAAGATCTGGGGAAAATGGAGAACACCAGGAGACACATGAGGAAGATGCAGACAAGGACACATGAGGGCACTAGGAGACACAAAAGGAGAACCTAGAGAGGGATGGAGAACACAAGGAGACACATGAGAGGAGACGCAGACGCAGGCCATGACAATCTACAACAGAACAACCCAGACCTTATCCTGACCCAGCTCAGCAGAATCGTGTGTGAGGTTGTGTAAACCTGATTTTGATGCTCTGGTTAGAATGAGAGGATTTTTAAAAGTTCAGAGCTGCAGGAGGATGCATGATGGCCATGCACGCTCAGACTCTGTGTCGGAATGTTTTCACACCTTCCACCACAGCATGAGCTAGGCTTTGTTCTCACAAGCATGCGGCCCCCTCTTGTTTCCACCGATGTCAAAAATCTCAGAGGCCTCATGCTGTTTAGGGGCGGAGCCTGATTTAGACCAATTTTTTTTATTTTCTTCACCGTCATCTGATCAGGTTTACCTTCAGTCATGGTGGTCTTTTGTGATTCAGACGCTGGGATTTCTGATTTTATCGTTTTGATTCCAAAGTGAAAAATAAGCAGTGAATTTGTTTCCCTTTAGCTTTTGCAGGAATCAGTCATCAGCATAGAGGTTTAAGTGAGGGCGAAGATGTGAATCTCTGTGCTTTGTTTTCATCCAGAAATCAAAAATAACTCAGTGCTGCCGAAGTTCCATCCTCAGTTCTGGCAGGAGGGGGCGTGGCTCTGCTGTCGCCAGGAGGAAAAGCAGGCGCCGGGATGCGAGGAGTACAACCTGTTTGGAGACAGTAAGCTAGACATGATTAAAGGCGCACTACATGGAATGTTCCTAAAACTCACACATTTATTCAGATTTTCCTTCCCAGTGCCCAAACTTTCTGGTTTTCCTTTAAAATAACTTTGACCTGTTAAATTTATACTGACTACTTTAAGACTTTGCCATTTTAATGATAAATATCTCATGTCTGACTTGCTTTAAGAGCTCTACCTCTTTAACAAGATCGGTACATTCCTCACAACCTGCTTTATCAAGTCATCTAAATGTCCTTTAGCCTCTGCAGGTGGCAAACATCATTTTCTACCTTTGTCATATAAACACCCATTAGAAAATAACAGATACTGTTGAGTAATTATCAACATAGCTCTTTTTAAAAGCCTGAATCTTGTGATTATTATTGACTAGACTAGAAATGTAGACAACCACAGCAGTAGCAAAAGATTTAGCTCAGTCTAGCTATGCTCCATTGTAGCCTCAGCAGGTCTACCATTGGTCCGAACTGTTTTAGGCCAGCCCAATCACAGTGCTCTGTGTTTGTAGCGAGATGTTTGGCGGGCTTAAAACCAGAGCTTTGATAGACAAACACAACAAAGATGGCGTCAGCTCAGGAACAGTGCTTTAGAGGATTTAGCCTTTGGCTTTTCTTTGAGAGGGGAGACGATAGAGGTATTTAAAGTGACAATGTGTAGTTTTTACCAATAATCTCTGGAAATATCCATCGAAATGTAAGTGAATTAAAAGATGCCCAGTTGTTGAAAATTATTAGCAGTTTCACAACATATAACCATATAAATCTGTTCTAAAATACGTGAGAGCGGGTCTAAGTCTCTGAGCGACGACATATTGGATGCTGTGTTTCCTTTTACGGAAGCCCGTGTGGTCAAAACACATTTACTGATTTGTAACAAATAGTTACAAAACTTTCACCAATAATAAACGTTGTTTTACACATTTACCTGTTCACTTGTCGCCACTGATGAAAGCGAGCCTGATGTGCTCATTATTTAGCTGGAGGTTGTACTCCCAGGGATTTTTGACCCTAATGGCTGTCCATTGGTAAGGTCTCATTTAGCCGTTATGGCTGCTCTCGTGGTCTGCCTGTATCTGTCCCGTCTATATGTGTGTGTAATCTTGGTCAGGCTGTTCTGTGGAGTCAAGTTCCTATGCTCTGGTTCGCTGGAGCGCTGGCAATAAAATTCTCTCTGATTCTGATTCTGATTTGAACACAAAAATAATGCTTGCTTCCAATGATTTAGGTATCTACTGCCCCCTATCGCCAGGGAAAATACACACTGTCACTTTAAGTCTGTTATTTAGAAAAAAAGATGTATTTGCTTCTTCTTTCTCTTCGACATGGTATAGCGGACTGCCCCGTTGACTAATGCGTCACGTTCATTGTTCTAACTGGTCCTAGTGCTGTCCAATTGCATGTGGCTGAGCTCTGTCTTTGGGCAGTCCCCAAACTACATTTGCAAATTTAGGATGACTTGCCAAGCTAATAATTTAGCTTTTTGGGGATTAAGCCTTAACATTTAGGCTTTTCTCACAAATTTATGAATGATTTAGAAACGCATCACAGCTTCATTCATGTAGAACAGAATAAACTTTATTGTAGTCGCTAAATTGCGGGTGGTCCGCCAGTGACATTACACCGAACATAGAACATGAAGACTATGTACGCAAAATTTACAGACATGATATGTACACAAGGATATACACATAGTGCATGCAATAATAATGTACACACTAGGGATGTCCCGTTCCGTTATCGGCTCAAAAACAATGTATCGGATTATATCCGAGGGCATCAAAAATCTCCGATATAAACAGTCTGTTAAGGTTCACTTTTTGGCAACCAATGGTTAAGAAAAAATTGTCATTTTTTTCATACTTACTGTTATTGGATCTTCTCCGATTTAGTAATATCACTTGATCAAGCCTTTCATACAATCCACACTATGAAATAGGTAAAAGTATGTCCAATTTGTGCTGATATCGTATTGGATTGATATCGGTATCGGTCAGTACTGAAGGCTGCAATATCGGTATCGCATCGGAAGTGGAAAAAGTTGTATCGGGACATCCCTAGTACACACACAGCTATGTAACTTAATATAGACATATTTGTTCATTTTTCCAACATTTAAACAAGTGATTGTAGTTTATGGTTTGGAGGAGGGGTGCTTCAGAGGAGAATGGTTTTGAGTTGCACATGGCCCAGGGGAAGAAGCTGTTTGTGAGCCTGGTGGTGCGATCTGATTGATCTGCAGCGCCGTCCTGAGGGCAGAAGCTCGAACAGACTGTGGGCAGGGTGGGAGAGGTCATTGGTTATCAACTTGATCTTTTTCTGGCAACTGGATCTTTTGGAGAGGGCAGGGGTTGGCCGATGTAAATGTATGGATAAAAAAAGGACTTCCCAACATCAAAGAATTACCTTTGTAATAATCTCTGAGATGTTTCCTTCAGATCTTCTATTAGGTTACACCTCCAACAGCAGAAGAACTTTATGATTGGCTCGATCTTTCTGTTCCTCTTTTCTAGCCACCAGGAAACCTTTACCACCCATTCCTGACAACGAAGGAGAAGTAAGTAACTTCTAAGGACAAGCATTCTGGATCGAACTTGTCCTAAACTTGTCCCAAATCCTCCTCTCACAGTGTCGGCATCCTCCTCCTCCCGTCCCAAGAGATGTTGAGGAGGAAGAAGAAAAGGAGGAGGTGGTGGTGGCTATGTACGACTTTTTTGCTGTGGAGGCTCATGACTTGAGTCTGGTCAAAGGAGAGAAGTATGTCATCTTGGAGAAATGTGACGTGAACTGGTACCGTGCTCAGAACAAGTACGGGTGAGTTACACAAGCAACCATAAAAAAATGTAAATTTTACGTAAATGACTGTGGACCCACCACCCGCAGGAGGAACATGAAGGATCCGGTGCAATGTGGATCGGGTGGCAGACCAAGGCGGGAGCCTTGGCAGTCCGATCCCCGGACAAGAAAACTGGTTTTTGGGACATGAAACGTCACCTCTCTGGCAGGGTAGGAGCAGGAGCTTGTGGCAGAGGTTGAGCCGTACCGGCTAGATATAGTCGGACTCACCTCGACACATAGCATTGGCTCTGGAACCCAAGTCCTTGAGAGGGGTTGGACACTCTCCTTTGCTGGAGTTGCTCCGGGTAAGAGGCGGAGGGCTGGGGTTGGCTTTTTGTTAGCCCCAAGACTCTCTGCCTGTGTGTTGGGGTTTACCCCGGGGGACGAGAGGGTAGCTTCCCTGCGCCTTCGGGTCGGGAAACAGGTCCTGACTGTTGTTTGTGCTTATGGGCAGAATATCAGTTTAGAGTACCCACCCTTTTTGGAGTCCCTGGGATGAGTGCTAGATAGTGCTCCATCAGGGGACTCCATTGTCCTGCTGGGGGACTTCAATGCTCACGTGGGCAATGACAGCGTGACCTGGAGGGGTGTGATTGGGAGGAACGGCCCGCCTGATCAGATCTCAAGTGGTGTTTCGTTATTGGACTTTTGTGCAAGACGCAGTTTGGCCATAACGAACACCATGTTCGAACATAAGGATGCCCATCGGTACACTTGGTACCAGGGCAGCCTAGGTCGCAGGTCGATGATAGACTTTGTAGTCGTATCATCTGACCTGCGGCCGTATGTTTGGACACCCGAGTGAAGAGAGGAGCGGAGCTGTCAACTGATCACCACCTGGTGGTGGGTTGGATCAGATGGCAGGGGAAGATGCCGTGTAGACCTGGCAGACCCAAATGCATAGTGAGGGTCTGCTAGGAACGCCTGGCAGAAGAACCTGTTAAGACGGTCTTCAACTCCCACCTCCAGCAGAGTTTTGACCACGTCCCGAGAGCAGTGGGGGACATTGACTCAGAGTGGGCCTTGTTCCACTCTGCGATTGTTGAGGCGGCTGTTGCTAGCTGTGGTCACAAGGTGGCCGGTGCCAGTTGTGGTAGCAACCCCCGTACCCGCTGGTGGACACCAGAGGTTCGGGGAGCCATCAGGCTGAAGAAGGAGGCCTACAGGGCGTGGCTGGTCTGTGGGTCTCCGGAGGCAGCAGACAGGTTCCGGATAGCCAAGCGGGGTGCAGCAGTGGCAGTTGCCGAGGCAAAATCTCGGGCGTGGGAGGAGTTTGGTGAGGTCATGGAGAAAGACTATCGATCGGCTCCAAAGTGGTTCTGGCAAACTGTCCAGCGCCTCAGGAGAGGAAGGCAGCAACTCGCTCACACTGTTTACAGTGGGGATGGGGAGCTGCTAACGTCAACTGGGGCTATAGTCGGACGGTGGAAGGAATACTTTGAGGAGCACCTCAATCCCACCTATGCGCATTCCGAGGAGGAACCAGAGCTGGGAGACCTGGGGATGGACTGCCCAATCTCGGGGGCAGAAGTTGCTGAGGTAGTCAAACAACTACACAGCGGCGGAGCCCCGGGGGCAGATGAGGTTCGTCCTGGGCATCTCAAGGCTATGGATGTTGTAGGGCTGTCATGGTTGACACGTCTCTGCAACATTGCGTGGTCATCGGGGGCAGTTCCTAGGGAGTGGCAGACCGGGGTGGTGGTCCCCATCTTTAAGAAGGGTGACCTGAGGGTGTGTTTTAACTATAGGGGGATCACACTCCTCAGCCTCCCTGGAAAGGTCTACTCCAAGGTACTGGAGAGGAGGGTCCGATCGATAGATGAATCTCAGATTGAGGAGGAGCAATGTGGTTTTTGTCCTGGCCGTGGAACTGTGGACCAGCTCTATACCCTTGCAAGGGTGATGGAGGGGGCATGGGAGTTTGTCCAACCAATCCTCATGTGTTTTGTGGATTTGGAGAAGGCTTATGACCGTTTCCTCAGGGGCACCCTATGGGGGACGCTCCAGGAGTATGGGGTGGGTGGCTTTCTGTTAAGGGCCATTCAGTCCCTTTACTAGAGGAGCGTGAGTTTGGTCCACATAGCCGGTAGTAAGTCGGACCTGTTCCTGGTGAGCGTTGGACTCCGCCAGGGCTGCCCTTTGTCACCAGTTCTGTTCATTACCTTTATGGACAGAATTTCTAGGCGCAGACATCTCAGACATCATCTTTCCCCTGCAGGTACTCAGACATCAGGGAAACATTGTTATGCTTTAGTTTGAACCTTCTGGAATCTGGAGACTCGGGAACGACTCTGAGCTTACTTGTTTGAGTTTCTTAGTGTTGGGTTTAATTCTTTAACCTATGTGTTTTACAGTGAGGAAGGCTACATCCCAAGTAACTATATAACAGGAGAGAAAACCGGGAGCCTGAAGCAAAACGTGTGAGTGGGTCAATCCTTTCTGTTGCTGCCTGAATCCAAACATCACTCCCTTTACAAACTACTGCTGATAACAAGATGATATCAGACCATAAAACGTAAATATAACCCAGTTATGGACAGAGAAAAACAAAACGGACAGTATAGCTAAACTGGTATTATTTTTCTTGTTGTGAGGGTCAGAAGTGAGGGTTCTGGGTGTGTTACAGGATAAACTAAAAAAGTTTGTCTGACTTACAGTTCAGACTCTTATTGTAAAGGGTAACAGGAAGGCTTGAGTTTGTGGATCTAATGATTACCATGGCTCTCAGTGAGTTTGCTCATGGTGGATGCTAGCTGTTAGCATTGCTGGTTTTTATATTGAGGCAGTGGCAGCTGGTCCATAGGGGCGATTGGGGCGACTTCCTCCCAAGAAAAAATTTATTTTTTTTTCATGTGCTTCTCATCACTATTGTGGTCTGCTTGTCTGTGTTGTACAATCAGTTTGAGCCCTCACTGCTGGGTATTCCGGCCTTACAGGGTGATGGGGGCGATTAGTATGATCGCCCCTATCGCTCTCATAGAAAGTAAAGTAAATGTTTCCCCCCGACTTTCCAGAGCAACAACGCAGTTTCTAGGGGCTGGCGGGACGTCTCCCTATCTGTCTACGTCACGCGTTACATCCCAGTACAGGTTGTGTAAAGGACACGCACAGAGCGGCAAACCACTTCCATAATGGCGAGCTGCCGGAGCAACACCGTCATCTCTTTGAAAGAGTTTCCTTTTAATCGTCGTACCAATGCTGATAAAATGGCCACAAAACTATTAGGACCACCAAGACCAAATCTCAACATCAAACAAGCTGCAGTTAAAGGCGGGAAATCCTACAATCGAGGATTTTTGAGAAGGTGGTATGACCAGACGAGCTGGCTCGCGGACTGTGAGACAGCAGGCTCACTTTTCTGCTTCCCATGCCTTCTATTCAGCCCAGTTGGCGCCACGGCGGCCCACAGCTCATGGACGACCACAGGTGTCACCGACATGCACCATCTGACTGAGAAGGCGAAGAGACAGGAAGCGTCCAAGATCCACATGGACAGCTGCTTCAAGTTTTCTATGTTAATATCGCCGAGGAGCTAGACAGCAGCTACCGCCTGGCAGTCCGCCGCCATAACGAGGAGGTGAGCAGGAACCGATATCTCCTTAATCGCCGCATAGATTGTGTCAAATTCTATGGCATGTATGAATTAGCCTTGCGGGGGAAAGATGAAAGCGAAGGCTCAAAGAACGCAGGCATTTTTCAGGGATTAGTGGACTTGGTGGCGTCTTTGGATGAGGTGTTTGAGGAGCACCTGAAAAAAGAGACTGTTTTCAAGGGCACATCAAAAACTGTTCAGAACAAACTGCTGGACAGCATGCTGGCGATCGTCGGAAAGCGCGTTACTGAGGACGTCATAGGGGCTAGATTTGTTGCCATCCAAGCTGACGAGACTACCGATGTGTCAACACAGACGCAGCTCGTGCTTTTGATTAGATACATCGACGCACAGCACACAGTGCAGGAGCGTTTTTTTTTTGTTTTTTTTTTAGTTTCTCCCTGTTGTGGATTCGATGGCCAACTCGATTGCCAATGTGCTTTTGGACAGACTGAACAGCCTCTTTCCTGATGCTCACAAGGAGAAGCTCATCGCCCAGGCTTATGATGGAGCCAGTGCGATGAGAGGAGAGCCGGCCGGGGTCCAGCAAAAGGTGCGCAAGCATTTCCAAAATGCTCATTATGTGCATTGCTACGCACATCAGCTTAATCTGATAATGCAGCAAGCAACCTCAACCATCCCTGCCATGAATTTGTTTTTTTTTCTGGTTTGAGCGGTATTGCCAGTTTTTTTGTCCGCTCGCCCAAACGCACCAGCATACTGGACGAGGTGGTCGCTAGAAGGCTGCCCAGAGCTTCAACCACAAGATGGAACTTTAACAGCAGAACTGTCAACACCGTGCATGAGCACCTGGAAGATCTCGTTCAGTGTTTTGAAACTATCAACTCATCCGGCTCTTTTGATGGCAACACAATGAGAGAGGCCTGTGGCTTTCTCAGGACGCTGCAGGACGAGGATTTCCAGCTTTTTCTGCAGCTGTTTAGTCAAATTATGCCTCACGTGGACATCCTGTACAAGAAACTGCAGAAGAAGGACATCAATGCGGTCTTCATCAAGCGCGCCCTCCAGATCTTCATGATCAGTGTTAAGGCAATAAGGTAATTATTTTATTAATTAATTAATTTATTTATTTATTTATCTGTTATGACACAGTTGTCCAAAAATTATCCATTTGCCTTTCACATTACAACTGGGTTTTCAAGTACTTAATAACATAGATCAGTGGATAAGACTAATTTCTCATGGAACTATGGCCGATTTCTGATCCCCTCAAATTAATTTGATCGAAGCCGATAAAACAGGTGCACCCGTAGTAGTTTACAAACTTGGCTTTCTACCTTTTGAGAGCTGGTCAAATTTTACTTAAGGGTGGAATTGCCCTTTAAACTAACCAGAATTATAACCAAAGCGCACAAAAAACAGCATTTTACCTGTTACTTTATTGTCATATCAGACAATCGTTTGACATATACGAAACACTTCAATGTAAATATAAGCAAACTTTCCGTGCTTCTGTTTCACATTCAAGTCAGAGATTTTTTTTTTTTGATGCATAACACTTCTTAGTGTTGTCAAATGACCCACATATTCTTATGTCTGTCTAATTTTTTGTGTGCTCTGACACTTGGATTTACTAACAGGCATTGTTGGTCTCCCCTCAGGCAGTCACCTCGATAGCAGCGGCAGGAGGCCACAGAAACCACCAGTAGAAGGAGAACGGTCTTGGGAGAGGATGAAAAGCAGAGGCTGTGGGAGAAGATCTGCGACACCATCCTGACTCACACCAGAGAGAGGTTCTCCTTCACCAACCACCTGATCAGTGCCAAGCTGCTGCAAGCAGAAATGTTTGAGCAGCACTGCCACACATTTCCCACGGGTGCTCTGAATGCCACGGTGGAGGCATACCCCATGCTCAACAAAAACAAACTGAAGACAGAACTGTCTCTGGTCTATGAGAACCCTGAGTTCAGGAGCTGCTGCGGTGCGCTGGCGTTGTATCAGCTTCTCATGAGATACAACCTCCAGGACACGTTTTCTGAGACGGTCGCTTTGATGAACATCCTCATCGCAACCCCGATGACGACAGCTGAGGCTGAGAGGCGCTTCTCAACTCTCAAAAGAATAAAGACATTTCTGAGAAATCCAATGGGCCAGGAACGCCTTAATGCGCTGGCCATGCTGTCCATAGAGAGAGAGCTAGTCTGGTCCATGCCTGACCAATGAGAAGGTCATCGATCACTTTGCTGCTTTGAAAGACAGACAGGCAAAGTTTCATTACAAATGAGAAGGTTGCATATCTTTGCTTGTGGCATTTTGTTTATTTTGTTCAACTTGTTGATGGATGTTTTACAATGGCCATACATTTTTTACCTACAGGCCTTTATCCATGAGGAAGCAGGTTTACTTTTGTAAAAATGTACAGATAGCTGATTCATTGCTGATTGTTTTTTTTTTATTATACTTTCTCTATTCTGTTTTTTTGTTCAATTTGGTCCTTTATGTTTGTTCTGATGGCCGTACATTTTATACTTACAGGCATGGACGTAATTTTTTTGGGGGGACAGGGGGGACATGCCCCCCCCCACTTTTTTCCAACGTCAAGTTTAAACCCCTGCACATTTCACCATCCAAAAACAATATTACGCACTATTAAATTGACACTGGTTGAGCTCTAGGACCAAGCAGAAAACAACTGTTTGTGTTGAAGCCTGTTTCCTATTAGAGCATACTGTAAAGATACACCCCCCCCCCCCCCACCCCACCCCCCCACCCCCACTTCTAAAGTGAAAATTACGTCCATGCTTACAGGCCTGTATTCAAGAGAAATTGTACATTAGTCTTCACATTGGATGTAAATATGACTATTGCATCACAGCATTAAACATTTTTTCCCTGGAAATTGGTTTCTGTTTTACACTTAAGGTGATACTTTCTGATTTACTTACTTTACTGTAAGATTGGACTAATCCCTTGCTGAAGGGCCAAAATAATCACATTGCTTAAAAAACTATAGGCTGGCTCAGATAACAGGTTTGTAGAGCAATAAATCACAATATAGTTAAACAAGTAGACTCTGAAAAACAGGAGGACTTTGTCATCATGTATCGCCCCCTCTGAGATTTTTCTCAGGAGCCGCCACTGTGAGGCAATGATTACAGTTAGTAGAAGCTGCTGGAAGTAATACATAAAGTAACTTCAAAACTAACTTAGTTACTTTTGACATACAGTAATCAATAAATTCACATAGTTACTTTTGAATGGAGTAATCAGTCAGTAATCAAATTACTATTTTAAGCTTACTGTGGCAACACTGCCAGTAAAGCTCATGGGTAATCCGGAATAATTTAAAAAAATAAAAGTGTTCATTTTATGTTAGTTTAATTGCAGTAACAGATCTTAATATTATAAAATGCAGTAATTACAAATGTTAAGAAGGTCATGATAACTTGATTTGTTTTGTTTCAGATGGTACAGGAAAAGTGTCAACAGGAACAACGCAGAGGAGCTGCTGAAGAAAGAGGTCTGTCTTCTATTTTCTTTAGGAGTGTTTTGATGTTCCTGCTGACAGGAAATCTTCAGCATCACTGCTGCCTCTCAGATCATTTAACATGATGAAAAGCTCTTCAAAATAAAAGCTCAGAAATATTTGCTTACCAGGTCCCAAGTCACATTATGAATGATGTTATTGCAGTATATTATTTTATAAAACTGTAACCCGTTAAAGCAGAAATGTGGAGTATTTTCTCACAGGGCACCATCTAGGGATGGGTACCTTTGACATTTGAATCGATTCGGTACTAATTCCCGGTACCTAGGAATTAATACCGGTACTTAACGGTACCAATTTTAGATAATTTTGAGTGTTCAATATTTTAATTCTCTTTTATAATTAAATACATATTTTTCTTAATATATAACAATATTTGATAAATATCGCGATAAATAACACACAACTGTTTGTATTTTAACATCGTCCTTGTAGTTTTATAAGCTGATAATTAAACTGAAGCAAACACCTTTACTGTGAACTAAATTTACTGCGTATCTTCATTCCTTTTGCCGTCCTTTTTCATTTTATTTTTCCTACTGGGAAGTTAGAATTTCCGAGGAGAAAGCGAACGCACCATTAGCTGATAACAATGGTGGCAATGGAAGCTAACATATCAAGCTAACGTTATCTTAAACAGTTTATTTAGCTGTTGGAGCAGATTAAAACGATGACGCCTCACACTTAAATCGTTGTCGCTGGTTTCATCTTCTCCCAATCACCTGTCGCATGAAGCCAAACTTTAGAGCGTGTTCGTGTTCTTCTAGTCGGAAATTCGGAGTTACGAGGAGAAAGCGAACGCACCATTAGCAAAACAGAAGCTAACATATTAAGCTAACGTTATCTTAAACATTTTATTTACCTACCGGAGCAGATTAAGATGAGGATGTCTCACTTAGATTGTTGTCGCTGGATTCATCATCACCCAGTTACCCATCACATTCAATGAAGTGGACCCAAGCTTTAGCGTGCGTTCTTTCTTTCTGCCATGCTGCTCTGTTTACAACTGGCTCGCAGGGACCGACGACATAACGCTCTTGCGCATGCGCAGCTGTCTAGGCAAGTTCTTGTTATGAAGGACGGGTACCGAAACGAGGCACCGTTTCAAATGACGTGAATCGGTGCTCAGTCGGTACTGTGGAATTCGGTCGGTACCTTAAAAAGTACCGAATTCGGTACCCATCGCTAGCACCATCTACAGGTGGAATCATGCATAGCACCTTTAAGCCCCTCTTCCTACTTCTGTGATTACTGCTGGAAGCAACGCCTCTCGTTTGTGACCCTCTAGCCGAGCTAAAAGACATTGTTTATTCTACTCACATTATGTTGTTTTTTCATATATAGATTTTAAGGACTAACTTGTTCATAACAAATGTCGCCATCTCTGCACCAGCCTAGGTACATACACAGACACTCGTGCGTGCTCTGTTATTGACATCTCTATGTAGACGGATGTCTGACGCTAAACGAAGCTTAGTTCATGTTGCATGGGGCTCTACGAGAGGGGGTCAGGGACTTGGAAAGAACAATCCTTTTGTATTACCTACATTATGGATGTAAAATCTCATCGGTATGTGGAACCTGTCGCCCCCTGCAGGACAAAGAAGGAGCTTTCATCGTCAGAGACTCCAGCGTCAGCGGGAAGTACACCGTCTCCCTCTACTCCAAGACTGCCGCGGGGTAATGGTCCTCGGCTAACACTGCTTCCTCCCAGTAAACCCAGTGTCAGCTGTTTTAGTGCGTCTAAATATTTAGCTGCTGGATTCTAGTTTTTCTTCTTTTGTTTCTAGACTTGTTCTGAGTGATTCCTAGGGTTTTTAGAGCAAATTTTAATGTTTATTTTTTATTATTATTAAAGATGTTGATACGGAATAAAAGAGTCTCATGAATTTATGTAATGTGGTGAAAAAGCAACAACAAGAAACCAATACATCCAGATTGATGAAAAGTCTTTTTGTGTTTGACCTGGAAAATAATTTCTGAGTCACGCGTCCGTCTCACGGGTCTGTCTGCGTTGTGCTGATGTGCTTTCAGGGAGAAAGGTTACATCATCAAACATTATCACATAAAGGAGACGCAAGGTTCTCCCAGAAAGTTCTATCTGTCGGAGCAGTTTCAGTTTGACTGCATCCCCGAAGTTATCGAGTACCACAAACACAACGCAGGAGGTAGACTCCCCCAAACACACACACACACACACACACACACAATGAATCTGATCTGGTCTGGTCTGTTTTCAGGTCTGGTGACCAGGCTGAGATACCCTGTTGGAAACCAAACCGAGTCAACACCGCCCACAGCCGGCTTCAGCTACGGTGAGTTATTTTGTTGTTCTTAACCCCCACGTGCTCCTCAGTTTATGATTAAACTCTTTGGCCTGCAGAGATGTGGGAGATCAGCCCGATGGAGCTGACCTTCATGAAGGAGCTGGGCAGCGGTCAGCACGGCGTGGTGAAGCTCGGCAAGTGGAGGGGTCAGCACAAGGTGGCCATCAAGACCATCAGGTGTGGAGCCATGCGGGAGGAGGACTTCATCGAGGAGGCCAAGATCATGATGTAAGGAGAAGAGAACAGCGGTGTTAGGAGGACAAAAACACCCAGTGCCATCTGATGGTGGATATTTGGTACTACACAAATCTGGATCAACTGGAAGTTTATTCTTTTCACAACTATGGTTTCTTAAAAAGCTTTTATGGTTTATTAGAACTTTTCACAAACCGAACATTTTCTTAGTGTTTCTATGTGTACACAAGTCAGCTTGGGAAAATGTGGGATTACTGCAGATTTGGATGGGGATCAGGTAAAGGAGTTCAAAGATATCCGTGTCTTGTTCCTGGGTGACGGAGTAATGAGTGGACCTGCGGATCCGAGCTTTGTCTTTATTTATGAGGGTGTTGCTCTGATATGTGGTACGAAGTTCTGGATCAGGACAGAAAAAGGAGATCCTGAATATATCCAACCTCACCGCCACTGAGCCTTCTCATCAAAAGGAATCAACTAATGGGCCATTCCCATCTGTACCGGGTCGGCCCGGGCCGGGTAGCCCCAGTCGGCCCCAGCCTGGCCCGGTTGATTCCACACATCCTTGTCTTAAGCCCATGTGGGCTGATTCTACCCACCAATCAGAGGCTTGCTCTAATGGAAGGTGTGAATTTGCTGTCAGCAGTGGGTGTGTTGGCCCTGGTCGGCCTGAAGCAGACCCCCTCGGGAAGAGGGCTGAGAATGAGCCTTGGTTGGCCCGGAAAAATACCAGGCCACCCAGATATGTAAACAACCTACGCTCCCCAGCCCGGGCCGACCCGGTACAGATGGGAATGGCCCATGAGGTGCTTAGGCCAGGCTAGGGTACCCGCTGGCCCTGCCTCATTCCTCATTGGAGGAATTATACAGTATAACCTCCGGTCTGGGAATACCATTGGGAGGAGCTGGCAGGTGTAATAGGAAAAAAGGAAGTCTGGGTATCCCACTTGGATAGATGAACCACTTCATTAGAGATGGTTTAACCAGCAAATGTTTGAAACTCCTTTGTATTTGCTCATTTTCTTTACTCTGAAAACTTTAGGTTGAGTGTTATTGATATGAATCTTCCAGGAAGCTGTCCCACCCTAAACTGGTGCAGCTGTACGGCGTCTGCAGCCAGCAGCAGCCCATCTACATCATCACAGAGTTCATGGAACAAGGCAGCCTGCTGAACTTCCTCCGGCAGCGGCGGGGAACCTTCAGCATCCAGTCCTTGCTGAGTATGTGCCTGGACATCTGTGAGGGGATGGAGTACCTTGAGGCCAATGGCTTCATCCACAGAGACCTGGTAACGTCTTGAGAGATGGTCATCTCAGCACTTTGATGCTTTGGTTTGAAACTGTTTTAATTTAAAATCTTATCTGAAGTCTGCCAGGAACTGTCTGGTGAACGACTCGCTGGTTATAAAGGTGTCCGATTTCGGCATGACCAGGTATGGGTTGGACTCCATTTCCTTTGGGTCACATAAAGTCAGCAGGTGGAACCAGCCTGATGTCTCCTAAAATTTGGACTATTTAGATACGTGCTAGACGACCAGTACACCAGCTCATCTGGCACCATGTTTCCTGTGAAGTGGTCGCCTCCCGAAGTCTTCGAGTACTGTAAATACAGCAGCAAGTCGGACGTCTGGTCGTACGGTGAGAGCGTGGAGTCCTTTAGCCAGTTTACGTCCTCATGTGCTCGAGCAACAACCTGCTGGTGTTTGTGTGCCCAGGTGTGGTCATGTGGGAGGTGTTCACTGAAGGTCGGTTGCCGTTTGGACAAAGTTCGAATCGTGAGGTTGTTGAGTTGGTGAGAGGAGGTCAACGACCCTACTGGCCTATACTGGCTACCCGTGACCTGTATGACATCATGATGCTCTGTTGGCATGAGGTGAGGAAAGTTCCTTCTGAACCACAATGAGCTGGCTTAATACCAATAATCCTTTTCAAAATGATGTTTTAAATTCTACCTTACAGATACAGTCAGAAATTATCATTTGGGGTCTTGAATGATGAGTTTGAATTTCTGGTTGACTTCTCAGATCCACAGGCTTTATCCTGATGTGTTTGGGGGCATTGTCCCGTCGGATGAATGATGAGTCCAAGTTTCAACCATTTAGTTCACAATATCAGATTTAGAACTTAGTAGTTAGTTTCTTTGATGTTCCATCCACTTTGTGAGATGGACCACATCATGATGCTACCACCACCATGATCGACAGCTCTTAGATTCGAAAGCTTCCTCTTGACTTCTCCAAACATACTTTCTCATCTGACCATAAAACCTTCTTAGAGAAGAAATTCGTCTCCTCTATGTGGACAGCTGCAGGTCTGAGTGGAGTTGGACGGTGTCTTCTTTCTTGGTCCTTTTCCTGTAGACTGTAGACAGGTCTGCTGGTATTCCAGCAGATTCATTTATCTGCAGTAGTTCCTGGGTTGTTAATGGATTCCCAAACAACTGCCTTCTGTCTGAGTGGGACAGTTTGGTCAAGTGCTGCAGTGAGACACCACCAGCTGTGGCCCTGTCAAGGAGACGCCCAGCATGTTTTCATTGTTTATCTGCTCCAACACACTTGATCCAGGGAATGAATCACCTGTGCAGCAACTCGTCAGGCTTGCAGAAGCCTTACAATCACCTGCTGATTGAAATCAGGTGTGTTGAAGAGGCGTTAAATAAAACAAGCTGGATACCGGCCCTCCAGGACCAGGATTGAGAACCACTGTTCCCCAGACCCTTTAGCATCAGTTAGGATTTTGTTTTTCTCTCTCTGTGAGTCCATCTGTATCAGTTTGGCTCGACGGAAGAGAGAAAATCTGTAGTAAATTGAAACATTTGCTCCTAATTCTTGTTTTTTTTTTTGTTTTTTTTTTTTTACAAGTCATGAAAAGGGACATATTACCAAAACTCACGTTTGTGCTGCGTTGTGGATCGCCACTGCCTCGATAAACACTCCAAACATTAAAAAACATGTTCATCTGTTTTCTGTCAGTGTTTGGTTTTAGGAATTACGTGCCTAAAACAAGCCGTTTCAAAAATTCCCCATTTGTGATGTCACAAATGGTCCAAGTAGAAAAGAACCACAGAGAGAGCCCCTCCTGGACATCGGAGCTTCTCAGCTTATAGTAGCCTGAGCGAGAGATGGGTCGCCAGCTTGTTTTCTTAAAGTGACAGAGCCATTAAGCGGCTCATTTTAGAAGATACTGAAACCGTCAAGAATAAAACTGCTCTATGTAAGATGGATTTAGTAAAAAAAAAAGTCATGGACATGTTTTGTACTGATCATAGAGCTGTTATAACTTAAGAGGAAAAGTCAAAATATGTCCCCTTTGAAGTTTAAATCCGTATAGCCATCATTTAAAACCAGATTATTTTTGTCATCAAGACTTCATAGAAACATCCTTCGTACCAGCTACCTGTGGAATAGATGTACTCATCGTTAAAATCCTTGAACAATGAAGCCAGGACAATAAATCAGATCTGATCGATTTTATTGTCCTCTGTCTTTAGAAACCCGAGGGGCGTCCCACCTTCTCCCAGCTTTGTGTGAAGCTGTTTAATCTGTTGGAAGGTGACAGTTCCTCTGCATCCTGATGGATAAAACTCACATTATGCTGCTCTCACTGACTGTCATAGACTAATGGAAGGACTGAGACCTGCAGTAACTCGATGCATCTGGAGCTGACGTCGCCCACTGATCAAATCAGCATCGTTTGCAGGACTGAAGCTGAATGTTTGAGGAGAAATGACTTTTGGACTAACTCAGGAAGTCAGACTCTGCTAATCTGACCAACAGATTTTAAATTACAGTAAAAAAAATCTGAGAAAATGTTTTTATGAAGCTATTTTCTTTTGTCTGATTTGATATTTTTATGGAACTGGTTGAAAAATCTTCTCATGCCTGGTCTGATTTAGGCAGAACGTACATCAGTTTTCATCACACTCACCCTTGCTCCAGGTTCCTGACTGGGACCAGGAAACGGGACGACATCAGTCCAGTTCTGGCCTCCCTGCACTGGCTTCCGGTTTGCTATCGCTCACAATTCAAAATACTTGTCTTTGTTTATCATTTCTTCCAGGGTGGTGCTCCCCCCTATCTGGCCACTCTCCTGAACAGACATTCCCCATCACGTGCTCTGCGCTCCTCTGACCAAGGCCTGCTCGCTGTCCCTCGGTCTAGGTGTCGTACCCGTGGGGACCGGGCTTTCTCAGTCCTAGCACCGTTACTCTGGAACCAGTTGCCTCCCTCAGTAAAGCCTGATTTATGCTTCTCCGTCTGTGTCAATGCGGAGACACGCAACGCCATTATCCGTCCTTGCGTAGGGCTCCGGCAGGCACGCAAGTACGTACGGAGTCGAGCCCACTTTTTCAAACATCCGTCGAACGAGACGGATTACGCAAGCTTGTGATTGGTCAGGACGCCGCTGTTGTTTACGGCGCCGCCATTGCACCCTCAAAAACATAAAGAGAGCCGAGGATAACTAGCGGCAGACACGGAGAAGCTTGACGAATACCTCACGAAAAAACTCTAAAAATGTGAACGTTTAATTCTCCCGTGATTGGAGGAGTGAAAAGATGTGCAGCAAGCGTTTTATTTGTGGACGGAAATGACAGGAAACGTGGGTTTAGAGGTGGGGAGCGCATGAAGCGGTGGGAGAATGAGAGACAAATATGTCCATGTTAAAAGTCTCTTATATACACAAAAAACACAATATAAACACACTATCTTGGACCGATACATGACAGGATACCACAGAACAGCTCTCCGCCCTCTGCTGTCCTGCCGGGCAATTGCTTTGCAACACTCTCCAGGAGACGGAGAAGTATGAGAGCAAAACGCTTCCGTCAATCCGTGCGTGTCTGTCCCTTGCGGAGCTGACGGAGAAGCATAAACCAGGCTTCAGGCTGTCCCCTTCTCTGCCAGTCTTTAAGAATCACCTAAAAACACACCTCCTCCGCTTGGCGTTTCCAGAACATGTTTGATTTTGGCCCTCTTTTATGTTGAATCCATTCCACAGTTTTCATTGGTACACTCAATCCATCCACTCAATCCAAATGTGTTTCACACATTTGTATTTTACCGGAATGTTTCATCTATCTTGTAATTTCCATTTTGTACTTTGTAATTTGTATTTTGTAATTTGAATTTCTTTTATTGTTGATTTATTCAATATATTTACTTAACTGTACCATGTTCAGCACTTTGGGCTTCCTGACAGGGTTGCGGAAGGCGCTTTATAAATAAAGCTTTGATTGATTGATTGATTGATTGATTGATTGATTGCTCGGGTAACTGATCGTTTACTTTCTTTTGTTGTGAAAATCTAAAAGAGAAAGAAATTCCACAACTTTTGACCTTACAACTGCATTTACAATATGAACCTGATGAAAAAAACTAAATCATGAAGGAAGTTCAGGCTGAAGTGAACTTCCCCAAACCAACAACCTTCAGTCCCTTGGCTGTGTCTTGGTGGAGTCTATCGCTGGAAATGAGTTCAATCAGATTTTTATTCCAGTAATCAGTGCATCCGATGTCTTTGAGTGGAGATGTGGGACCCCATAGTGCTCCAACAGGAGGGTCAGGTCCTTGTTTTGGTTAAAGCCCAGACCTTAAATAAGTGAGCTTCTATCTGCACAGCTGGTCTTTTAAAATAAATGTAAATAATAAGTATAGTTTTTGATTTAATCCTAATAAACTACAGCTGAGAAGTTGTTGTAGAGTTTTACTTCCCTGGAGTCGGTTTTTTCCAGCAGATAAAAGTCTGACACCAACTGTGACTTTCATGGAAATGCCTGACCTTGCAAAAGTGAATGAATGTGAACTCTTCATGAGGACATGGAAACAGCTGAAGATGCACCTTTTTGGCGAAGTTCCTTCATTATTTAAGGAAGCCGTTCCTTCAGCTGCCTCAACACGCAGGTCCAGCCTTGGAAAACGTGGTGAGTTTTTTTTTCTCCTGAAACGTCAGTTTAATCTACAAAATTATAAAAACTTTAACGTTTTCTCTATCGTCTTTTTCAGAAAGCTCTTCAGTTTATTGCAGCAAATATCTGATTTAAAATGTCAGCCATCCCAGTTTTAACATCTCAGACGAATGTCATGGAAAATTGTCTTTTTTTTTTCTTGTAAATGTGTGAAAAATGTAATACCGTAAATCCTTTAATATTGGCCTGTATTCCATTACCGGCCAGGTCCTACATTAGCTGGTCTCGCTGTCAGAGGGGGTAAATAAAGGCCGGTCTCTAATAGTGGCCGGCCTTTTTGGGTTAGGCTTGAACAATGTGACTGGTAGAAAATAGTTTCTTAATAAAATAAAAGTCTGTAAATGTCAGAGGTCACTAAAGCCCACTGGAGAGTAGATGCAAATCTGCAGCATGCAAGGACCTTGTTTGGGGGGGGGATTAATTTTAGTTGTCACCATTTTCACAGCCTCTGAGTTCGCAGGAATGAACGATAGATGCACGCAAATTAATAAAATGATGTTTTGTTCTTCTATGCCAGCTGTTTGCTTGCTACAGCGTTGCTGTCCCAGATGTGACGTAACCCGCCAATTGCAGTATTTGCAGTTTTTAAAGAGCACGTGAATGTTTAACAGTTGATTAGTTCTTTGTGATAAAGTAATAATTTTATTATGAAGTCTTGGAAAAAGTCTTAAATTTAATTTTGAGATGCCTGCATATACCCTGTGTTAGTTTATATCATTAAACCAGTCACACACACACACACACACACACACGGTAGAACACACAGTGAATGTGGTGGTCTTCCAGTTTCCATTTGGAATACAGTAAAATTGGGTTTGATCCACTTTCCAAATGAAACTGAGCATTAATGTAAAGGTATACAAGTTACTACCGAACTCAATGAAGGACATAAAAAAACAAAACCATTGTTTTATATTATTGTACTTTTATTGATCAAATAACTTATTTTGTCATGTGTTTGTTTCTTTATGACCACAGAAAACAAATCTGGGCTTTTTTTTTTTTTTTATCAAAGGACCCCGACTCCAACATGACATTTCAGCAGATCTGGTGGGTTTGGCTGTTCGTCACCACCCTTCCTCTCCTCCTGTTGCCCATTCCCACGTTAACCGAGGTTGTCAAGTCGGTGTCCGAATGCGACCAGTTTCTTCTTGGCCAGACTCCTCCACATGTACCAGGCATCCTTGAGGGCGGGAGGATTCTTGACCAGAACCGATACAAACTCATCTGCCAGACTTACAACAACAAGCCAAGATTTGTCACACTCTACGATGTCAGAAATAAGATCCCGGTGTTTTCTGCCTACAAGTATGTTGGAGAAAAAGACAGGAAGAGACCAAAGTCCAAATGGAAAATAGAGCCACAGGTAGGCTTCATGAGCTGTAAAGGACGAGTTTCAAGAGCATGTTTAGTGTTCACATGATTTCCAACTACGAACTTCACAAAATGAAAAGTCTGAACATTTTTTATCCAACATCTTAACTTTTTGTTGGAGTTTGAGTGAAGATGGCCACTATAGCTAATTAAAGAGTAACTAAACCCCAAAATTACTTGTTTTTGCTGATAAACTGTTCAGTTGGGTCTTTACAAATGCAACCTTTCTGTTTCGGTGCATTTTTTGACATGTTTGTGTAAACTTGATTCAATTTAGAATCTAGGTCTACAAGCGTGTTAGTGCTGCCCCCTGTGGGTTGAACCGTGGCTAATGCATTTTAAACTTGTGGTACAATTTCACGTCATCGGTACAGTCTCCTCCCACTCCCCCTCCCTCCTGGGATGGAAATTCCCCACACTTGGCCATGCCACTCTGCCTCCTGGGCCCTGGCAACGCCCACTTGTAAAGTATTTTTCAAATCTTGACTAGGGGGTGGAGTTACATTTTCTGATGCTGTGCAGTCCCTCTTTAACTACAGATATGAAAAATGACGGAAACTTTGTAGAGTAAACTCCAAGCCACTTAAACATGTTCAAACAAAAAAATATCAGCCGCCAGTCAGAAGAGCGGCCTGCGGACCGCTTACGCCTCACGGAGAGTTTGAGCAACCCCCATATGCAATTGTTGAACTATGAATTTTGTTTGTCCAGAAGGATGTAAAGTGTTGGTTTCTAACTTCTGTTAAAGATATCGGCCAGAGGCAAAATTCCTTTGAGTGGCATGTGTAAAGAAGTATTAATACCTCATGTAAAAAAGGTTTTTGGATTTTCACGGCTGGAATTAAAAAAAAATCTGATGTTTTTGACCGGCGTGCATGGGAAAAACAGAAACTATCTTCCGGTCTAAGCCCTGGTGTTTCACAAGGAGATCTGCTGAAGCAGCTATAGAAAACAACCCTGACTCCGGTGTTTCTGCGTTAGCGTTATAGCAGAGAACAATGTTTCATCAATCAGATGTGGCGTCTGAAGCCTCTGCTAGTCGGGCAGATTTGTTTTTTTTCTCTGGGATACGGCGACAAAAACGGATGATGGATTACCGGAGATGTTCAACCGAACTCCAACCCCGCTAGCTGGATACTTGAGGTGCAGACATGTTTGGGACCGTTTGACTCAGAAGACCTGTGACCCGATTTGGACACTGTGGAGGATTCTGTTCATCTTCAGAACCAAAATCAGTACTTTTTGTTTACTTTTGTAAATTATTTCACGTCTGTGCTCACCGGGAGCTCTAAGCTGACTGTAGGTCTTAGCTCCATCATGTGTCCCAATACAATTCAATAATCTACAGATAAATAAAATGTGTGCTGCCAGTTTTACCGCTGCGTAAATGCATTAATATAACTCCGGAAAACATTTAAGTGATAGCTTACCAGAATAAATCTTCCAGATGCTGGAGGAATTCGCTGGTTTGGCTCACTGTTTGCACTAATCCAGGATGGCATGGAGGTTCTACAGGTCCCAGGAGGATCTATTGTTGAAATGTGGGAATCATCTTTTAGATAACTCGTGTGTGTGTGTGTGTGTGTGTGTGTGTGTGTGTGTGTGTGTGTGTGTGTGTGTGTGTGTGTGTGTGTGTGTGTGTGTGTGCCGTAGCTTTCCCAAATGACTTGTTTTTTTCCTTACCGGAGCTAACATGGTTAGCAGTGTAGCTGCAGTCATGCTAACGAGACTCGTCTGGAGTCTAGAAGTAGCGGTGAGGCTCCAGATGGATTTATAAATGTAGGTTAATATTTTAGATCAGACCTATGTTATTTAAAAATGCGTGTAGGACACGGGCATGTGGCTCAGACCTTTTGCTGCAGCTGTAAACGCAATTTTCCGTAATAATTAAGAGTACAAAAGTAAACAAAATACAGTCATTCACAATACTAGGAACAGCAGCTACCTTGTTTTATGTGCTGGAGTGACGTTAACGGTTGTTCACCGTTTGGAAGGAAGAATTTAGATTTTCTGAAGTGATTTCGGACAAAATTCCTTAACAAAACGAAAAACTGAACCCAGTTCATATTTATATATATATATGGGAAAGTGTAGTTACACTAAATTTCTACTATTTTAATGCAGAGTCTGGCCAATATCTTTAAAATGTTTAGTAATGTGCCTACTTTTGACTTATTCTGAGGTGGATAAATCATAATAAGTTTAAAATATTTTTTTATTTAAAATGATGACGTTGTTGTGACTTAATGTTGGCCCTTGTCTTGAACAGTGAAGACACCCCTGCCCTAGATTAAATAAAACTCAAATTCTAATTCAAACTTTATTAATCCCAGAGGGAAATTAGAGTTTCAGTACACACAATTCAGAGATCAGACATACATAGGCAAAGACACGTGACAAGAATTGGTGACTGTGGTCATTCGCAACCCTGAGTCGTGCTACCTTAATAGAGATAAGAGGGTTATATGAGGATTGGATCAGGTGGAGGGGAAAAAAGCACTTCAGAGTTACCCTCCACAGGGAGGGCAGCTTTGCTCTGCAAAAAACACCTCAGACAGAAATGCAACAGACTTCAGTCATCACACAACATAAGTATCCACTAGGTGGGGAGGTAGGGTTGGGGACTCTCCACATGTCAGTGGCTGCAGCCACGATAAGCAGCGCACGTCACCCCAGTCTGGACAGGGGAGGGAGGTCGTTGGGGTTTGGAGGGCACAGTGACTCCTGGAATGATTCTGTGGCCTTCACAGCCCGCAGTCCCACCCAGGCTGGGATAGGGAGATAGTTGCCATAGCGACGGCAGCATTCCACATTTCTTCTGAGGGGGGATTATTCGTTGCAGCCTCACAGGCTCAAGGGCACCAGATTCAGACTAGAAACTGTTTTGGGGCCAGACAGAGATAATTTCCTCTCTGTCTTAAAGTTCCGTTGGTCCTCAACCTCTCAAAATCCCAATAATGGCCCAAATTAATCTATCCCAATCCGTGCGGATTCGTCCACTCGCTCCTTGATGGCATCCATCTTTGTGCCAACGCATGAATCTCGGCCAAAGTTCCAAGCTAACGAATCATCTCGACAATTATATGAGTCTGTGCATTCACAGCTCGGTGTAATCCATCCCTGAGCCCAGGGAGAGTGCAAATATTCCTCGACAACTCGTAAATTTTCCGGTAAGCCAGGAAGCCTCCTAGGCCAAAGAGCAGGAAACCTGACACCAACACCACAAATATCCAGACGTCTTCAGAATCCTCTACAGACAGCTGAGATAGGCAAATCGGGTTCCACTGTTTCCAGGAGTCCATGATATGCCCAGCTGGCTCTGTCCCAGAGGGGCACCCGGGAGTCCCTTCTCCCGTTCTCATCACTGAAAAAATTTTGTCAATCGCGTTGAGTGACCAACTGACCTGGTACATTTTAGTAATTTCAGTTTGCAGTTTCCAGAAAAAATGCAAAAGCGCCATACACCCAGAGATAGACAAGGAGCCTTGGAATAAGATAGGGAGGAGTGGAGGAAAAAAGCGTCTGTACTCTCCAAGAGTAAGGAAGAAGGGAAAAAAATACATCAGAGTTTCTGACTTTCCTCCCAGACATTCTTGAGTTTCCCTTTGATGAAGAACAGTTTTACTTCCTTATTGTTTCTGCATGCGTTCGATTTATTTACTTTTACTCATGCTTTATGGTTGGCTGATTTTTGATGACTGACCCAAGTTTCTCTTTCCAGCTTGAGAACGAAAATCTCGGAAAGAACATGATGACCAAAGAGAAGAACCAGATCTACATGCAACAGGGTGTTGACACAGATTACAGATCCAATGGAACAGTCGACCGGGGTCACATATTTCCAAGCTCTTACGGATCAACCACAGAAGATAAAAAGTCTACTTTCACCCTGACCAACGTTGTTCCACAGGCAGAGTCATTCAATAAAGGAAGCTGGAACAGAATGGAAAGATGCACCAAATGTGTTATGGAAAAGTACTGCACCAACAGCAGCGGTGCTCCCGAAGGCTTCGGACTGACTGGATCACAACCCAGTTTTAACAACACCCTGAACAACAGGATCAACATTCCCTCCACTCTGTGGTCAGCATTCTGCTGCTACAGCACCATCACCAGGACGTGGATAGCAAGCGCACACTGGGGGGACAACATTCCAGATGGGTCTAGGAACAAACACTTAGAGACCAAGACTCTGGCAGAACTCCAGAACAGACTTTGGGCTGCAGACTCCGAGTTTCAAGTATTTCCTGGAGCAAAGTGTCCTCTCAGCACAACCGTCACCAAGTTTTACCCAGATATCCCAAACTGTGACTGCCCCCTTTTCATTCCACCAACCCCTACTGTTTCATTTTCAGGATGTAGCTCAGTCACATCTATATCTACTTTTATTGTTCTCTGTACTCCATTGTTCATATATTTATATTATTGCATGTTTATTTAATCCAAAGCACCTGGAGGTGTTTGTGTCATCTTCATTGTTCCCAGAGTTGGGGTCGGAACTCCTCTGCTGCTCAAGTCAGAGTTAAAGCTTCTAGTGGTCATTTGTAGACCAGTAACTGTTTGGGAATAACTGCTGGTGACACTTGTGACCAATGTTGAGCATCTTACCTTTACAAAGTTATTAGATGCAAATGTTCCCCAAAATAAGAGTTAGTAACTCCGTTGCCACATTGTAAAAGTAATTAGTTACTTATAAGTAATGTTCACGCTCTACATGTTCTATGTCAAAGATGTTTTAACTGGATGATTCTTCATATGTAGAATGGACATTTCAGGAATCTGAAATATCCATTCAGCAAGAATGTTCATTAAACCTTTCTAAGAAGGGTCACTTTATTAACATTGCTCAGTGCATTATTAAGCATTAATAAGCTACTAAATAAAGTATTAACTGCTTTCTGTTTCATGACATTTGCTTTGACGAACTGGTTCAAACGTAATGATAATGACCCGTACTTGTATAGCACCTGTCAGAGTCAGAGGACTCCAAAGCGCTTTACACTACAGTGTATCATTCACTAATTCACACACTGGTGGTGATGAGCTACATGCAACAGCTGCATGGGGCGCACTGAGCACCGAGCACACCAGTTAAGTAAGGTGGGTGGGAGACAAAAAAAATTAGATAACACCCTTCATCTCCCCCCCCCCCCCCCCCCCCTTTTCCCTGCGCCCATTATAAACTACTGGCCCAACTGTGCCCCCTCAGAAAATTTTGACCTGGAACGGCCCCTGACATGTGGGATGTGTGATATGGGAACTGAAAGAGGTGCAAGGAAGATCCTGCCTTTCTGGCCTTTGATTGGCTAGGAGTCTCCCGCAAATGGCTATTTCATTTAGCAGCAAACCGTCTTTACTCGCTAAGTGCAGATGGTCGTCCTGCCAAAATCAGAACAGTTGTTTTGGGGAGTTTTTGTAAAGAAAATGCAAACTTAGCACTTTGCAAAACAGTTGATTTTTCTGTTTCCTTTATTAAGAAAAAAAAGTAAAATGTGAACTTCAATCATTGCATTTACTCACACTGTTCTCAATAGGCTTGAGCGGTATTACGGTAATACCATAGATGCCTGGAGTCAAAAAAAGAGCAATGTCAGTTCTACTACCGCCATGATAAAAAATAAAATATTTTTTTAAAAGAAGAAACGGTACACAAGGTTTGAAAAAATGAAATTAAAGATAAATACTAGTCACTTAATGTATAAAAGGTATGTGTGGTTGAATTTTCAGTTTTACTTAGTTTTTCCAACTTTAGGAGACGTTCCATAAAGTTTATGAATATCAACATGTGACAGTGTCAGCTTACATGGTGTCTAAAAAGAACACAACTTCTGCAGTTTGGGAGTCTTTCAGGTTCAAAGCAAACAAAAAGAAGAGCCGGGCTTTTGGAGCCTGTTATTAACTCAACTGCTATTGACGACAAAAGTCCCCCCCCCCCCCCCCCCCCCCGGTCCTGTCTGGCTGTGAAGCAACAGAATTAATGTCTGAATGCTGGTAACAAGCCTTACAGATTTTACTCTCAGGTGGAGCATCAAAGCTTCTGCTTTTAATGTCACGCCTGATACTTAAAACTTTATTGTTATTGTTTTTTGAATGCTTTGTAATTCCGACCAGACACGGAGTCAGAGGTGAAAGAGAAGGGGGAGGGGGTAGAGCCCTGCACTGAAACCCTAGGCCCTCGGGTCGGCCCGGCCCGACGGCCGGGCTTCGGGCCAACGACTGTGTAATTACCTCGGACACGGGCCGGGCGCCTTTATTTTTAATCGAATTCATTAAAAAAATTGAAACACTTAAACGCAGCAGTAGAGCCCTGCGCGGGACTGTTTTCTTCATCCCGCTCCTGCTGTATTTCTGACCATTACCGCCCACAACCACGTGTGTGTTACACTCCCGCCCGCACCCGCAGCGTGCATGTCTACTCCTGCCCGCACCCGCAGCGTGCATGTCTACTCCTGCCCACAACCGCAAAATTATTACCTCACAATAAAAGAGATGTATTGAGTTTGCGTCCACAACATGTCATTTTATAGGCTATACCAGGGCTCGGCAATCCGCGGCTCTTCCATCCATCTGATGCAGCTCTCTGTGCTTGTAAAATAATGAATGGATATTTAAATAAAATGCTTTATATTTTGCTGAATTAATTTTATATCTGTATGTCAATTCTATGTGAAGATTGTTTGCGTAAACCTGAACCGGTCTAACCCGGTCTTACTGTGAGACCTGGTTGACGGGCCACGCTTGTGCGTAATAGGGGGCTTTCAGACACTTTGTCTACTTTTAAGAATAGGCTTAAAACATTTTTATTTGATAGGGCCTATGGTTAAAATCTGATGTTAGCCTAAATCTGGACAAGTGGGGGAGTAGAGGGAGGTGGAGTGTACAGTCGGTAAAGACGACTCTCCCTTGCCCTGCCTCCAACATGCCTACATCTACATAGGATAGATTATCCAGTTATCTCTGTAGTTATGCTGCTATAGGCTTAAGACTGCTGGAGGATACACTGACCACTTTCCACACTCGACTACTTTCTTCTACAATCTGCTCTTTAACTGTATTATTTCCTGCTATTTCAGCTGTTAACTTTGTTTTCTCTCCAAGTGTTTTCTCCCCAGAAGAAGGTACAACGATGTTCTGCTGAGCTGTGGTGGCCTCATGGAGGGGGCCATCGTCTAGCACACTGCTGCTAACCACTAAAACATTCTCCCTCTCCTGATAATAACTTTTTGCTTTCCTTGACGTTGGATGTGCCACTGCTAGTTTACCTGTTTAATTATAGATCCACTAGGGTAAATACAATAAAGTTTATCTCTCACCAAATAAAATATTTACTAAGAAATCACAATGTAACTATAGACACATTACTTTGTTGTGTGTGTGTGTGTGCGTGCATGTGTCCTTTGGGGGTTATATCTTTTATAAAAATGAAAGTAAACATGGGCATTGGTTTTGCTTTAACAAAACCAGGTGAGATGATTAACTGGAGCGATACAGAGCTCCGGGAGCTGCTCTCGTTTAGAGCTAGAGCTCAGATTATCTGTTGACGGGGACTGTAGAGGACAGACACCTTTAGGAGTGGCTTTTCAATACAAAATGTTAATTAGCACAGCTTTAATTACAATAAAAGCAAGTTATGTTCAAGTTAAAGGGAAGTCTGTGGTAGTGCACCCCCCCCCCCATTCCCTTTTTACCTCTATTGTGTAATCTTTTTTTTTTTTAAAGGCCACGATTGCGCCAAATTACTGCCAGTCTGACAAATTGTAAACCTAAGGTTCCCAGATGACGTCTCAGCTTAGCAAAAAACTGGTGGCATTGTTTTATAAAAGAGGCTTCAGGTTGCTCCCTTTCTCCCCCTTTTGTCAAAGTGTAAGTTTGTGTGGATTCTCATGTGATGGGTTAAATATGCCTTTTGGCAAAATCTCTGTCCAGAGCTCACAACTACAATTCACATGGTCCTCTTCATCTCCATTAACTTGAGTCTCTGAAGATTTTGAAGTCTGTTCATAAGGGTTTAAATCTAGGTTCCTAATAGTTTCTGCTCCTCCACCAGTTTCTGCTGTCATCTGGTCAGCTGAGTTGCTCGTTTGGACATTTCTGTCTTGTTTTCAGGTGATGAAGCTGTGAGAGCAGAGGTTCATCCTCACTCTTTATACAAGCTGCAGTGAAAGGAAGCCTGGCAGCATCAGTCAGCTGCTCTCCCTCCATACTGATACTGACTTCCTTCTGTTCCTCCTTTATGTGGAGGTTTTCTGGGTGCTGCTGGTCCACACCACACCAAGGTTCATCTTTAACCAGCTTCACCAGTTGTTCAACTATAGGAAACACAGAAACAGACTAGTACTTATCACTGCACAGCACACTTTATATTTTATACCCAACAGAACAAAGCATGTGTCTTTTAGAACATATTTTTAATGCTTGTTTTCAGTTTTGTTGTTTTAATTAAGTAAGAGAATCACTCACAGGTCACTGGGATGTTAGCAGCACGTGTTTGGCTAGTCCGGTTTCCTTGGGAGGTTTCGTCTTCTTTAGGTTCTCCTGAGACTTGGGTTGTCTTGTTTGTCTTCTTACCCATCTCTGCAGATGTGTTGCAAGGCTCTACTAGAATGTATACGGTGCGATTTGAAGGCTCCAACCAGAACTCTTCCAGTTTACCGCCTACGACACCTTTAGTCAAACAGGAAGTCTGTGTGTATCGTCTTGATGCCAAGTCTCTGTCCACAGAGCTCACAGGTAAAAGGTCTCGGTCTGTGTGGACTCTCATGTGATGGGTTAAAAATACCTTTTTGCAAAATCTCTGTCCACAGAGCTCACAACCAAAATGCAAATAATTGTCATCTTCATCACATCCACTAAATTCAGTATCTGAAGATTTGAAAGTCCGTTTATGAGGGTTCAGATCTGAATTCATGCTAGTTTCTGCTGTCACCTGGTGAGCTGAGCTGCTCATTGGGACATCTCTGTGTTCTATTTGCTGCTGATGAAGCTGTGAGAACACAGGTTTCTCTTCGTCTTCACTCTTTATAGAAGCTGCAGTGAAAGGAAGCCTGGCAGCATCAGTCAGCTGCTCTCCCTCCATACTGATACCGACTTCCTTCTGCTCCTCCTTTATGTGGAGGTTTTCTGGGTCCTGCTGGTCCACACCACACCAAGGTTCATCTTTAACCAGCTTCACCAGTTGTTCAACTATAGGAAACACAGAAACAGACTAGTACTTATCACTGCACAGCACACTTTATATTTTATACCCAACAGAACAAAGCATGTGTCTTTTAGGACATTTTTTTAATGCTTGTTTTCAGTTTTGTTGTTTTAATTAAGTAAGAGAATCACTCACAGGTCACTGGGATGTTAGCAGCACGTGTTTGGCTAGTCCGGTTTCCTTGGGAGGTTTCGTCTTCTTTAGGTTCTCCTGAGACTTGGGTTGTCTTGTTAGTCTTCTTACCCATCTCTGCAGATGTGTTGCAAGGCTCTACTAGAATGTATACGGTGCGTTTTAAAGGCTCTAACCAGGACTCTTCCAGTTTGCCGCCTACGACACCTTTAGTCAAACAGGAAGTCTGTGTGTAGTGTCTTGATGCCAAGTCTCTGTCCACAGAGCTCACAGGTAAAAGGTCTCGGTCTGTGTGGACTCTCATGTGATGGGTTAAATGTGACTTGTGACTAAATGTTTGTTTACATATCTTACAGGCTAATGGGTTCTGTCCTATGTGGACTTCTTCATGTTTTTTTAAATTTCTCTTAGAAATAAAACTTTGATCACAGATATTACAAGCAAAATGCTTCTGTCTCATGTAGATTTTCATGTGACTGTTTAACTGCGACTTGTGACTAAATTGTTGTTCACATATCTTACAAATTAAGGGTTTCTGTCCTTCGTGGACTCTGATGTGATTATTCAAAGTTGATCCTTTCCCACGGTCGTCACAACTAGAAGTAGAAGCCCTGCCATCATTCCAGTCATTATCTTCATCTCCAGTTTCATGCTTACAGACTAACACCTTAGAGTTTAGATTCACATCATCATCTTCTTCATCATCTCCACTAACTTCAATATCTGAAGATTTGAATGTTTGCTCATTATGGTTCAGATCTTCTTTGTCTTCTATTTTATGCTGATGGAGAGATTTCTCTTCATCATCCTTACTCTTTATAGAAACAGCAGTACATGGAAGCCTGGCAGCATCAGTCTCCTTTAAATCCAGCTGCTTTCCCTCCAGACTGGTACTGACTTCCTTCTGTTCCTCCATTATGTGGAGGTTTTCTGGGTCCTGCTGGTCCACACCACACCAAGGTTCTCCTACAACCAGCTCCATCAGTTGTTCATCTATAGGAAACACAGAAACAGACTTGTACCAATCACTGTGCACAGCACAATTTTTATTTTATACCCAACAGATTAAAACATTTGTGTCTTTTAGAAAATACATTTTAATGCATGTTACTTTGTTTTTTTTTTTAGTTTGCCTACCTGTTGAACATGTTGTAGGGATCAAAGGAACAGCGCTAGACTGGTTTAAATCCTACCTGTCTGATAGATATCATTTTGTAAACGTCGTCTTGCTCCGCTTATCTGGGTCCGGGTCGCGGGGGCAGCATCCCAACTAGGAAGCTCCAGACCGTTCTCTCCCCGGCCTTCTCCACCAGCTCCTCCGGCAGGACCCCAAGGCGTTCCCGGACCAGATTGGAGATGTAACCTCTCCAACGTGTCCTGGGTCGACCCGGGGGCCTCCTGCCGGCAGGACATGCCCGAAACACCTCCCCAGGGAGGCGTCCAGGAGGCATCCTGACCAGATGCCCAAACCACTTCAACTGACTCCTTTCGATCCGGAGGAGCAGCGGTTCTACTCCGAGTCCCTCCCGAATGTCCGAGCTCCTCACCCTATCTCTAAGGCTGAGCCCGGCCACCCTACGGAGGAAACTCATTTTGGCCGCTTGTATCTGCGACCTCATTCTTTCGGTCATTACCCAAAGCTCATGACCATAGGTGAGGATTGGGACGTAGATTGACCGGTAAATCGAGAGCCTGGCTTTCTGGCTCAGCTCCCTCTTCACCACGACAGATCGGTTCAGTGTCCGCATCACTGCAGACGCCGAACCAATCCGCCTGTCAATCTCCCGATCCCTCCTACCCTCACTCGCTAACAAGACCCCGAGATACTTAAACTCCTCCACTTGAGGTAGGACCTCTCTCCCGACCCGGAGTTGGCAAGCCACCCTTTTCCAGTCGAGAACCATGGTCTCAGATTTGGAGGTGCTGATCCTCATCCCAGCCGCTTCACACTCAGCTGTGAACCTACCCAGCAAGAGCTGAAGGTCAGAGCTGGATGAAGCTAGGAGGACCACATCATCCGCACAAAGCAGAGACGAGATTCTCCTGCCACCAAACTCGACACACTCCACACCACGGCTACGCCTAGAAATTCTGTCCATAAAAGTAATGAAAAGAACCGGTGACAAAGAGCATCCCTGGTGGAGTCCAACCCTCACCAGGAACAGGTCCGACTTATGAGGACCAAACTCACGCTCCTCTGGTAAAGGGACTGAATGGCCCTTAACAGAAAGCCACCCACCCCATATTCCTGGAGCGTCCCCCACAGAGTGCCCCTGGAGACACGGTCATAAGCCTTCTCCAAATCCACAAAACACATGTGGATTGGTTGGGCAAACTCCCATAACCCTCCATCACCCTTGCAAGGGTATGGAGCTGGTCCACAGTTCCACAGCCAGGAAGAATTTTGTAAACGTACATGACAAATCTTCTTCATACTCCAGGATTACTTGTGGAGTACCACAGAGTTCAGTGCTTGGACCAATTATTTTTACTATATATATGCATCCAATTGGTAAAATCTGTTGCTAAACACTTAAAAATTCTCCCTCTCCTGATAATAACATTTGACTTTTTTCGACATTGAATGTGCTACTACTAGTTTACCCTTTTAATTAAAGGTTCGCTAGGATAATTACAATAAAGTTTATCTCTCACCAAATGAAATATTTACTAAGAAATCACAATGTAACCATAGACATACTACTGTGTGTGTGTGTGTGTGTGTGTGTGTGTGTGTGTGTGTGTGTGTGTGTGTGTGTGTGTGTGTGTGTGTGTGTTTTCTGTCTTCTCCATCCCCAGTGAGTCACTGCTTATACTGAGCCAGGAACCTCTGGAGGTTTCTTCCTGTTAAAAGGGAGTTTTCCTCTCCACTGTCGCTAAATGCTTGCTTAGTATGAGGATAGCTGTAAAGACTCTGACAGTAGTCAGTGACTTGATGCCACTGACACACATGGATGTGTTAGGTTCCTTAAAAAGGAAACGTTTTTCTGATTGGCTTGATGAACTGACCTGTATTGGAATGTTTACTATGTGAAGTGCCTTGAGACGACCCTTGTTGTAATTTGGCGCTATATAAATAAACGAATTGAAATTGAAGTGTGTGTGTGTGTGTGTGTGTGTGTGTGTGTGTGTGTGTGTGTGTGAGGGGTAAATGTATAGACTTGTTGAAATATGTTTATTTAGTGTTCTGAGTGTGATAAGTCTAGATCAGTCTTAAGCAAAAAGTAACATGTGGTGGTCATCAAATCAGCAGGTGAGGAGCACATCCAAAAGTCTTGGACAGTTGTGGAGAGGAACCAACTAATGTTACAGGAGTTAAACTCAAGTTCAGTTAAATTATAGATATTTTACTTCTGTTACCAGAACACATTTTGTGAAAGTCAGATGATCATTTGGTTCACAGAAAGAAATATAAATGTTTGTATATCGTTCATAATTAAAGGTCAACATTACTCCTTTATTTATTACAATTGCAGTAGTCTCCAGTAAGATTGAAAGCCTTCTAATTCATACTCAGGAGAAAAAAAAGTTCTGGTGTAACCTTTTGTCTTTGGGCGCAGAGTGTGTGGCAGAACATGGCAGGATTTTGAGTCTTATTTCTTGTTATTTGGACATCTTGCCTCTGATTGGCTAACAGCAACACAACTCACTGACTGTTTTGCAACACTGATGTTTTATCTCCACAAATAACACAAGCCTGGAGGAGTTCTGCTGTGTGATGGAGTTGCTAATGCTAATGGTTAGCTTCTACTAGCTGGTTAGCTTCTACTAGCTGAGACATTCTCTGCCCTTTCCTGGACGCTAAATCAACAACACATTTCTCTTTCACAAGTCAAGATGGGTAAACCCATGAATGAGAATGGTGTGTTCGATTTACTTCGGAAGTCAGAACTGGGAATGACGTCACACCCGATTTAACCACGTTCTGGTTTACCATATTTGTAAAGGTTGGGATTTCAATTTGGCGACGCCCCCAAAAACTGCTGTTTTGTTGGTCCACAACAAACATAGACAACTAAAAAACACATATAAAGCTAATCTTCAAAACGTATTTGAAGAGAGAAGTTTTAATTGGCAAGTGCTACATGTAACACTGATTTTAAGTGCGCTCTTACGTGTCTTGTAAATAAACACATTTTAACTGGGGCTCGGCAGTATATTAACATTTTTAAAATGTAATTTCAAACAAGATAACTTCATATCAATGTAACTAGTCAAGCCGTTAGCATTAGCCGCTAATGCTAATGCTGCCATGCTCTGTCTCCAAGCCAGGGGTCTCCAACCTTTTTGGCCCGTGAGCTCCTTTTACACAACGACAGTACAGAACAGCTACCGCTACCGCAATACGATTTCTTCACATTGATACTTTCCTTGTGTGAATATGCTTACTATGTATAAAAATGCTAGGCGTACTATATTTACATGTACTGCATTCACTTGTTGACTTCTTTGTTTTTAAATACATCAATATTATAAAAAAAGTACAAGGAAAAAGTGACATTCCGAAAACCAAACTAAACAAAACATTTTGTGTTTTTATCAGACTTTCAGATGCCTCTGATAGGATCACCCATGGCAAACAGGTCCTAGGTGAGGGATCAGACAAAGAGGAGCCCAAAGACTAATATAAATATAAATGGAAACCGTGTTCCCTCGCCGGGACGTGGGTCACCAGGGCCCCCCACTGGAGCCAGGCCCAGAGGTGGGGCACGTTGGAGAGTGCCTGGTGGCTGGGCTTTCACCCATGCAGCCCGGCCGGGCACAACCCGAAGAGGAAACTTGGGTCCCCCTTCCCATGGGCTCACCAATTGTGGGAGGGGCCAAAGGTGTCGGGTGCAGTGTGTGACGGGGGTAGTCAAGGGTGGGGACCTTGGCGGTCTGATCCTCGGCTAAAGAAGCTGTCTCTTGGCACATGGAATATTACCTCTGGTGGGGAAGGAGCCTGAGTTGGTGTGTGAGGTTTAGAGGTTCTGACTAGATATAGCCTGACTCACCTCAACGCGTGGCTCTGGCTCCGGAACTAGTTTCCTTGAGAGAGGCTGAACTTTCAAAACCTCTGGAGTTGCTCCCACTGAGAGGCGTCAAGCAGGGGTGGGTATACTAGTTGCCCCCCCATCTTGGTGCCTGTATGTGGGGGTTTACCCCAGTGAACGAGAGGGTAGCCTCCCTCCGTCTACGTGTGGCCTTTCCAGTAGACCCTCACAATATGTTTGGGCCTGCCAGGTCTGTCCAGCATCCTCGCTCACCATTGAAGCCAACTCACCACCAGGTGGTGGTGAGTTGACAGCTCCACATGTTGACAGCTATTTGAGTGGAGCATGCAAAATGGTTTCCTTGGTAAGTGTTGCTGGTTTTATTAATTATTTTTCAAATAATTTTATTAATGTTCAAATAGCAAAACAATAAGTTCACACTCAGAAAATTGACACAGAATTTCTGATTCAGCAGAGGCAACAACAGCCTGAATGAGCATAAAGTAAGATCAAAACTTAAGATGACGTTTTCATTTTATTAAAATACTTTTTTTAAGATTATAGATTGTATAAAATTTATACTGTAATAATTTAGGCTGCGTGTTTATAGTTTGTTTTTGCGCCTTTAAACACGCTTCAGTCCATTCAAATTAATCTATTTATTCTTGAATGTCTTTCCACCATCATGTGATTAATTTGTCAACATTTATAAATGTTGTAAGCTATTGTATTTAGCAGAAAATATTTTTAATTAAATGTGTTGATTAAATATAAACAGAGCAAATAAGAGACACATATTTGCTCTGTTTACATAGTTTAATAACACCTAGTGGTTATTTACTGGTACGGCCTTAACAATGGCACTCCCAATCAATATGATGAGGATAATTAATTAGCATTTAATACAGCTGTGTAATGACGTATAAATTATTAATATCAAAAAATAGTCTGATAGAATGTTTTACATACAACACGTGACTTATTTTGGCATACAAACAACCAATTTGTAACCAAAAACTAGGCTATGTAAAATGTGAATGAACTGCTATTAGTAACTTTGGTAAGTTTCAGATTTCAATTCATTAAATAACATCGATGTGGGGGGGGGGCGCAAAAATGCAGCCTGCCTAGTGTAGTCCATTTATTTAATCCGGCTCTGGATATGATGTTTCACAAGGTGCTGCTAGAGTTATGTGAAATCTTACTTCTGATTTTACTATATAAAACATAATAATAATCAACTTCTCCTCCATGTTTGCTCGGAGATGTCCGGAGCATCCTGCCCGCTCATTGGTCAGTGAATGAAACCTCCGTTGATTGGTCCTCGCCCGAGCGACAGCGATGAAAAGTTGAAAATGTTTCAACATTCGGAGATCGCGTCGCTGGGTCGCACGTGCACGAGTACAAACTTTCACATGCACGTTTTTCGCGTTTCGCTTGGTAGGAGAGAGACCCGCGATTATCGCTTTGTCGCGCATGTCCCATTGAAAATGAATGGAGGAGAGGCGATGTCGCCTCCCGTGTGTCGAGCCCATTTTACCGTCTCAAATGGCAGCTCCCGTCATTTTTATATAGCTATAGTTTTTAACAGTCTTGGTGTGTGATACTGCTGCTGCACTGCAACTTCGATAAAGTGCATCTATCTATCTATCTATCGATCTACCCCCACCACATTCTGTGGCTGTGGTGGAGGGGAAAAACCAACTTTCTAGTAAACACGACTCTGTTCTAGACTTGTGAACATGCATTCAGTTTAAACTTCTTAGCTGTGTCTCAATCTCAGACTAACTGCTTTTATTATACTCACAGGTTTCTATTAACTAAAATAAGCAGTTAAATCCAACCAGAAAAACTTAACAAACCTTCGTTTATGCAGCTGGGCGCTAATATAGAGCAGCGCATGCGCAGTGCTATTGTCTTCTTGGTTGTTTTGTTTGGTTGGCAAACAGCTTTAGGGGCATTACCGCCACCTACCGATCTGGAGGGTGTACTGTCACACCTCTGTTACCTGGTGAAAACACCTTTGAGGGGCTGAAGTGTCAATATTTTCCCGTTATAAACATTTAAGTGAACAGTTGAAAAAAATGACAACAGATTTGTTTAATTTCCCTCTTGAAGTATGCAGCCTATCTGTAGTTAAGAAAACACATTAGCGCTCAGTTCAAAATTGTGTGTGTATGTGTGTGTGAGTGATTGTGAAAGAAAGACATAAAACTGTCTTTAATATATCCAAAGAGTTCACCAGCAGATCTTTTATATAGCGCCTCTCAAAAAAATGTCACGAGGTGCTTCACAAAATCAAAAAAATTAAAATGTAAAAAATATGTTGAATTTTTTTAAATATATTTTCTAAATAACAAAAAAAATATGTGATTAAATAAATAGGGAAATGGGATATAGGCAGAAAGAGCCTAAGGAAATAAGGAAAGGGTGGTGACGAATGTCACACAAAGCCCACCTGAACAGGTGAATTTTCAGCTGTTTTTTAAAGGAGACCACTGAGTCCACTGACCTCAGGATCAGGGGGAGAGAGTTCCAGAGTCTGGGGGCCAGTGGCGACGGCAATCATGAGAAATGGGAGATTTCCCTGTTGCCTGGCAGTTAATCTGGCCCACTCAGCGATTGCCGACAGTTATGACGTGCATGATATCTTATTAATGAACAGCCCGTCTTGCAGCTGAATAGGGCATCTGCTCTCCTGGTGTTCACACACCAGAGCAAACTGGGCCTAAGACACCCCCTCCTCTTACTGCAAAATAAATAATTCCCGCCACTCCCTCGGCGAACGTTCCGTCGCCTAGCAACCGTGGAACCGGTGAGCAGAAGGGAGAAGGAACTTTAAACGATGGAGCTCGAAGTTTTATTTAGCTTTTAATCATTTCCTTGACTGTTGGAGAGCTAATTCAGAGAAAATACTTTCGGCAAGCTGAGCAAAGATGTGATAATAGTTTTTAATACTTTCTAAGAGTCTTAATTTGACCAAAACCGATTTATCACCTTTTAAGACGCTTCAAGACCCAGCGGATACCCTGTAATATTAAACAATTCACATTTGTAAACAAAAATAAAATTCAAGAGTTTAATATAGAACTGATTTTATTTATATATTTTTTTATATGTACATGTTTAATTTTTATTAACCATTTTTTCTAGCAGAGTAAAAAGCTGTCAAAGTTCTCCCTTCTCTCCTGTGCCCTCTGCTGCTCTGCCTCCCTCTGCAGCCTCATGTCCTCCCTGATCAGCTCCAGAAGCTGGTCATCGCTGTCATCTTCCCCTGGATGCCCATTTTCTCCAGAATAGTCTTAACAAACATGTAAGAAAAAAAAAACAGGAAGAGAAAAGAGGACAGCAGGTTATTCCTTTCATGTTTTCGCAGAAAAAACTGAACTCAAACGACAGTTTTTAAAATGTCTATGTCAATTTTTGACTTTTGGAGAGTAAAAAATCGCTCAGAAGTTACATGCAGTACCAAAGTCTACCAGAGAGGGCGCAGCTGCGTAGTGCAGCCTGCATGCAGCCTGCTGGAGTCTTGCCTTGCCCTGTGCTTCTCTGGGGGTCATGACCCATGGCTGATTCTTTACCGTCTGTTACTTTAGTGTCCTTCATAAAAACCAAAGCTGGTAAAGTTGGGAGCTTGGATAGCTACGCATTGACAGAGACGTTTCAGACTCCTCCGTCTCCCGGAGATTGTTGCAAAACAATTTCCCGCCAGGACAACAGAGGGCGTAGCACTGTTCTGTAGTATCCTGTCGTGTATCCGGTCCATGATAGTGCATTTACTACTGTGTTTTAATAAACTTTTTAACATGGACAGTTTTGCCCCTCTTTCTCCTCCACCTCTGCATGCGCTCGCCACCTCTAATCCCATGTTTACCGTCATTGGTGTTAGTAACAGGGTGTGCCAGGATAGCTACTGTCACCTGCTCCGTTCAACCTCTACATGGATGATTTGTCAGATCGACTCAAGAACTGTAAACCTGGATGTGTGATTGACAAAGATCTGATTAATCATTTCACGTATGCCGATGACTTGGCTCTAAGCAGCTGCTGAACACGTGCTCTGATTATGGGCTGAAGTGTGATGTGCAATTTATTGTAAAGAAGACCGTTGTGCAGATTTTCTGGACCAAAGGAGATAAATATATATTTTTTCGACTTCTACTTGGTTGATAAGATAAGTGTCTGTGACGAAACTAAAAACATTACGGTCACATCATCACAGATCGCACAATGGCATTTATCGGCTATGTATTTGTATGCCCAGGCCATTATTTTGGTCAGGAAATTTCACCTTTTTAGAACCTTCTGCACACCTCTGTGTACCGCACCTTTGTGGCCTAAGTACAAGAAAGCCAGCTTGTAGAAGCATAAAGTAGAGTATGATGGTGCATTAGGGTCTCTGCTCAGTAATTCTATGTTCAGTACTTTTATTTTGTAATGCTCATGTACGGACCTTCTAAGCTCTAATGAGAAATTTGATGTACAGGTTTATCCTGCGGTTGAAGGGCTCTGAGAACAGACTTGTCTGGATGCTGGTGGATCCCAGTTGTAGTGCAGTGCATTACCAGTCATCCATGTGGAGTCGCTGGCATGCAAGTTGTGAGAATGTAGAGCAGCCAGAAGGTCTTCAAGGTGAAAGAAGAAGAGGCAAACTGCACCACAGGGACATTCGTCCTTGGGAGCCAAAATGCTTCTCAGGTGTTTATTTCATTGCTTTCCTTTTACAGATAAAAATAAATAAATAAAATAAACCTCACCAAGCCTCCACCTGGCTTCCTTTAAATACCCCCAGAAAATCACACCTGCAAGCAATCAGCCCCAATCATCAGTGCTCCAACATTAAATCCAAAAGGAAGTTAATATCCACATAAATGTACCTAAGTGTTAACATATACAAAAGACAAAACTGTTTCTACAATACAAGAAACATTTTCACACTAAGACCAAAGAAACAAATCCCACTTCCTTTGGTTTGTCCAAATGAAGCAGCCAATCAGATCCATGGAGGTAGTACTGGGTGGGCCCTCCCTTCACAACCTGCTCTAGATACAAAGCAAACATGAAATCCCAAGTGGTAACTACATCCACACCAGTGCAATATTCACAGTCTGGTTAAAATATCCCCCATCACAGTGCCAGCAGGCTACAGAAACAAATTACAGGGGCGAATGGGAAATCATCCATACCACTTCGTCACACAAGTGTTTTATGTTTGTTGTTCATTGAGTCTGCTAATGAAGTTGTTGATGATGATATAATACGTTTTGTTCACATTATAGAATTAATTTCATCAGCCTGATTGCACTCATTATCTTGTGGTTAAGTAAATCTTAAATTGCACAGCAGTGTTGTCATAGACATAAATCCTAAATACCAACCAGACACTGTAGCTGAGGTTGTTCTGGAAAAGGAGCAAAGTTACAAACATTTACAACAATTTTTAAAATTACAATTTTAAAGCCATAAAATTATAAAATACCCAGTTATAATTATGGTGATAAAAAGGGGGAAAATGTGCAGTTTGACACTTTGACCGGTAGGTGGAGGTAATGCAAGTAAAGATGTTTGCAACCGCAATAAAACCACGAAGCAGAAGGAAGCTCCTGCAGAAGCTAGCAGCGCTGTAAACCATCACCAGGCTGTGGAAACTTTCTTCTCCTCCTCAACAACTTGGTGGAGTTCTTTCCAGAACCAGAGAAGATATTCTGCGGTCTTCGTGACAATCGGAGCTCCAGAATCAGGTTGTGGGTGAGAAAAGCTTTTCTCTAGACTTCCTGCCCTCTGGATCTGCTGCTGTTCCTTTGGCCTCTCTGAGAAACGCGCTCGTTTTGCTGCTTTCATCAGATTGAAGAGGTTCCCTCTATCAGACTCGCTCATCTGAGCTGGTCATGATGCAGGATCGGTACTTCTGAAGGGAAAACCAAGAGGATCTGGCTGCAAACAACAAGATGACGGAAGTAGGTACAGCCACGGGCGGAAGTGTAGTTTTCTCCTACAAATCTTTATTTAGATTTTATTTCTTCTTCCATCTGAACGAGAGAACGTTTAAAAATCTTCATTTTGAAAATGTTCCAGTGACCATAACAAGTAGAACACATTTTAAAACCTACATTTAAATATTTAACTAGAACAGAAACTTCCTTAATAATTTTATCCATCCATCCAACAGATAAATATGGTTATGAATGGTCAGCTCAAATGTTTGCTACACCTAAATGCATTCTGTCAAACAAACGGAGGCATGGTGATTTATAACAAATTAAATAGAACTCTTCACCCATTTGGCCCCTACAATGCGGAGTAGGACCTGGCTGCAGACATCAGCTTTTTATTTATTTATTTATTTTGCCTGAATATGCTTTATTGACAAAGCACATAATACAATTACAAAGAAATAACAAGCACAATGTGAGGGGGTTTGTATGGGAAAACAAAACACTCTAACAAAGAATCAGATGATATTGAACAGGGAACAAACGTTTATGGTTTTGACAGCTTTCAAATTTTGAGAATGTTGTATGGTTTTTATATATTGCCTGGTTTCATTTAAAAAGCACTGAAAGGATGGTTTTGCATTAGAAAATTTCGACTTATGTATATGAAATTTAGCTAATAATATCAATAAATTAATCAAATAAAATTTGTTCGCCCTGTGCTTGGGGTACTGAAAGAAACCAAACAATATTTCCTCATAACAAAGAGAGAACTCAGAAAAGATTAAGGAAACAACAAAAACCCCAAATTCTTGCCAGAAAAGATTTGTGTATGAGCATGACCAAAATAAATGAGAAATATCTTCCTCCACACAGTTAAAAAATGTACAGTTAACATCAATGTCCTTTTTATAACGTATAAGAAAAGATCTGGTTGGGTAAAAACGATGAATAACTTTAAAAGATATTTCCTTTACTTTGTTATTTAATAGAAATTTTGACGGTAAGGTCCAAATCTTCTCCCATTCCAGGTCCTGGTATAAGTTATTCCAGTAGGCGACAGCCGTTGGCACACAAGTTCTCTTTTTGAAACAGAGTTCGTATTTCACGGTTGTTTTTCCTCTTTATAGCGGGGAAACACACCTGACCAACATAAGTAACAGTAGGATCCAGCGGTAAGGGGGTCAAATCATTAACAACATGATCTCTAAACAACATTAAGACCCCAGCAGGGATAGCATCAAACACCATGGCATATTCCTTTGGTGGAACAGGAAGACCATATGTTTTCATGAATTCTGAGTAAGGGAATAAACGTCCAACAGGATTTTTAAGTTGTGCAACACTATAGCCCCATTCCCATCTGTACCGGGTCGGCCCGGGCCGGGTAGCGTAGGTTGTTTACATATCTGGGTGGCCTGGAATTTTCCCGGGCCAACCAAGGCTCATTCTCGGCCCTCTTCTCGAGGGGGTCTGCTTCAGGCCGACCAGGGCCAACACACCCACTGCTGACAGCAAATTCACACCTTCCATTAGAGCAAGCCTCTGATTGGTGGGTAGAATCAGCCCACATGGGCTTAAGACAAGGATGTGTGGAATCAACCGGGCCAGGCTGGGGCCGACTGGGGCTACCCGGCCCGGGCCGACCCGGTGCAGATGGGAATGGCCCATATGAATCCCATTATCAAACCAGTTACTTAAAAACACAGACTTATGTTTGTATAAAATGTCTCTATTGTTCCAAATATAGTATCTATGTGGAGAAAAGTTGTGTTTATAGATCAATGACCAGGAAAAAAGCATTTGTTTATGAAAGTTGGATAGTTTTAAAGGGATTTTATTAATATTGTAATTACAAAGCAAAAGGAAGTTAAGACCACCAATATTTGAAAAAATATAATTGGGAATAAAGTTCCAAATTGTGGTTGGGTTCCAGAAAAAGTGTTTAATCCAGTTTATTTTAAACAAATTATTTAATGAGGAGAAATCCAGAAAGTTTACTCCACCATGTTGGTATGAGTTGGATAAAACTGATCTTTTAATGTAATGAATTCTATTCTTCCATATGAAGTTTTAAAGGTCTGTCAATATCTGCCAGGGTTTCTTTATTTACATCAAGAGACAAAGCAGCATAAGTTAGACGGGATAAGCCCTCTGCTTTTGTCAGTAAAACTCTCCCTTTAATGGATAAATCCCGCTGCAGCCAAGCATTCAGCTTACGCTGTGTTTTGTCCAAAATTGGAGTGAAATTAAGGGAGCACCTGGTGGATCGATTTTTATTAATGATGATACCAAGGTAATTGACAGACTCTTTCACTGGGATGCCAGCGATAGATAAGGGCAAGCAGTTCACATTTGCCAATGTTTAGGTGGAGTCCTGAAGCTAAAGAAAAGGCATTAATTGTGTTAATAGCCGTTTGCACCTGTGAAGCATTTTTTAAAAAGAGAGTGGTATCATCAGCAAGTTGACTAATGAATATTTCTTTATCCGCAATTGTTATACCTTTCAGAGGACGTGCGTTTAATATCATCAGAAAGGAGTTGGGCACAGATTGAGAAATAAGTATGGGGAGATGGGGCAGCCTTGCCTGATACCGCGGTTCAAGTTAAACCTAGGTGACGTACCTGTTTGTAGTTTGATGGAACAATTAGCATTTTTGTACATTGTTTTAACTGCATTCTGAAAATAAGAACCAAAGCCAAATTTGTCCAAAGCCTGAAAAATAAAACCATGTTCAATCGTATCAAACGCTTTGCAAAAATCTATGAATAAATTCAAATTCAATTCAAAAGTACTTTATTAATCCCAGAGGGAAATTGATTGCTGTAGTAGCTCAGAATAATAATAATAATCAAGTCATCAAAGAGTTATTGTATATTACAATGGCTGTTGGCAGGAAGGATCTCCAGTAGCGGTCAGTGTTGCAGCCAAACTGAAGAAGCCTCTGACTGAAGACACTCTTCCGTTGTCGGACAGTCTTGTGAAGAGAATGCTCAGGGTTGTCCATCATTTTCTTGGTTCTCTGGAGAATCCTTCTTTGCATTATCTCCTCCAGCGGTTCCGAAACTGCCGAAACTCTGGCTGAGTCCTTGAAAGGGCTTGGAGTTCCTCCATCTTGTTGGCCAGTGATCTCACGTTGCCCATTATGATCGATGGAAGAGATGGTTTGAATTTCCTCTTTCTCTGTCTCCGTTTTGCTCCCGCTCTGCACCCACGCTTCTTGCATGGTCATTTGGGATTTGTGGCTTCAGTTGAGGTATTATTTCTGCCTTTCCAATGTTAATCAGCTGCTCCCGATTGTAAACCAGCTTGTTGCCATGGTTACGCATCATAACAAATGCTCAAAAAGTGAAAAAAGCTAAAAAAAATTGCTGTAAAAATCCTCCAAGCTTCACAGCACCAGAAACAGAAAAGTAAAGTGTCCAAAAAATACAGTTTTTCTTGAGAAACTAGAAGAAAAAATGCCCAAGAAAAGGCAAAACTTGCATATAGTCAACACAGCTACTCCAACATGCAGCCACCCAGAGCAGCGCAGTTCCGGGAAAAAAAAAATAAAAAAAAAAATAAAAAAAATAAAGATAAGATAAAGCTATCATCCTCACACAAATCTGCATAATCAATTAGGTCAAGGACAAGTCTAATGTTGTTGGATATGTGTCTGTTGGCCATAAAGCCAGACTGAGTTTCATCAATAATATCATTCAAAACAGTTTTCAGTCTTTTGGCAAAAATCTGGGCTAGGATCTTATAATCATTATTAAGGAGGCAAATTGGCTTCCAATTATCAATATAAATGGGATCTTTCTTTGGCTTCGGGATTAGGGTTAACAGACCTTGTGATAAAGTGTGTGTGTGGGGGAAGAGATTGATTTATAAGACCTTAGATGGCTTATCGGAGTCAAATCTTTCTCAACACAGGTTTTGAGAAGGCTCCTTTGCGTTGTTTTCGATGTCAGAAGTTTGGGCATGTGGCTAATGTGTGTGTGGCGGTCAGGAGATGCAGGAGGTGTGGGGGCGATCGTGTGGGGAGGAATTGTGCTGCGCGAATTGTGGTGGGGGGCATCAGGCTGCTTTTAGGGGATGTGAGTTCTATCGACAGGCCGTAGCAGTGGAATCTTATCGGTCTGAGAATCGGGTGTCCTACGCTGAGGCGGTGCGTCGGATGAGCAGGGGTGGTGGCGAGGGTGTTGTGGGAGCTGGTCCACGATGCGCGGCTCGGTCTGCTGGGGAAAGGATCGCTGAGATGAGGGAGGCTGTGATTGTGGGAGATAAGAAGCGGTTTCTGGCCTTTTTGGTTGAGGCGATGGGGAGGGTGAAGATGCAGGCGAACAATAAGTCGGACAAGGCTAGGGAGGTGACTAGCAGCTGAATTCCTGCTGGGATTTGAAGGTGTGAATCCCAGGGAGGCTTGGGAAGCCTCCTGTACGCCGAGTCTGGGGGGTAGGAGGGGTCGTGAATTAGTTTTGAAAATGATGGGGGGATGGATCTAGTTGAGGGTGAGAGTGGAGGGGAGGGCTAATCGTTTATGGTATTTCGTGTCCTGCAGTGGAATGCTAGAAGTCTAGTAGCCAATGAGCAGGAGTTTAAGAAAGCCCTGGAGGACATGAAAGGGGAACTGGATGTGATTTGTGTCCAGTAGATGTGGCTGAAACCGTCCTTGGATTTTAAGCTGTATGGTTATGTGCAGGGTCCGAAATTAAATTTTTTACTCACCGGCCAAGTTGGCCGGTAGATGATGAAAATCTACCGGCCAAGCATATTTTTTACCGGCCAAAATTCTAAATGATTTAGATCCACCTAAAGCATGTAATTCTATATTATGTTGATTCCAAACAGAGTGACAAAATAATTAAAACATCATTTAATAAGGAAAACAACTCTTTTGTCATTTTTACTATTTATTTATTTTTAGAGATGTTTTTATGAACTCTTTCATTGAAATCTAGTCAAGACTCCTTGTTTTCTCGGTCCATGAAGTCTGGCCTCCTGCTTCTGACACCGTCTTTGTGCCAAAGCATTACAG